GGAGTATGCGTGTTTTTATTTTCTTAAATGGGACTAGGTAATAGACGGAGGTAAAAAACAAGTTCAGAGAGTTAAGGATTTGCTTGAAGGTCAATGCGAGGTCGGCTTGGGACAGCGCATCCCTATCTGCTGACAGGGAGAATCCAGGACACTCTTGTTCTCTGTCTCTCTGACAGCTATGGCTCGACAACTTAGACATGCCGTAATCCTTGTCCTTGGGCGTCTGTGAATGTCTCGACAGAGGTCTCTGCCTGGACACTCACACTGACACTATCTACTGAGGAAGATAACTGCAGGGGGCAGGCTTCTAAGTTTATGCAAAGACCTGGTTGAGAGAGTTAGGGTATTGATTGTGACTACATTCTTGCTGGAATCACACATGGTGTGGAGAGTCACCCAGATATACCAATGCACCGGTCTTAGCAGCAACAGCAGCAAGCCAGGCTTGACTACCCACACCCAAACAAAGAGACAAACAGCCGTGAAATGCAGAGAAAGTGTGTGTGCAATGTGGTCACATCGGGAAGAACAAAGGAGGACCGGGGGCCCCACACCCCTCAATCCACCTCCTGAGGGCAATAACTACACAGTTCCCATCAGGGTGTGGCCCTGCCCATCACTGACCCATCGGTGTTTAACTCCATTTTCTCTTGCAAGGTTCTGATATGTCGCCAGGACTGTTGGGGTCTCTTCCTGGGACACTAACTATTCTGGCAGGAGAGAAGATATTGTAATTGGGAGCACTGTGTTCCTTCCTCCCTTCAGCTATCAGAGTGTTCAAACAACGGCCTCCAGGGAACTGGAAGCTCTCCGAGGGATCACAGTGGGAAAAGGAAAAGGTTAATGTCTTAGCTCCCCAACCACAAGGCCGTATTTGTTTCCCAAGCTCAGTGACCCGTAAGGGGTCACCCGAGATGCTGTCTCAAAACTTAAACCAAACCAAACCAAAATTTTAAGGAAGGGCTGTTGCCCATTGGGTGTGGGTTCACTCGGGTCCATGGACAAAAAGACTCAGAGGCACCTTAAGAATTAATCTAGCTTCTCCAGGCTGCAGGGTGGAGTCTTCTCTCAGGACTGGGCTTCTTTTTATCTTTGTCCAGTTTACACATTAGCAAGTTGATTTCCATATTCTCAAAACATCCTGCCGAAAGCTTCCAAAGGGACAATGTCAAGTGCACATTCTAGATTAAAGAAGCGCTACAGTTTTCCAGGTTGCCCCCCCCCCCAACCAAGGCTTGCATAGGCTTTGTTCCCTTGGGAAACTCTCAGGCAACATCCACACAGAGGGTATCAAGAGAAACAAAAGGTAGCTGCTAAATGAAGGATGGATTAGGGTCAGGTGTAGCCAGCCCGGGGAGAATTGTCCTCCAAAAGGTTTATTTCGGCTCACAGTTCAAGGGTACAGACCGGACCGTCACAGCAGCGTCATCACGGTGGTAAGGATTTGAGGCACATTGCATCTGGTCAGGAAGCAGAGAGCATCCCCAAAGTTATAACCAGGCATGGCAGCACATCCTTTAACCCTGGCACTTGGGAGGCAGAGTTAGGCAGATCTCTGTGTCAACACGCTGTTCTAGACCAGCCAGAGCTACACAGTGAGTTCCTAACTGAAAGCAAGTTTAACTTTACCCCTGTGTCTATGAGTGTATGCACACATGTGACTTGCAGGCCAGAGCAGGGCATTCAGCCCTCAGAGCTGGAGTTACTATGTTTCCAGGTGCTCAGCCTATTACATGGGGGCTTGAATGAGAACTTTGGGTTCTCATGATTTATCACCAAGGGCTGTTAACCACTGAGCCATCTCTCCAATCCTTGTTTAATAGGACTCATGGTTGGATCTGCTGGCATTTCATTTATGTTCTAGTTAGTATACGTTGGTTAACCTTTGACTTCCTTTTACGGCTTGACTACAGAAACAGGCTTTTGATCGCTGTTTATACCAGGTCCTGTTCTAGTTACTAAGAGCACAGCAGTAGCAGTGTAGGAACCAATCTCATGATTACAAGCAGATGAGGGGGACTTGGGGAATCGGATTCATTGTCTTCTCAGCTAAGGTGGTCCCTGAGGTTTCCTCTGCACAGATACGTGGAGAGCCGACCCCAGATGACCTGTACAGGTGATGCCGTGGGAAGACCATCAGGGACAGAGGCCTTGTGGTGAAGGGTCTGATTAAATGCGAACAAAGTGGCAGTCTATCAGATCAGCATGACATTGTGCTGGCAGTGTAAAGAAATCTGACTTTCTTACTGCCCCCCCCCCCCCGAAAGAGCGGAATGTTTGGGTCATTTGTGTTTTGTTTTGTTTGCTTTTGCGTTGGGGTGTGGGGAGGTCAGGTGAGGTATATTCCTTTTGAGGTGGCTAACGTCCCTACAGCCTTGGCTGTCCTGAACTCACTGTGTAGCCCAAGCTGGCCTTGAACTCATGGCAACTCCTCCTGCCTCTGTGCTCTGAGATCACCATGCTTAGTGTGAGGACCAATTTCCCCTTAAGAGTGATCATGTCACAGCCAAATTCCAAGGCTTTGATTCTGTGATCTCTCCCCCCCCCTCTGTCTGTCTCTCACACACACATAGTATGATACCCCTGCATTCTCTGGAAAGATCCACACGGTACTCTCTTCAAAGGCTTTTAAAGACAAAGAACATTACTGGGACTGGTGGGATTGCCCAGTGTTTGGGAGCGATGGCTGCTCTTGCACAGGACCTGGGTTCAGTTCCCAGTACCTACATGGCGGCTCCCACGGAGCTCTACCTCCAGTTTCTGATCTGACGCCCTCTTCTGGCCTCCGGGGGTGCCAGGCGCACACATGGTATGCATATGTATATGCAGGCAAACATTTACAAAAATGAAGCACCATTTTAAAAGATCCTAACGGCTGTTGTTATGAAAGATGTTCACCGAGGAATTGGCTCCTTAAATTCAGTTCAGTGGTGGAGGAGGCCCAGCTGTGGGAAACAAGGGCCAGACTCCCATAAATAAGGACGGTTTTTAAAGAGTTCGTAATGACCGTCACAACAACAAAGGCTCAAAAATGTCTACGCTTAACCGACAGATGATTGTGACTTTTGTGGCTAGGGCTGGTGCTCCTGAATTGTGAAACCCAGGAGAACTTGAGGGGAAGGAAAATGATGGGTCAGACTGCTCTGGATATTTTTCTAGAAGTTTCTTCAGAAATTTAAGACTTTGGACAACAATGAGAACCAAGAGTTGGATGAGTAATTCCAATCGCAAATACTGACACAAATGTTAGCAATAGCAAATTCAAGTAGAGAAAACATCACTGAGTTACTCATACAGTATTAGCATATTAATTGAAATGCAACAATAAAGGTCTACTATTAGTGAGGTCTGAAGAGATGGCTCAGAGGTCAAGAGCACTGACTGCTCTTCCAAAGGACCTGAATTCATTTCCCAGCAACCACATGGTAGCTCACAACCACCTACAGCAGAACCTGATAGCCTCCATTTGCATATATATACATGCAGACAGATCACTGATACCTAGAAAAAAATACATAAGTTAAAAAACAAAATCACACGTTGTTCTTGCAGAGGACTGGATTTCTATTTCCAACACCCACATTATGGTGAAAATACTTGCAACTCTAGTTCCAGGGGATCTGATATCCTTTTCTGACCTCTGAGGGCACTCAACACATACACTGTGCACATTTACAAATAAATGCAGGTAGAACATCTAAAACAAATAAACCTAATAAAATTAAAGAAAAAAAATCAAAGTACTTCCAGGTAAAGAGAATGAGAAACAATAAACAATTCAAGAAATGTACCTCACTATGAAGACAGGGGTTAAGAATACGGGGAAATTAAAACTATTTGAGCATGGCACAGGATGAAAAATTCTCACAGGGGAACTGGAATTCTATGGACAGTAAATACTTGTGAACAGAGATAATCTATAATGTGGTGATACATTATTTATGATTTACTAAAGCTTGCCTGTGGGTACAGACAGCAAAGTCAGCCACAAATTAGAGTCAGGCGATGGTGATCCACACCTTTAACCCCAGCAACAGTACTAAGTAACCACAGTCAGGCAGTGGCGGCACACACCCTTAATCCCAGGACTCAGGAGACAGAGGTAGATGGATCTGTTTGTTCAAGGCCACCCAGGGCTACATGAAATTGATCCAGTCCTACCTAAAGAGAAACAGCTCACACAAAGGTAATCTCAGCCCTTGGGATCACATGTCTTTAGTCCCAGCACTAAGGAGGTGCAAAAGGAAAAAGCAAAGGGCCTCATATGGAGATTTGTTCTCCAGCCACGGTGAGGAGAGGTAGCAGTCTGAGGCTTGGGGAGAGCCCATGGATCGGCCCTTTCAGCCTGAGGTAGAGGTGAGAGCTAGTGGCCAGCTGCTTTGCTTTTCTGATCCTCAGCTTGAAGCTTGAACCAATCTCTGGGTTTTTATTGATCTTATTACACTAAAATGTGTGACATTCTGGAAAGAGGAAGCTTTTCAGATGACTGTGTACTTCCTATCTGCTCTAATTGTTTCTTTAAAATGTTTTCAGATACTTTTGCTCAATGATATTAACTTGTATAGTGCCATCTTGAAGGAGGCAGGACACCTACCTAAACTGAAACATCCTTTATCGTCCTCTAAGGCTATGTTATCTTCGGAAAGGCTGCAATAATACAATGAAGGTCAGAACTGGGGGTGTGGTCTAGTGACAGAGGCTTACCTAGCACGCACAAGATACACAAGGCCTAGATTCCATTCTGCACTGCACAAAAGCAGGAAAACAACATACACAAAACATCAAAGAGCTTTACTGTATATCTGTTTAATTATGTTGCAAACATCAGCACAGTATCTACCTTGAAAACTCTAGTCAGATAAAAAAAAAAATGACATAATGACTTTTGAAGATGACTCAATTGCAGTTTTAAAGCTTTTTAATATCAAGAGTGAAAACAGACAATGAAAACTAGTTAAAAAGGAGACAGTCTCAGCGCAGATGCCCTTCACACTTTTGTAGTCACCCGCTCTGCTGGTGCAGCGAGTCTGGAGGGCACTGGCTGTGGGTGACACTTCTGGTCTTCAGCTGTGACTGTGCGATGTCGGCAAGTGCGCTTTGGATCTTTTCCAGCAGCATGTCTCCCCGATAAACAACATCCTCCAGACATGTAGCAGCTTCATGATTTTCTTCTTCTAGCTTATATAAGCTAGCAGCCTTTGTAAGACATGAATTTTAATATACTCAGAGATGAAATGCACAGAAACTAAAGTACAAGTGTTTATTTTAAAATCAGAATTGTTTTCTAATCATTATTTTATCTTTAGTAACAGGTATTCTAACTATTTAATTTTTCTCTATGAGTTATTAGGAGACTAATTTTCTTCTTTTTTTTGTAAAGAAGATGTATTTATTTATTATGTATACAGTGTCCTGCCTGCATGTATGCCTGCAGGCCAGAAGAAAGCACCAGATCTCACTTTTCAATCAGAATATTTGGTGGTGTTTGTACTCTGCTTGTAGACATGTTTGTTCCACATTCTGTATGCCATTCTCCACTTTACTGTTCTAACACACTGAGGGGCATTAGGAGACTTATGCCTAAGGTTAAATTGTGCAATATCAATACTGCCTTGAACACACATAATATATTCAGCACAATCTTGCAGAAGCTGTGCTAGCTCACAATTAATAAAGTGTTTGCCTACTACGTAAGACCCTTTATTTGACCACAAAACAAAACAAACCAAAAAACCAACCAACAATCAAACAAAACCCAAAATACCTCCCATTTAAAATTTAGTACTAATCTGAATGTCACAACCTCCTTTAATTCAAAGTTCTCCACCACTAATAATTTTATGAAAAGAAAAAGTTTTCACCTGTAAAGCAGCTGTAGACTCTTCACTGGGTAAGGAATCTATCAAAACATCAATATCTTTTGCTGTCCGTGCAATCAGTGCAGCAAATAGCTGGGCATACTCTGGGGGAGGAAAAAACCCAGTAACTTAAATTATCAAAACCTTATATTTTCATAAGCAGAAATTAATAAGCTGGAAAAACTCAGCTAACTTTCCAATATAATAACTGTAATGGTGAAAGTATAATTTCAGTATATCAGTACTATTTATACACTTAACTTTAATTCAAATTGGGAATTGGCATAACATGTCATTTCATTTACTAGGACAACATTTTGGTACCTTGAGTAAAGGGATCCATAAATGATATTCTTTTCTTACTAAGCTCATACAAGCAAACTGGGCTCAACTCATGCAGCTTATGATTAATATAAGCCTCAGTGTATTTATCTGGGGCTGAAGGGCTATGGGACTAGATGGACAGAAGACTCTGTCTTCAGAAGTCCTCCTCTAAGGGAGTAACAATCTGTCATTAATGTCATAGAATTATGAGGCATATGAATTGAGCTGATAAACTCAATTCCTTAACCAATGAGATAACTTTGCAGATAAGGGCATGTAGTTGGATGTTTTCTGTCTCACCCACCAGTTCCCAAATAACCACTCAGAGGCTTAATATTATTTATAATTGTTTGGCTTATGACTCAGGCTTTTTACTGGCTAGCTCTACATATAAGTGAACCCATTTTTACTAATCTATGCAGCATTTAAGATTTATTTATTTATTTATTATGTAAACAGTGTTCTGGCATGTAGGCATGCCATAAGAGGGCACCAGATCTCATGACAGATGGTTGAGAGCCACCACGTTGTTGCTGGGAACTGAACTCAGGACCTCTGGAAGAGCAGTCGGTGCTCTTAACCTTTGAGCCATCTCTCCAGCCCCTTCTCTCTGCAACTTTGGCTTTCTGCCTGGCCATTGGCTGAAACATCTTTATTCATCAACCAATAAAAGCAACACATGAAGGACATTCCCCATCAAGGGCACTGGACACCAAAGAAATAAATGTTAATTTATGGGGAAACATACAGTAATGCACTCAACCAGTCAGTCACTGTTTTACAAAGAAGCTATAAACTGTAATGTTAGTCAAACTGAGGAGACCTCACCTTCTGTAGGATTGGCGGGTTGGTCTTTATTAATTGCTGTTTGAATGTTACTAAAAGAGGCAGGAGGGCCACACTGTTGTAATACTCCAATGGCATTACAAAACTGGTCTGCAAGCTTGAAAAAAAAAAAAAAAACAAACAAAAGTCAAGGTTACAAAGAGTTGTCAATTTTAAGGATTTTATGAGATGTGGCAACAATTTCTTCATAATAATGATCTCTAAGCAAACTCATACAAAGGAATATTTTTATATAAAACGAGCCAGTTATTATTACTAACAATGATGGAGTTTATACAGCTAACCATATACCCTCACTAGCAATCTATTTACATAGCCTGGTTTCATCATGGCCTGGCCTTGGTGGCGCACGCCTTTAATCCCAGCACTCGGGAGGCAGAGATAGGCGGATCTCTGTGAGTTTGAAGCCAGCCCGGTCTATAGAGCGAGTTCCAGGACAGGCTCCAAAGCAATATAGAGACCCTGTCTTGAAAAACCAAAAAAAGAAAAAAGATGATTTAATCATACAAAGAAACTTAAGTTTGGTATCAGTCTAGGTGAAATTAAATTTGGTATCAATTTAGCCTAAAGAATTGATACACAAGAGAGCTGAAATGATTCATTTCTTCTTTCTGAATGTTTCTAGAGACTGAGCGCTCAAGAGAAGGCTGCTCACAAATAAAACCTGATACCCATCCCAGCAGATGCACAAATTGCAATAGAAAAACAGACACTAACTGGCTGCTTTTGTAGAGAACCTGAGTTCAACTCCTAGAATCCACAGCTCACAATTGTAACTCTAACCCTATGGACTTGATAGCCTCTTCTGGTCTCTATAGGTGCCAGGCACCCACGTAGTACACAGGGATACACGAAGCAAAAACACACATTAAAAAAAAAAAAAAAAAGATTCCTTCAAATCATAACTCAATAAACAAATCCTAAGATACCAAAGTGGTTCTACTTGCAAGAATGATCATCTGTTCTTTCCTTCTACAGTGTGGGTCCTGAGGTTCAAAATTGGGGTTAGACTTAAATGGCAAGTATCTTTACTTACTGAACTACTTTGCCAACCCTAAATCATTTTATATGCCATTTATTTTGTGTATGGCTGTTTTTCGTGTGTCTGTGTGCCATAAGCATTCAGTGCCCACAGAGGTCATCAAATCCTCTGGGACTGGAGTTTTAGATGGTTGTGAACCACTATGTGGGTGCTGGGAGTCAAACCTGGACCCTGAAATAGCAGGCATATTCAATCGCTGAGCCATTTCTGCAGCCTCATGTTAATATATAAAACCAAAACCAAACAAACAAAACACAGGGTAAGTAAATGTTTCACAAGCACGAGCACCTCGATTTGGATCCCTGCACCCACATGAGAGGCCCTGGTCATCCTGTCTGTCTGAAAACATGAGCTCTTGAAAAGTTCAGTGAGAGACCTTGCTCAAAAATAATGAGATAACACAAGATACCCTCAGACAATTCTGGTCTCTACATAAGTAAGCACAGGTAAGTGAACTGCATACACCCACACATGCTTAAACCACACACACACACACACACACACACACACACACACACACACACACACACACACACACACAGGATGAAAATTTCAAGGACAATCTCGGTCATATATAAGTGTGTGAGAACAATCTGAGCTACATTTCTCAGTAAAACAACAAACAAAAAAACCCCAGAAGTCAGGTAGTGGTAGGCATACACCTTTAATCTCAGTACTCCGGAAGCAGGGGGGTAGGGAGAGAGGAGGAATACCTCTGAGTTCGAGGCCAGCCTGGTCTACAGAGCAAGTTACAAGACAGCCAGGGCTGTTTCACAGAGAAACCCTGTCTTTAAAAAAAAAAAAGATAGCAACAAACTAAAAACCAAACTAGAATAATCTCTCTTTTTTATAAGTATTGATACAATATATATTGATATCTGTATCAATACTCCAAGCAAAAATAAGCACTTTTAAAAGGCAGTAGTTGTGAAACTGACTAAATCTAACAAATATCTACTATGTTCCCAAGGTTAACAACAAAAAAGTAATGTACAAAGCACATGATTTCTTGTCTGTGAACAGAGCAGTTACCAAGTATACAGAAATAGTGGGAGTGTTAGAATATAGCTCAGTTGGTAGATTGCTTGCCTAGCAGACATTAAGCCTTGAATCGGATCCCCAGCACCAAAACAGCACATACGTGCAATTCTGGTACTCAGGAGGCAAGGAGAACTTCAGATCAACCTCAACAAAGAAAATTTTTACTGTAAGTTATCAGAAAAGTAATTCTTCAAGACTCAAATTTTAATCTTATTTTGTTTTGTTTTTTTTTTTTTTTTTGAAGTCCCAGCATTCCATTTCACAACACTGTCTTAAGATAGTAGCTATGTGTTCTGTCCTGCAAATGAAACCAACCCCATGACAAGTAAAGTATATAAATATTATAGAGATGAGCATGACAGAGCTTCGGTACTTTGGAGTTTCCAGATGGTAGAACAAGTGTTAATATTGCTCTACGTTCCAGTCTATGTTAGCACTTAAGAGCTGAAAATAATTTACTCTAACTCCCTAGCCATGAATAGGGGGTTTCATCATCTAAAAGTCTCTTGAGTTTATGGCATCTTTCTAAGCTCCTCCAGGGAGTAGCTCTTTGTAAACACATTGCCTATAGACACAGTAGGCATCCAAGTTAGCTAAATTATCAGTATTCCTAAAATGAGTCAAGACTATTTAGCATCCTAACCACCCAACTACAGGACCTCCACAAAAATGCATTTTCTTTTTCTGAGACAAGCTCCAACATTGCATTATTAGGAGTTTTAAAACCTCAAAGGGGTACTTTCTTGGGAGAGGTTGGCTGGCAGCCCAGGGAAATCTTTGCAAAGCAGAATGTAGTTTGGTGACTTCACCTACGTTTAAGGGATAGCCCCTCAACTTAAAAGTATTTTATTTACACAGAGTAGGCAGTCTTCCCATAAGTAGATTCACAATCTCTCAAAGTGATACATCACCAAGAAGCCAAACCATAACCCTCCTGTAAGAAAAACATAGTTCCCCCCAGAAAGACACTCTGCTGGCCTCTTCCCTAAAACAAACAACAACCACAATGACACGGAGATTTTTAACCAACAATAGAAAGTGTTGTACTCTTAATGGAAATAGGCAGAAGCATTTATTTATTTATTTGTAGTCAGGGTCTCTCTCTACACAGCTCTGCCTGTCCTGGAACTCACTTTGGGGCTGGCCTCAAACTCAAGGTTTGCCTGCAGCTGCCTCCAGAGGGCTGGGATTAAAGGGATTAAAAGTTTGGTTCTGAAGTGTCGTCTAGCTCGTGTGTAAATATTTACCATCCCTGTACAGTTAGCAAGAGAAACAGGCAGAAGGGACAAAGTTACCGAAGCCAGCTGTTTTCAGGAGCTTCTGTTGTAGGTTTTATGATTCCCCGGTTATTTTTTTGTTTGCTAGTTTTAACTGACAACCTGGTCTCCACAGCGATTCCCAGGTCAGCCATGGAGGAGGGCGGAACACAGTGAGACTGTCTCTAAACAAACAAAGGTTGCCCTTGTGCACACTGGCTGGACGGGCTTCGCTTTTGGGAGAGACCGTACAGCGGACCGGAGGGGAGACTCCTGGGGATGCCATCTATGTCCTTCTGAGGACTGGTGGCACTGGCTAAGGCGGTGGCCACAGAGGCCGCGGCGAGCGCATCCCAGCTGCTCGGGCACCGACCTGCAAACACCAACCCTGGGCTGCTCCTCGGTGTTGTTTTCTGAGGCGGCAGCTCGCTCACACCGAGCTCGGGCTGGCCCCGACCCCTGCGACCTGAGCACACGCCTTCCTTCCCCGGCAGCGGGCCGCGCTCACCCCCGGGCCCGGGCCGGATCCCCGGGCCCCGCCCGCGGCCTCCCCGCCCCCTGCCCAGGCCCGGCCGCCCCAGCCGCCCTCCCGACCCCTCCTGCGCCCCCCACGGCTGAGCCCGGCCCCTGCTGGCCGTCGCTCGCCCCGGCGCGCGGGGGAGGCGGGGCACGGACGGAAGCCCTCACCGAGTTCACGGCGTCCTGCAGCTGCGTGAGCCGGTCCGCCATGTTCCCGCGGACGCAGAGACGCCAGAGCGCCCCGCTCGCCCGCCATTGGGCGATTTATGGCGCGTCCGGGCCAATCACAGCGCTCCTTTCCGGAGGGGGCGGGGCCGGGGCCAGGGTCGCACGCTCCGGGGAGGGCGGGGCCAGGGCCAGGGCCGCACGCTCCGGGAGGGGCGGGGCTAGGGTCAGGGTCGCACGCTCCTGGGGGGCGGGGCCAGGGTCGCACGCTCCGGGGAGGGGCGGGGCTAGGGCCGCACGCTCCTGGAGGGCGGGGCCAGCCTGCGGCTCGCCCGGCTGGGGAGGCGCCCGGTGCGGGCGGGGCCCGGGCGGAGGATCCCGGTCCACGCCGCGCTGCGATTATCCAGGGGTGGTGGCTTCCTGCCCTCCCGTCCGTCCGTCAGCTTTGTTTGACGCAGTCCTGCGGGGCCTGGGAAGTGTGTTGTTTGTGTGCGGTCGTCGGTTCTGCTTTTTGCGTCGTCTGGAACATTTGTTTTCCTTCACTCTTACATTCCAGGCGGACCACACGGCAAACCATTCACAAATACTCAGGGTCCCAACACTTTTTTTTTCCTGGGGTAGATGTATTTATTTTTGGTAACATACATTAAGTGGCACTAATTACACAGTAACTATAAGGTAACTAACATGAGACCACAGAGCTGTAACTCCGCCACAGCTGCGTGGACTTGGGCCTTTCTGGCTGAGCAAGTTTTCAAAAACCTGGATGCCTTCCCCAGAGCTCTGGCAATGTAACCTGTTAAGGAGTAAAGCTCTGAAGTAGTGACTCACCAGAGTTCCTTGCAGCTGACAGATGAGAGGCAGGATGTGTTAGCTATAAAGTAGTTACAGCCTAATTCTCAAAAGTTACCAACTGTTAAGAAATTCTTGGACTCAGCGCCTGCTGTCAGGTGGAGTGCAGAGAGAGCAGTATCAGAAAGACCCTGGCTGGTCAGACAGGTTGGACATCATTCAATCATGGTTGGCTTCTAAATACTGGTAGCAAGATGACTTCTGATTTGTAATCTTAGGTAAATTACAGACAAATGAAAAGGCCAGTAATTATGCACTAAGATTAATAAACAGCACTTCAAAATTAACCGAATGAGGGCTGTGCTTGCCCAAGGCTTCACAAAATGAGGCACCCAGATTTTTTCTTCCCACATCTGGCTTGCAGAGCAGCTCTCGTGGCCATTTCAAAGACCTCTCTCACTCCATCTTTGGTCTTTGCTGAACACTCCATGTACCCAAAAGCGCCAATCCTGTTTGCCATATCTCTGCCTTCTTCGGGTTTTATCGGCTCCTGCTTCATTTTGGCTAATTCCCGTCTTGTGTGCTCATCATTCCGAAGATCCTTCTGGTTCCCAACCAGGATGATGGGCACATTGGGACAGAAATGCTTGATTTCTGGAGTCCATTTTTCTGGGATGTTTTCTAAACTATCAGGGCTGTCAATGGAGAAACACATCAGTATAACATCAGTGTCTATATAGGAGAGGGGCCTCAGGCGATCATAATCTTCCTGTCCAGCTGTATCCCACAGAGCCAACTCTACCTGCTTTCCATCCACTTCGATATCTGCCACATCGTTTTCAAACACCGTGGGCACATAAACCTCTGGGAATTGATCCTTGCTGAAGACTATGAGCAAGCACGTCTTACCACAAGCTCCATCACCAACAATCACAAGTTTCTTCCTGATAGCAGCCATCGCTTACAAAGGTGCTGAAAAGCTGAAAAACACACAGCTTCTCTGACAGTGGTTGTACAAAGTAACAGGAACGTCTCAGATGCAAGACTCCAGGCGACGACTCTTCGACTCTTCGCGCTGAGGACGCCTGTCCGCGAGTCCCCGAGCAAACTGGGAGACGAGGACCGCAGCTCCGCAGAAGGCGGCGGACTAAGGAGAGAACCGATGGAGGACCACGGACAGTGGGCGGGGAGCGCGAGCGAACCGGGTCCCAACTCTTAAATACAACAGATTATCATTCGCCAGGAAATCAAACTGGCTAAAAGAGTTAGGTGTCTTGTTCCATTGGGCAAGAGTCCCGGAGACTAGATTCATGCTTTAATTCTTGAGTAGGGACGGATGGGTGCCTGGGGAAACTGAGACACAGACATGGGAAGCGTGGGAAACGAAGCGTTAAACAGTGCGGTGGTGAGGGAAGAATGACAGGCAATGGAGAACAGGAGGAGGAAGGGCATTTGGAGATAAGAGGCTTTTTTAGTCAGCATGGGTAACTACACAGCCTTCTGTGTAGCTGTGAGGAAAATGCTTAAGAGGAAAGGAGAGGGAGACAGGGGCCAGAAGAGAGGCTCCAGGAAAACAAGCAAGTTAGGCAGGTTCCGTCTTAAAGGAAGACCAGGCTCAGCTTTTAGATTGCGAATCGAGAGCTTTGATGGTTTTACACGTGAAGAGTGATACTGTGTGATATCTGTGCACTGTGAGGATACATGTATTGATGTGATGGGTTTAATAAAAAACAGTAAAGGTAACCAAGCCACCACGTAAAAGAAGGCAGATTAAAAGACCTGGGTTTCCCAGCATGGTGGTGCACACCTTTGATTTTAATCCCAGCCTCAGGAGGCAAAGGCAGGCAGACCTGTGAGTATGAGGCCAGCCTGGTCTACAGAGAGAGTTCCAGGACAGGCTCCAAAGTTACACAGAGAACCCTGTGTGTGTGTGGGGGGGAGAGAAGACAGGTAATTTAAGTTATAAGAACTTATAGTTAGGGGCTAGAGAGATGCTCAGCAGTGAAGAGTATTAAGTGTTCTTCCAGAGGACCAGGGTTCACTTCCCAGCACCCATTTGGCATTAGACTCACAACTGCCTGTTACTGCCAGTAACTCCAGTTCCGGGGGACCTGACATCCATGGCGAAAACAGCAATGTAAAATAAAAATAAAATAAAATAAAAAACTAGTTAGGAACAAACCTAACTTTCAAAATTAATAATTACAATAATTGATAATGCCTTTGTGTCTTTATTTGTGAGGCCCAAAGAAAAGTCTATCTACAAAGTGGTAGCAGGAAGGTTATTTCTGTAAGTTTGGGGATAATCTGCAAATGCCTGGTTCCTGGATTTCCCACAGACTCTTTATCATAGTTCCCAGACCTACTATTCCTGGCTATCGTCCTGGTGTTGGAGGTGGATGGGTGTTAGCCTTTTGTCTGTTGCTGTAACTGAAGAACACAGACCTATATTACACAGCACAGTTGACTCACTTCAGTGTTCTGAGGCTGGGAAGTCCACTATCAAGGTGAGGCTGCTGTGCTGTATGCACTAGAGAAGACTACTCAGACATGGACTTAAGCCAATAGGAAGTCTTTATTAGCCTGCCAGTGACTACACTGGGTGTTCAGGATCCCACTGCAGTGCCAAGCCCTCCTCAGGGTGAACTTTCAAGCACCAAAAACCATATCCTGGGTTGACAGACTTCAGTGGGTTTTGGTTGGTTTTTGGTTGTTGTTTTTCAAGACAGGGTTTCTCAGCAGCTATGGAACCAGTCCTGGCACTCACTCTGTAGACCAGGCTGGACTCAGACTCACAGAGATCCTCCTGCCTCTGCCCCCCCCCCCCCCCCGAGTGCTGGGATTAAAGGCGTGCGCCACCAAGGCCCGGCCAGACATATTTAAACTTACAAGAACAGTTAGCCAGAAGTGTAACTGCAGAAGTCAAAGAGCAAGTGAGACATTTAGAGACTTTCCCCAAACTCTGGAATTTGATGGGTTAGGTCTTTGTTTTCATTTTGGCAGGTGTGCTGAGTCAGTTGTGTTAAGATCTGCTGGGGGCCTGTTACAAGGCAGAACCAGAGAGCCCAAGAGGACACACTTTAATCACATGATAGCCCATTAATACATTGACTGGACATTAAAGGGCTCTGAAGATCCAAACTACAGAGTCCTCAGGACCCAATCATCTTCCAAAGGTCTCCCCTCTTAAATTCTATTAGCATGTGACTTTGGGGGTTTAAAATCCCAACAATTTGAAGGGCATTTTGAAATCCTGTTGAGGAAATAATTTTTGAGTATCTCAACTTCTGGGATTTTATCCCCACCCATCTCTTCATTTCCAACAACAGTCTTTTTACCTTTCACATTGCTCTTCCTCTTATAAATGAAATCAATGGTCAGGTGTGCTAGGGCTTGCCTTTAAACCCAGTATGGACCTCTGAGTTTGAGACCAGACTGATCTACATACCAAGTTCCAGGCCAGCCAGAGTTGCATAATGAGAGCATGTCTAATAAAACAAAAAGTTAGCTGGGTGGTGATGGCACACGCCTTTAATCCCAGCATTCGGGGGCTGAGGCAGGTGGATGTCTGTGAGTTTGAGGCCAACCCGGTCTACAGAGCGAGTTATAGGACAGCCAAGGCTGCACAGAGAAACCCTGTCTCCAAAAACCAAAACGAAATAAAAAGTTGGGCACGGTAACACACATCGTTAATCCCAGCGCTCACAAGGCAGAGGCAGACAGATCTCTGGGTCTGTGGCCAGACATGCATGCACACAAAACACCCAAACATAGAGGGTAAAATTTAAAAGCTATTTTAAATTATACAAATAAATAAATAAGAGTGGGCAGGGAAATGAAAACATTCTAAAAGTATTTATTGTATGTGTGCCTTATGCGTGTATGACATGCACGTATGCAGAAGCCACGGCATGCATGTGAAATTTAAAGAGCACTATGGAGTCGTTCTTTATTTCAGCTGGGTTCTAGGGACTGAACTCAGGTTGTCCGGCTTGTGCAACAGACACTTTACATGCTGAGCCATCTTGCCAGCTTGGTTAAACATTTCTGAAGGAAAAGTTAAAACAGATGGTGATTGGCTGGTAGGCCGCAGTTTATCGCTGTATTAAGTGGGCTTAATCACTTTGTCAAGTGGGGTTAATAAAGAGTTCTAAGTTTTCCAACCCAATGGAAGAGAATTTGAGTGTCTTCAGTACAGGAGCCATCTCAAGACAACCCATGTTGCAATGGCCGAAGATTCTTGGCCAGAGTTTAGTCATACCTGTGAGACTTCTGCTAGGCCCATCTACTTCAGCCCCTCCCCCCAACCACTATCTTTCTCAACTTTTCTGTGCGCTATTTGAAGAGTCCTGTTAAGGCTGTGGATGTGTGTTAGCTTTTTGATATTACAATGTGGTTTGAGATAATCGACTGGTCAACAAAAGATACCCACTCATGGTTTTAGAGGTCCTGCCTGTTACTGATTGGCCCATTAGTTTGGGCCGAGTGGAAGCAAGATTGGAATGGTAGAACTCATTCTGTGGTCAGAACACAAAAAGGAGAGAGAGCAGAGACCCAGACTCCGGTGTCCCCTAAGGGCCACCACAGCTACCTAAGGGGACCCCTCCTAAAATGTACCTCTTAAAGCTCTTGTCACTTTCTGGTAGTAACATTCTGAGGAAATGTCTGTGGCATGTGGACTGTTGGGAGACTCCTACAATCCAAGCTATAATAAGAGCCTTTCCTCCAGACAAGACTCAAACGTTCACAGACATGTCCGTTTGCTTGTTTTTTGAGACAGAGCTGCTCTGTGTAGTATTGGCTGTGATAGAATTCAGGGGCTCTGTAGCCCATGGCATCTGCTTCCCTCTGCCTCCTGAGTGTTGGGATTAATGTTTGCACACATTTAAAGCTGAAACCATGAGCTCTCTGAGGTTGTGGAGGTCTTTGAGGCTGTCCAGTCTGCTTAGCCAAATGGGTGAGCCCAAGCCAGGCCCATGAGAGACTTCATCTTAAAAAAACTGAGAGCCAGGCCAGGCATTGGTGGCTCACGCCTTTAATTCCTGCACTCAAGAGACAGAGGCAGACGGATCTCAGCGAATTCCAGCCCAGCCTAGTCTATGGAACGAGTTCCAGGACAGCCAGAGCTATGCAGAGAAACCCTGCCTTGAAAAAAAAGAAAGAAAGAAACAAACAAATAAAATAAAAAAGAAAATTAAGAACCAACATGGACTCCCAAGGAACAGAATACATGATTTGTCTCTGGCTCCCACACAAACACATGCCCTCACGAACTTTCAAAACCACCATTATGCAAGGACATAGGCCCAGAAACCCGTCTACCTCAGAACGACACTTCAAACAGTCAACGCTCTTTTTATTAATCGTTGTGGCAAGGGCTCCTGTTTCAAAACATCTGCCGTAACCCTCCTAATTTTGTCTTTAATAACTTCCCCTTCCTCTGCTGTCTTCTACCCTTTAGTCTGCTACCATGACCTGTGTGTGCATCCTGCTACAGCATCTGTCCCCATGGTCATGCTCTGTTCCTCCCAAAGAAGCAGCAGTCTTTGGAGAATCTCTGGGTTTAGCTAAGTTAAGCTGACAATGCTGTTTTATAAGCAAACTTTAACAAATAAACATATCTCTTAAAAAAATCATATTCTTATTCAACAGACACAGATCCTAAATATCACAGTTTAATATAGGCATATGCAGAGAAAACCATTAATTCAACTGCTTGCTATTATTTTAAACATTGATCACACATGATAAATCTGAAACCTGTCTTTCTATGGACTGAACCATAAATGGTTGTTTTAAAGGGAAGAAAACCCCATGTGCGCATCTCTTCATAAATTAATTGCCTTTTCCTAAATACTGCAGATGAGTCAGTTACTTCCTGAAGCACTGCTGTGGGCCACATAGGGTGATAATGCTATGACAGGTCACCTGGTCAGTGCCTAATGTCAAGCTCCTGCCTTTTGCTACAAACAACACTTTGGACATTTCTTGATACTGATTTAAAATCCTATTTTTACATTTTACTCATTTACTTGTTTGGTGTGTTTGTGGGGCAGGGGGTGACTGCATACACGCGCAGTAGAAGTCAGAGGGCAACCCGATTTCTCCTTCACCACCTGGATCCCATCAGGTTTGGCCACAGGCTCCTTGAAGCACGAAGCCATTCCACCCACCCAAGTTTTCAGACTAATTTTTTTAAATCGATCTAGTTAGAAGTGGAATTATTACACTAAAATTGTAAAATATCTTGCTGCTGCTGTTGTTGTTTTCCGATCAGGGTTTCTCTGTGTAGCCCTGGCTGTCCTGAAACTCACTCTGTAGACCAGGCTGGCCTCAAACTCACAGAGATCCGCCTGCCTCTGCCTCCCCAGTGCCAGGATTAAAGATGTGCACCACTGCCCCGGCCCATAACTGCGTCTTAAAATAGTGAACAACCGGCTTGTGGCTGGGGGACACCTTGCCGAGATCCTGCTCGGTTTTATAATTGCACTCTGGGGCGGCTGAGGCAGGACTGTGTGTGGTCAGTTCCAGATCAACCTGGGCTACGTAGCAAGATCGATCCTAAGTCACTAAGATAAAATTCATTAGTGGAGCTGCAAGCTTATCTTCTTGGGAGGAAAGCAGCAAGAGGTCAGAAGTTCAAGGCCACGGGCTACATGAGACCTGGTCTCAAAAAGAAAGAAAGTTAATTTGCACCATTAGGAAGGCACAATAGAGCAGGCGGCGATGGCAGGGTCTTTAAGGAAGCAGAGGCAGGGCGGTTACTGAGTTAGAGAACAGCCTGGTCTACAGTGTGGGCTCCAGGGCAGTCAGGGACACACAGAGAAACCCTGCCTCAAAAGGTAAAAAAAAAAAAGAAAAAGAAAGAAAGGAAGGAAGGAAGGGAAGGGAAGGGAAGGGAAGGGAAGGGAGGAAGAGAGGGAGGGAAGGGAGGGAGGAAGGAAGAAGGGACAGGCAGGCAGACAGATAGGAAGAAGGGGGGGGGAGTAGACAGACAGGGAGAAAGAAGGAAGGAGAGAAAGAAAGAGAGAGAGAGGAGGGAGCGGCAGACAGACAGACAGACGGGCAGGCAGACGGACAGACAGACGGGCAGGCAGGCAGACAGACGGACGGACAGACACGGGCAGGCAGACGGACAGACAGACAGACAGACAGACGGGCAGGCAGGCAGGCAGACAGACAGACAGGCCGACAGACAGACAGACAGACGGGCAGGCAGACAGGCAGACAGACAGACAGGCAGGCAGACGGACAGACAGACAGACGGACAGGCAGACAGACAGACGGACAGACGGGCAGGCAGACAGGCAGACAGACGGGCAGGCAGACAGACGGACAGACAGACAGACAGGCAGGCAGACGGATAGACAGACAGACGGACAGGCAGACAGGCAGGCAGACAGACGGACAGACGGACAGGCAGGCCGACAGGCAGGCAGGGGCGCCCGGTGAGCCGGCCGGGGCTGGAGGCGCGCCCCCGCAGAGCCGGGCGTGCACGCGCGCGGCCGTCCCGCCGGAAGAGCGCGCCTGGCGGCTGGGGCTGCGGAGAGCGGCGCGCGGGCGCTCCGGGGCGGCATGCAGCACCGACCCCGCCCGCGCCAGGGCGCCTGCAGCCTCAGGCCCGCAGCAATGTGGCCGCTGTGGCTGCTTGTCCTGGGGCTGCTGGCGGCGGGCCCCGCCGAGGCCCAGGCGGACTCCAGCGACGGTGAGCGTCCCGGACCGACCCTGTGCTCCGCGCGCGCGAGGCCGCAGGCCGCCCGGGCCGGGCCCCGCTCCGCTCCGCTCCGGGGCGGCGCCTCCTTGGGGCTGGGAGCCGGCAAGAGATAAGTAGGCGCCCCGGGCGCTCCTCCCGGCACGGAGCAGCCATGCTTGTAGCTGCAGGAGGAGGAGGAGGGATTGAAACGGCCCTCACATCTACGCCGGTTAGCGCAGCACGAGCCTGCGGCAGGAGGGTTGGGGGTTCGAGGCCAGCCTCGGGGGAGGGAGAGTCAGGCCCAAGCAAACGAAAGCGAAAACCTGAGGCCTCGGTTATGGGACAGCCGCGTCTGTCGAGGAACTAAGGCATTCCAGGCAGCGGGTGGCTTTGACACTCCAAAATCTAGATGCTTTTCCAAACGGGTGGATTTTGCAGTTTGAGAGGAAAACAAAACAAAACAAAAAACCGAGGCAGCGATGGGGCTTGAAATCCTAGGTCATGTGGCGAGTGAGAAGGGTTTAAGCGGGTGGGATGGGCGTTAATGGGAAATGTGAAAAGCACTAATTGTGGTGGTGGTGGTCACGTGTTTTGTTTTGGGAAGTTAAGTACATGCCTTGTTTTGAGCTCGAGACAAGTACTAGCGACAGCGGTCTTCTCTGGTGAAGGACGGCATAGATGCTTGTATCTGAAAAGCCTTTCACACACGCACACACACACACACACACACACACACACACCCTCTGGCTGATAGCAGGGGGAAGCGTTCACACACACACGCACACGCACAAAACTCTGGCTGATAGCAGGGGGAAGCGTTCGTTCGCCTCTGGCAGTATGCTGGCTGATTGTCATGAGCTGAGTATTGGAACACCCAGGATATAATGATCTCAGCCCTGAAGGCGCAAAGATGCTCACTGCACGAATAGGTAGCAATTTGAGCGAAGCCACTTTCTGAAAGGTTACCTTGCATGGGGAGGACTGGAGATGTTGCTCAGTTGGTAGCGCACTTGCCTAGCATCCCTGCCCGTGTGGGGGTACATGCCTAGAACCACCGCATTCAGAAGGAGAGTTCAAAGTCAGATTCAAACACGAGGAATGCGAGGCCAGCCTCGGCTACATGAGACCCTAAGTTAAAAGGAACTTTCACAGCATGAGGGTTTATATGTAGGCTTTCTGGAATCCTTGTCCTTAAAGCAAGCAGCCTCCTGGAGGAGGTGAGAGAGACATTTTTATTTCTAGTTTGGAGTTGCAGTACTTGGTACCTAGAATTCTTTTATTTTAAGTAGGGAATTAGTTTTGTTTTGTTTTTTAACACTCTGTCACCTCTGCTTGTGGCACAATACTTGGGCCGTTCTTTCTGCCCTCTGCTAGTATGGTTTTGTGCAGGAGAGAGATGGGACTCAGCAACTCAAATAAAACACTCAAATTCCCTACGCCTGGCTGGTACACAGACACAGTAAAAGGCTCGCACGACCCTCCTGTGGCTCGGCTGGGTTGTTAGGATACACCTGGACAACCTCTGTAATTTGAAAGGCTCTGCCAGACCTCGGGAGGATGGGGGGACGGAGGGCCTGGGTAGTGGCTTGATGCTTAGTGAGGGTTGGGAGGGAGATGTAGACCCTGAGATGGCTGAAGAAGCAGCTTCCTCAACAAGCCGGGGGTGGGGGGTTCATCTGCTTGTTCATCTGAACAGCCACCCTTCCTCTGGAGCCCCATTCTCTGCTTGCCCAGGCACCTTCATTTTTGTTTTAGATTCATACCCAGTTGCTCACCCGGAAAGCCACCCTTTAAGACTTGAGTACCTTGGAAAGGGCTTTAGGGGGCTATGGGCCGCCTCTCTGTATAGATGGATGTGGCGACTTTCTTCCACATGAAAGGCCATGTGTTTATTGTTGTGTGTCCTTTTAGTTTACACATCTACTTTGTGGAATTGAGGATTGGACCCTGGTCCTTGCACATACCAGACAAACATGCCACCACTCAGCTAGAGCCCCAATCCTTGCCTTTTAGTTTTTTGAGCTAATGACAGTTCATCTGAAGGTAAAGACAAGTAATCAGAAGCTGAACTGTAAATCCTGAGCACTTTAGAGGCTACAGCAGGAGGATTGCCTCCAGTTCAAGGCCAGTGTAGGCTAGGCAACACGACCTTAAAACAAACCAGCAACCCACAAACTAATGAAAACGGCACGGGGCAGTTGAATGTCTGCCTGCTGAAGCAGCTGGGTCATTTTTGCTCAGAGTGTTTGGGCAGAAGGATTAGAAAAGCTAGGCTTTCCTAAAGTTTGCTGCCGTGTGTCCGATGGATAAGGAGGGATGTCAGCGGTTCATTTAAGCACCAGAGCAAAAGAAGGAGATGGGTGGTTTTAAGACAGGAATCTGATGGGAAAGAGGAAAAAGATTAGGAATGGAAGGTCTTTCTAGAATGGAGTTAGTGGAAGGAAGAACTTGCCTGGTAAAGGATGGAAAGTGCCTTCTATTTGGATTGCAGCTGGGGCTGTTTTTAAGGTGTCGGACAAAAGCAGAGGTACATAGGACAGTGTGAGTAAGCTCGCCGTCCTGGCTGGGGCGTCCGCCCTGAGAGGCCCTTTGATGCCTCCTTCCCACTTTCAACATAAGATGTAATTATGCCTGTCAAACACTTCTGGCGACTCCTTCTCCAGATGGCTTGCGGGTGAAATTTGCCCCTGTTGACGTCTGCAGGATATATTTTGGCGGTGTCTTCTCTTGCCAAGTCTCCTTTGTGAGGAGAAATTAGATGCAGTTTCCAGCCGGGTCTGGCATCTCAAGCTTGTCTTGACCCAGCCAGCTGTTTGGGAAGTTGAAGCAGAAGGGTTGGAATTTCCTGGCCCACTTGGGCAATAGAGCAAGTTCAAGGGCAGTGTGGGCAACTTAGGCTCCACCTTGAAATACACATATTAAAGAGGGGCTAGGGATGTGGTTTGGTGGTAGGCTGTTGCTTAGTGCTTGAGAGGCTCTGGGCTCACTCTGTGGTGCCAGGAAACCAATAACAACAAAGCTAAACAAAAAGAAATTAAGTAATGTTTATTTCACGTATACAGTAGAAGCTGTTTTGACTTTCCTCTTCCTCCTCCTCCTCTCTCTCTCTCTCTCTCTCCTCCCTCCCTCTCTCTCTCCTGCCCAGGGCCTCATGCCATTACATGCCCCCCCCCATTGAACTCAGAGCCCAAGCAAGCATCTGCCACTAAGCCCAGGCCCCCAGGCCCCACTGCGGAGCATCTCTCATTGTCACTGTGGAAGTCCCTTCATGGAAGTCCCCTCATTGCTGCTTACGATAATCCCAGCATCTCTGGGAATGTCGCCCCCCCCCCCTTCTCTGGGTCAGTTGTTTGAGACTGCCTGGGTATTTTTGGCTTCTCTTTTAATTCGAAGCTCTGCATCTCCAAAGCGGTGGCAAGCTAAGGAAGCTCAGGATCCCACCACACAGCCTCTGATGGCTATAAGACTATTTCCCCGTGTGTTTGGTGCTCTTAGCAGCCCAGTGGTTTCTGTAGCACAGTTCCCTCCCTTTTGCTGTGAGAGGACACAGGCCCAGAGGAAATAAATACCTAGCCTCGGGTCTCATAGTTCAGTCTCTGTTGGACAAGCATTTACTGCCAGGTGACTGGTACAGTGCCAGACATTGGATCATCAGCTGTGACAAAGACCTGCTTGACTAGGAGGAAAACCACCCAGGCTTGGGTTAAAATGCAATCTTCTATACAAATTGTGCAATTGGCTCCTGGATGGTCAGTCATGTGCGCGCACACAAGGCAGCTCAGTTAAGAATGGAGAGGTGGCCTGGTGGTGGTGATGAATGCATTTAATCCCGCCAGATAGAGGCAGGTGGATCTCTGTGAGTTTGAGGCCAGCCTGATCTACTGATCCAGTTCCAGGACAGTCTCCAAAGTTGCAGAGAAACCAAAACCGGACAGGGGGTGGTGGGCGTGGGGGTGAAGGGGGTGGGGGTGGGGAAGAATGGAGAGGTGTGTGTGTCTCTCTTATTCACCGAGCATGGATGGTGTTTGCAGTTCTCAGTTACCTGGAGAGCTTTGGTGCAGGGTCTTGCATAGCCCAGGCTAGCCTTGAACTACCCACATAGCTGAGGTTGACTTGATCTTTCTGATCCTCTTGCCTCCACCCACCTCCCCAGTGTTGGGAGTACAGCGCCCGCCCACCACCCGCCTACGCCTACGCCTTGTTGGATGCGCTGGTCAAGCCCTCCATCAGCCAGTTTCAGTGCTGTCCTGCTCCATGTTGTTTGCAGACGTTTGCTTTAAATTCGTATCCGCAGCTACTGCTGGGGGTTTTATTTAAGGGGTAAGGGAGAGCCTGGGCAACAGATCACCCCCACATGAGTGTCACCAACAACCAGGATGCATTCCCGATGATAAGGACACTTCTGATAGCTACAGAAAAGTGATAAAAGGAGCTGTGTTGGAAACCGGAAATAATTTAAGGTATCCGTTCTCAGTGTTACCAGTGTTAAAGCAACAGGACCAGGTTTTAGATGCCATGGACAGCATCTTTCTTCCCCACCAGCTTTCACGGTTAGCCTTCTGCCCGCCTGGTTCCTCGTGTGGGGGCGGGGCCTCCGGGAACCATCATCTCTGAAGATGCTGAATCCTCATGGTTCCTGGAAGGCTGGGTGCAGTTCTGGAAGGCAGAGGCTTCAGCTTAAACTTTTGGTCCTGCTCCCTAGGTAGTCTCTCATGCTGTTTGTTTTCCTTTATGAGTTTTTAGACAAGAATACAGCTTGGATACATAAGGGCAAAGGCCACCTGTTACTATATAGCAGTAAAATTATCTCACATGCAGTAATCCTCCGACCTGTATGCTTCCTAGAACATTCTCCCGAAAACCAGAACTATTTTATCTTATTTTGGGGAACTTTGAGTCTCATGTAGTGCAGGCTGTCTTCAAACTCTGTCCAGCTGAGGATAATCTTGATCCTGCTTCTTCTTGTCTCTACTTCTGAGTGCTGAGATTGAAAGTATGCATGCCATGCATAGCAAGTTTTCTTTTTAAAAAAGTACATTTTTAAAAAGATTAATTTATTTATTATGTATACTGTGTTCTTCCTATCTGTGTGTATGCCTGCAGGCCAGTCCCAGATCTCATTATAGATGGCAGTAAGCCATCATGTGGTTGCTGGGAATTGATCAGGTCCTCTGGAGCCTCAGCCTCTGAGCCTTCTCTCCATCCCACATGGCAATTTTTCTTAACTTATTTTTCATGCTAGAATAGCAGTATGTTCATCAATAGGTGTGTTTAGTAACTATGGTATGCATGCACATGGGGTACTAAATAGCTTTAAAAAGGGCCAAGCTAGAACTACCCTTTCCCCTCAGTACTGCTATGGAACCCAGGGCCTTGCACGTGATGCACAGATGCTCTATCCCTGCGATGCAGCTTCTGCCCCTGGATTATCAATATTGACACAGACCGATGCCTAAGGCCTAGAGAGTGGGCTATTATGCCAAACGTTTACACATCTTTCTTCTTGCACATATATGGAATAAGCATGACACATCTTGATACTGCGCCTTCAATGCAGAGTTGGCCCCCATACCCACGAGCTTTGTGTCCTGCAGATCCAGTCAGCTGCGGAGTGATGATAGCATTTTAAAAGTGCATCTGTACTGAGTGTGGGTGTACGTCTGTCACAATACTGTTTTAAAAATACATGTATTGTGTGTGTGTGTGTGTGACTGTGTGCATGCGTGCAAGCAGGTGTATGTAGGATCTGGAGGAGCATGCCAGGTTCCTGCTTTATTCCTCCCCGCCTTATTCCCTTGAGACAGGATCTCTCTGTGAATGTGGAGCTACAGTGGTGGCTGGAAGCCCACAGGGACCCTCCTACCTCTGCTCTCTGATAGCATAGAAACCACATGTGTGTGGCTGTGCCTGGCTTTTTTATGTGGGTGCTGGGATTTGAACTCAGGTCCCCATGCTTTCTCAACAAGTTCTCTTGTCCACTGAGCCATCTCTTTATCTGCTATGGCGGGTACCGCTTCATGTGAGGCATGGGCAGGGGCTGGTAGTTTGGAGAGTCTGGGACCTGTATCCTGTGGATGCTGAGGGTGGTGGTACCCGTCTGGGGATGGATGTCTGCACTAGGACAAGTGCTGAGAGCATCCCCATATTGTTTGTCTCTCTTCCTCCTAATGCTGAGAATTGAACATAGCTTTTTTTTAATTTATTTTTATTTTTTTATCTTTTTGTGTTTTGTCGTTGCTTTACTGAATTTAAAATGTAGACTCAAGGCAGAGCATGAATCTCGAGGCCATCAAAGCTGGAAGCTTGTCAAACCGGGGCATTCTTTTCTGGCTAAGAACACTTTGAGACTTGAGAAAGTGTGTAAAGAACGCTGCTTGACACGCACGCTCAGTGGCGACCTCACGCCTCGCGTTCTTTATCAGGGTTATCCCGACCACTACAGTGTGAACCAAATTTGAAGCAAGCTTGATTTTTATTGGTGTGCACCTAATACCCGACCCTAACTGACGCCTCCTAAGTTAGGTTAAAGAGAGCAGCCCCGAGCCCCTCTCTTGAGCCCCTTTTAAGGAGTAAAGTCCTGAGTAGCTTTACAGAAAGGACACAATGGGACAATGAGTAAATACAAACCAATCTTTAAAAAAAAAAAAAAAAAATCAGGGACGGGGGGGGGGGGGGGGCAGGGAGGGCTGGGGTGCTCTCCAAAACAAATCCAGGTCAGGTTTTAGGAAACAGAGAACAACTCAACTCTCACAGCAAATAGAATCTTGTTTTTAAAAATGTAGCATGATGGTTCCCGTGTTTAAAATGGAGTCAGGCAGGTCCCTCAGCCAGCCCCCATCATTTAATCATCTTAATTAACGTGCTGCTGTGTTTCTTGTCTGAAGATTTTGTTTTATTGTGTATGGGTGTTTTGCCTGCATGTGCCACCCAGTGCTTTAGGTGGGCCAGAAAAGGGGTCCCCTGGAACTGGATTCAGGCGGTTGAGCTGCCATGTGGGCTCTGGGAACTCAGCCGGGTCCTCTGGAAGAGCAGCCAGTGCTTTTACCTCTGGTCTATGATTCTTCACATCACTGTATGTAGTATGCTGGTATCTTGGAGATTATGGACTGAAGAGCATCGAGATGACCATCAGCGTCTCTCTAGACGTAGCTAAGTTTCCTCCAGGCCTTCTGGGCTTTTCTGGCTCAGAGTCTGTGTCATGGGAGACAACAAGAGCCACCAGAGCATCTTCTGGGGCACATTAGAGGCAAGTCCCAGAGATGGTGGCAGGCGCCTTGGAGAGGTACACTGTAATGAGTTTGTTTGCACAAGTTTTAGGTGCAGAAAGAGTGATTGTATAAGTACTTGCTGATACTTACCAAATGGAGAAAATGAGTGGTGTGTGTGTGTGTGTGTGTGTGTGTGTGTGTGTGTGTGCGCGTGCGCGCATTAGTGGGGAATGAAACCAGAAAATGTAGGACAGAAATGAGCTGAGAGCTCCTTGCACAGTGAAGCATTAGTGATGCCTAAGGGCAGAAAGCACATTTGTGCTCTTAAGACAGGGTCGTTTTAAAAAATGAATTAAATCCTCTGTCATTTTCACACATGGGTTTGGCAGTGCCTGTTGGAGACTGATGGGCTCAACAGTGGGTACACTGCTGAAGACAGTGACACCCTAGAGTGTGTCATTAATCATAGTTCAGCAGGAAGGGTAGGGTAGGCCCCCGAGCCCCTCCCATATCCATGATTGCTGACCTAGTGCAGGTAACTGTGACTGCTGTGAATTCAGCTTGCAATGTCTCCGTCTCCTTGTCTTCACACACACCACCCAAACAACAACAGGTTCTTGATCTTCAGCCCAGGCTGGTCTTGCATTTGCATGGAACCCTCTGCTTTACCCTCCCAAGGGCTGGGATAATAGGCATGAACCACCATACCTGGCTCGCAGGGGGGTTTTCTGAGGGTTAAATGAGCATTGTGCGTTTTTTGTTTGTTTGTTTTTTTTAATGGATGAGATTTACATAAACTGATACTAGAGGTATAATAGTGTAATGAGAAAATTTTCCCATTGTAGGTTTTCTGGAATTTTCTGTGGGAAAATTTACATACTTTCTGCTGAGCAGGCCCTTTCCACAGGAGGGCATTCTGCGCCACATATCAAGCAACGTGACCTTTCTCCTTTTCCAAATACACTCACAGTATCAGAACACCACCGTTTCCTTTACTAAGGTAAGTGCAAAGGGTTATTCCTGTAAGGTCATCTCTATGATGTCGAGGCTTGTGTGTTAGACTCTGATGTCTGTTTGTGTGTGGGCCTGGTCTCCAGCAAGGGCCCAGTCATCTTTAGTCACAGGATCTCACTGCCCAGGCGATGGGTTGTCATGGCAATGGGTCCTTTGAGGCCACTGACTCTACTTTGTGGCCTGCCAGGTTGAAACACTCCTGGTACATTTCCTTTCTTACTCCGCTTAGGAGAACATCTGTCTGAGGGCAGGAGGATTAAAGGGTTTAAGGGCAGCTTCAGCTGCACAGTGAGGCTGAGACCCCCTGGCCTACATGGGCCCTTGTCTTAAAGGAAAAGGTCTACCAGCCAGCAGGCTGGAGACATAGTCAGTGGCTGTTCTTGCAGAGGACCTGACTTTGGTTCCCAATGCCCACATGGTGGCTCCCAACCATCCCTAACTCCTGTTCCAGAGGCTCTGATGCGCCCCCCCACCCCCCACCCCGGCCTCCACAGGCACCAGGCACTATGTGGCATGCAGACATGCATGCCAGCAAAAATATTCATACGTACAAAATAAAAATAACTAACTAAATAAAACCGTAAGACAAAAGCTTTCTTTGTTTTAAAGCTTTTGTGCACATATTATTAATCTTTTAAGATTTATTTATTATGTATACAGTAGGGCACTTGATCTCATTATGGATGGTTGTGAGCCACCATGTGGGTTCTGAGAATTGAACTCAGCACCTCTGGAAGAGCAGCCAAGTGCTCTTAACCACAGAGCCATCTCTCCAGCCCAAGACAAAAGCTTTCTGTAAGCTGAACTCTTTGGGACCAAAGCGCCTGTTTTGTCTTGTTAAGCCCCAGAACTTAACAGGATAAACCTTAATTCAGTTGAACTGTAGTGCTTAAAAAAATTCAATGTACCATTCTAGAGTTTTGCTTATTTTCCCCCCTTAAAGCTGGGAATGAAACCCAGGCCATGACACTTGAGAGACACTTGCTTTCCACCTGGCCTCCGCCCAGACCCCTAGTGTCTTGGCATGAAATGGAAATGGGTGCCACGGAGATGGCTCGGTCTGTGGGGCCTGAGTTTGAGCTCTAGAACATACCAAAACAAAACGAAATCCAGCCAGGCCTGCCTGGTGTGGGTTTGTTCCCCCCATTGGCGGGGTGGGGGTGGAAATAAGTGAGCTGGAGGGGATGGAGAGATGGCTCAGCGGTTCAGAGTACTTGTTCTTGGAGAGAACCTGGGTCAGTTCCCAAGGTTCCCGGGGCAGCTCACATCCATCTCTTAGTCCGGTCTCAGGAGAGCTGACACCCCCTTTTGATTTCTGAGGGCCACACGGTACACATGTATACATGCAGCAAACCACTCATATGTATATGAATCTAAAATATATAAATTAATTAAAATTCTAAACTGGAGAGGGGTGAAGGGTGATGCCCAGTGTCCCCACTGTTGGGCTCACACACTTGGCATGCGCACATGTTCACACTTGCACACACGCGCACACATACACGTAAGGGTACTTAGAGCAGTGACCGCCTTTACCAGTAACATAGAGCCCCTGTGAAACAGGCCCCGCCCCCCCAAGAGCGCCTCCCTCCCTCTGCTTATAAGCCCTAAAGCCTGCCGTAGTGTGTCACAGCAGTTCAGACTGACTGAGGCAACAGTATGTATTGCTAAACTTTTATTTGTTTTATACAAGTATATTGTCAGTATACCTGTTTGTGTACCGCTTATGGGTATCAGATGCCCGGGAACCGGAATTACAGACTGTCGTGAGCCATCATGTGGTCATTGGGAGTGGAGCTCAGGTCTTTTGGAAGAGCAACCAGTGCTCTTAGCTGCGGGGCCGTCTCCAGCCCTCAATGACGGTTTGTTTCAGGGAGCTCTGTATGCGAAGGTGTGCATATATGAATGTAGAGATGGAAACTCTAAGTAGGTTTCTTTTTCACTTTCTTTGTTCTTTCTTCTTTTTCTTCTTTGTTTCTGAGGGGGTTTGGAGAGGGCTGTACACACTGGGTAGCTCTGCAGTGCGTGTGATTTCTCAATTCTCTCTTCATGCAGACTCTCCTTCCTGGCGCCTCGGCGACAGGGAACGACAGAGGGCTGGTTTTCATTCTCAGACCCGAGCAGACTATGTGCACTTGGCATTTGGAGACAGAGTATGCCAGGCCTGTTAAAAATGTGGCCATTCCACTCTCCTACTCAGAAAGAGGTAATTTCCTGCCTAAGTTCATCTGTGGAATATGAGCTCTGTTTGCGGAAACCTAAGGAGAACTAGCCTGGTAAAATTGTTTGTTACGAGAGCCGTTTATTTAGTAGGAGTGTTTCAGTGTAAGAGAGGCAGAGAACACAGCATCAGGACCAGCCCTTTGTAGCGACATGCTGTTCTAGGCAGAGGCGGCGGCAGAAGGCTCATCCTCACGAAGGTGCAGGTTTGGAGAGCAAAGAGCCTTGGGAGTCTGCAGGCAGCGCTAAGGTGGGCTCAGAGGGAGCATAGAGAGTTTGGGCAGAGGGACGCCGTAGTCTGTTTCATCTTTAGAAAGCTGACCGTAGAGGGACGGATGCTGTGGCTTGGTTGGTCAGTGCTTGCCCAGGACACCCTGGGTTCCATGTCCAGGAAACTGGTCCCTGTTGCATGCCTGCAATCCAGCACTGAGGAGATGGAGGCAAGAGGACCCAGAGCTCAGAGTGAGCTCATGCTCATGGCAGGCTGAAGGCCAGCCTGAGCAACATGAAGAAGGACGAGCAGTCAGCCTGGGTACAGCGGTGAGGACGATAGCCTGAGCCAGGGCTGGGGAGGGGGAATGATGCCGGGACTTACAGGCCATCAGAGGGGACATATCGGAGGTCATGCTACACATAGGTTTACACGGGGGGGACATGTGATTGGGAGCTCAGAGTTGGCAAGCAGAACACTGGCCTGGGGTAAAGGAATGAGATCAGATGGACATTAAAGCTGGCATTAAAGCCAAAACCATGCTTGAGATTGTCCAAGCAGGGACTCAGACGCCTGGGGGAGGGGGTTGATTGTTTCCTAGTGTTGAGCACATGTCAGACACTGTACTGGGGTGGTGAGTGTTAGTACTCAGGCATCTGTACAGGCCTGCCCTGGGGGTTCTGACAGGATACGTCCTCAGCCGCAGCCACTAAGAGCACCACCTGTGCACATTCACTACGTTCCCTTTCAAAGGGCCCCGCCCACCTCCCATCCCTCTCTCCCTCTCTGTCTGTTACTCCCTCTTCTCTCCTTTTCTCTCCCCTCTCTCCTCTCTCTCCCCGTCTTTCCTCTCCTGCTGCTCCTGTCTCCAGAGGCCGGTCTCCCCCCTCCCCCCCTTTATGATCCCTTTCCCTGATGTAAAAACCCCTCTTGAACTCTGTCGACTGTCTTTCTCTCGTGCGGCACTTTTCTAAATTACAACCGTGATAACTGCAGAGGTATGCGCAGTGCTGAGGAGATCTCTGGAGGTAGAGGGACACCTGAGCCAGGAGCAATGCACAGTAAGTTCCAGAGGAGTGACCAGCAGTGTCTGAGCAACGGGACGCGAGCCAGATCACAGTGCTGGCTTAATGAAGGCGGCTGAGGAAGTTCAGACTGCTGGGGTGTGGGAGGGAGTAGGGCTGGGAACAGCCCTGGGTTTGAAAAGGACATTCATCAGTCATGATACAGCAGAGATGCTGGGCGCCGACACATTGCTGTGTAGGACGTTCTCGTGAAGGATGTTTTCTATGGCGTGATGAGAATTCTTGGGTTACTAATCTCACCATTTTTCACCCAGATCCCATTCCTGGAGGCTGTAATTTGGAGTTTGACCTAGATATTGATCCCAACATTTACTTGGACTATAATTTTTTTGAAACAACTATCAAGTTTGCACCAGCAAATCTAGGCTATGCGAGGTATGGCTGCTGATCCCCCGTGCCAAAACCCCTCATAGGGTACTCATGACCGTAGAGCAGGTCCAGCCTATTGCCTCAGCCAATCATTCTCTATAGTAAAGTTGAATTGTTTTTTGTTTGGGGGGATGTTGGCATAATTTAAACCTCCGTGCTAATATTTGGGCTATTGTTTATACTGAATCATTTTTAATACTTCTGAGTTCTTTATTTGAAGAGGCAGGTGTTATGTGAGATTGGAAGTACATCTTAGTTTTTTTTTTAAGATTTATTTTTATTATTTCTAAGTGTGTGTATGTATGTGTGTCTGTGTGGATATGTGTGTATGAGTACAGGTGTCTATAAAGGCTAGAGGTTCTGGGTGTCCTGGTGTAGCAGGCTTTCTTTTAGTTAGGCCACCAAGCAGCTCCCAAATCATGACAGAGACTTATTATTAGTTACGAATGTGTGGCCTTATTTAGCTCTTATTTTAATCATTTTCTCGCTATATTTTGCCTTGGGGCTTTTTACATTTACATTTACACTCTGCCTACTGTGTGCCTGCTGCTAGCAGCTACCTGGCTGCCCCCCCCCCAGCCTAGAACCCTCCTCCTACCTATTCTTTCTGCCTGTCAGCTCCTCCTAACCCTCTACCGCCCTGCTATTGGTTGTTCAGATCTTTGTTAGACCGATCAGGTGCTTTCGGCTGGCAAGGTAAAACAGCAACACATCTTTACATAATTAAACAAATGCAGCATGAATAAAAGCAACACACTTTACCTCGTTAACAAAGGCAGCAGAGACAAATGTAACACAGCTTTGCACAGTTAAAGTAATATTCCGCAGCGTAAACGAATGTAATGCCTCTTCACGTAGTTGAAGGGGGTTGTGAGCTGCTGAGTGTGGGTCTGGGGACTGAGCTCGGACCTGTGGGTGTAAGAGCGATGTGTGTACTTAACCCTGAAGCCTCCTTCCAGCCCTGTCTTAGTTTTCTCAAAGCCTTTAAATATAGGAGACATTCCACAGTCCTAAATTCTTATACCTTATGGGGATTTAATTTTTCAAAAGTCTGCGCTTTTGAGGTTAGACTCCTTCTTCTGGACTCCATGGGTACGCACACTCACAAGTACACACACACATACACACACAGACACACTTAACCACATGATCCAGTATCAAACAGCAAAAGTATCATTGCTCTGGGCCAACCCACTTCAGAATCTGCTTCGCATCTCAACCACATCAGGGCGTGTGTGTGTGTGTGTGTGTGTGTGTGTGTGTGTGTGTGTGTGTGTGTGTGTGTGTGTGTATTGGGGCTCCTGCAGGATGCAGACCTCTTACTGAGTCTGCAGGAGAAGAGTGCCTGGAGCTGCCTGGGGCCTTGTCTACAAGGACGCCCGTCCTCACAGGAGGGCCCCTCCTTCACGATCTAATTATCTTCCCGAAGCCAGCTTCTAGTACTGTCACATTGGAGGCAGGGACTTCAGACATGGGTTTTGGGCAACACCAATCCAGCCCATTCCTCCCCCCACCCCCACCCCAGTGCCACTTAGAATCTGCAGGCGTTTGGGACTGGAGCTCTGGCTCCCCCTATAGACAGGACTTGAGCCACACGAGACTGATGTCCATCTTGTTGGTTGGCTTTAGAGGTGCGGACCCTCCACCATGTGATGTGAGCACGGGCCAGGAGTCCCGGTGGAGGCTGCGGTATGATGTGTACCGGTACTTTCTCCCCGAGGGCGACCTCACCGAAGCCTCGCTGCTCCAGCATCTTCAGAGGATGGCCCAGGTGCCCCAGGTGGAGGCCAGTGCAGTCAAGGTGAGGCATGTAGCTGGGTCGGGCACTCTGATGTGATGTTAGCCTTTGAGGAGAAGCAAGTCGGAGCTCTTTTGATGGCAGCCATATCCTGACCTCATCATCCTGGTAAAAGAAGTAGGTGATAATTTTCTGAACACTCCAGTAACTTAGATAAGAGCTTCTGGCAAGTGTAAAGGGAAGAGTCTAAAAACTGAGAAACCACCGAAGGATATACACATCGGTATTAATGTCTTTAACATATTTTACTAACTCTTGGAGAATTTCATGCGTGAATGCGATGCATTCCCAACTCCTCCCTGATCCACCCCCAATTCCCTCCCCACCTTGTGTGTTTTTGTTTGTTTCAAGTAGCCCACCGAGTCCAGTCTGTGCTGCCTGTATACTCCTGGATATGAGCCGTCCGGTGGAGCGTGGCCGACCTGGGCTACACTCTTAAGGAGACTGTCAGTCTGGAGCGGGGTCTCAGCTCTTTAGAGGCCCTTGCCGCTCTTGCAGAGGGCTTGCTTAGATTCAGTTCCCAGCACCCACGTCAGGAGGTGTAGCCAGAATAGCAAATGCTCAGAGACACATACTGCGTTAAAGCCGAAGATCAGATAAACAAAGCGGCCAGCCACTAGCTCTTACCTCTACCTCAGACCATAATGGGTGATCCTGTCTCCACGAATCCTCAGAGTACAATGCGGATTGCGCTGCTCTGCACCAAGCTTCAGACTGCAATCTCTGAGTTTCTGTCCCCCCTTCCCCCCCTCTTCCCATCCCCCCCCACATTCCTGTCTCCATCCAGCCACAGCACACCAGTGTCCACTTTGCTAGCGTGGGGTTTACAGGTGTGTCATCCCAAGGGCTGAGATCACCTTTGTGTGAGCTGTTTCTCTTTTAGACTGGATCAGTTTCTTGTAGCTCAGTGTGGCCTTGAACTAACAGATCCATCTGCCTCTGTCTCCTGAGCCCTGGGATTCAAGGTGTGACCACGGCTGCCTGGCTCTGTGGCTGTGGCTGGTTTTGCATTTTTATCTCCAGTTGCTTTATTCAATCATAAACAATGTATCACCACGAGGCCTCTCAGAAGTGTCTGTAACCCCAGCTCCAAGGGATCTGACTGACATCCTCATCCAGACTCCATGAGTTTCTCACTCACAAGTGCACACTCACACGCGCCAGTGCACACGCTCACACACACCAGTGCACACTCACACTCAGGAGTGCACACACTCACACGCACATGCACTTAAAAACAAAATCTTGTAAAAAGGGAAACCGACTTTCCCTTCCCGGAAGCCATCAGCTGTCAGTAGCTCCTGGGACCCCACAATGGGATGTAGACTGGCTTGGCTTGTGCAGGTCTTGTGCAGCTTACCGCAGCCACCACAGGTTTAAAAGGTCGTGTAAACACTTGCTTGCTGTGTCTGGCTTTAGGTGGTTACCCTGACATCGGACGATAAAACAACCGTGTCCTTCTCCTCCCTCCCGGGGCAAGGAGTCATTTATAATGTCATCGTTTGGGATCCATCCCTAAATACTTCTGCTGCCTATGTTCCCGTGCACACGTATGCTTGCAGCTTTGAGTCGGCGGACGGTAACTGTGTCTCACCTGGTGAGTATTCAGACTTAAACCTGGACGGGTCCTTCCTTGGCTTCGGAGGTTCATGTCCACTAGTGAAGAGTTAAAGATTGTTCACAAACGCTTTGCCTCGATTTCCTTGGCTCACCTACCAGGTACCGTCCGTTTGTAAGACCCCCACATCAGGGCTGAAGGGGTGGCTCACTAGTTAAGAGCACTTGTTCTTGCAAAGGACCCAGGTTCAATTCCCAGCACCCACATGGCAGCTCACGACCATCCATAAGTCCAGTTCCAAGGACCTGATGCCCTCTGCTGAGCTCCGTGAGAACCAGGCACGTACATGGTGCCCAGATACCCACAAAAGCAAGACATTCAACACATGAAGTATGTGCATCTGAAAACACAGGTGCCATATTACTGTACTCCATGCACGGCAGCAGAATAGATCAGAGCAGAGCGAGAGCCAGGGCACAACAGACAAACCCAGAGCATTTACATTTACTGGGGGTCAGTTTCCCCCCATGTACAGTGTGCGTGCGTGTGTGCGCGTGCATGCGCGTGCGTGTGTGCGTGTGTGTGCGTGCGTGTGCGTGTGTGTGTAGTGAGGGAGATAAGACCATTATGCTGTATTTATAGCACACACTGTGAGCAAGCCCCCAGTTAAATGCTTTATTTTATAAGCTGCCTCAGTCATGGTGTGTCTTCACAGCGATAGAGCAGTAACTGAGACAGGTTGGTGTGTGTGTGTGCGTGTGCACATGCGTGTGCACATGCGTGTGCATGTGGAGGCCAGAGGCTGGTGTTGGATGTCTCAATGTCATCCTTAGAGACAGTCCCTCACTGTCCCTGGAGCTCTCCAGTTTGGCAGGCCAGCCAGCCCCAGGGATCCTCTTGTGCACCTCCCTAGCCCTGGGAGTCAGCCACCGCCACACCCAGCTTTCTATGTGGATCTGAGCTCCCATCCGAGGGCTTGGGAGACTTTACCCACTAAGCTGCCTTCCCGGCCCCCAGTTTTTTAATGTGAAGGGAATCAAGGCAGAAAGGACACTCTGCCAGCTCCATGGTTTTGGTGACAGTCACCCATGTCCTGAAGCAGAGTGCGTGTTTTGTCTTTGGCGCAGTTCCTGCGGTCTTGTTCTCAGAGAGGCAGATCTGCCGGTCCACCATGACTCAGACCCTGGTCTTAGCCCGTTCATTCCTTGCTTAAATGCGTGCCCTCATGCTGCTTCCACTGGACACCATTAAGCAGCTGATGCATTTGAATTCGTGGCCATCTTGTAAGCTTTTCAGTGTGTGCACGTGCTTTGCTTCTGTTCCTATTCAAGGATTATTTCCTTACGCTCATTTTGAAGGGTGTCCAAGGAAGGTGAATTTGGTGAGCAGTGCTTCCTTTTGCTAAGGGTTATCTTTCTAAAACAGTAGAGTGATTTACTTTTATTTTATGTATGTGGATGTTTTGCTTGCACGTGGCCTGTGCACTCTGTGAGTATAGTGCCAGGAGAGGGCACGGGATCCTGTGGAGCTGGAGTTGCAGCTGGCTTGAGCCACCATGTGGGGGCTGGAAATTTGATCTGTGCCCTATAAAATCCACAAATGCTCTTACCCATTGAACCATCTCATTGCTCACTTTTTTGAGACAGGCTTGGGCTGACTCTGTAGCACAGTTGCCTTTGAATACGCACTGATGCTCCTGCCTCAGCCCCCCCCCCAGGGCTGGGGTCTCAGCCCCCCAGGGCTGGGGTGACAGCCATGCATACCCCCAGTGGCCTGAGCCAGGTTGTGGATGAGAACTATGTTTAGTTCGTGTGTCTTACGAACTTTCTTTAACTGATTTGCCCTGCTTTTGTCCCTGAGGTTTATTTGTTAAAGATACAGACATGTTTTAGGCACACGTTACGCCATACCCTTCCTAAAGAAACACCACAGGTGTCTGGAGCATGCTGTCTGGCTCTCCTTGTTATAAAAAGCAGCCATTGGGCGTAATCACCTGCATAGGTTAATTCTTTGGGGGAACAAGAGTTTTTCAGAGCAGTGATGTTGTGTAGAGTAAGTGACCCTTGAGCCAGCTCACCTTCCCTGCTTTGCTTACAAATTAACAAAGATGCCCTTGCCCACTAATCTTAATTATTTATCTGTGTGTTTTTAAGGGAGAGTATCTACCAAAGTGTTCTTCACTGTGTTTGCCCTGCTTGGGCTCTTCGTTTGTTTCTTTGGACACAGATTCTGGAAAACAGGTACCGTTTCCCACATAGACTCTCATTCAGTCTGCTAGTCTGAGGCTAGCCTGGGCTACATAAAGGAGACCTTTCCTCAAAGAACCATGAAATTAGCAAGTAACCATTACACTGTGTAATAGGCAAGTGCAGCTAGTATCTGGTATCTGACGCTGCGGCCTACTGCGTCCGGTCTCTGTTCACGCTCCCCGGCCCTTCACAGTGATTCTGGGAATAGCCGTGGTGCATGAGTCTGCGCACTTGGGCACAGACTTGAACATTAGATGCCTCCGTTGCGTAGGTTTTCGTTTGTTTCCCATTTTCTGATGGTTTCCTCCTAGAATTATTCTTCATGGGCTTCATCTTCCTGGGGTTCTTCTTTTACATCCTGATCAGCAGACTGACATCCCTTACCTACGATGGTGAGTATGGAGTTAGGTGAGCGTGCAGAGGGAGCTGTTGGGTTCACACCCACCACGCCTTCTGCTGTTTAATCTGTGCTGGGTGTCACATGCACCAAGTGTGAGATGATGGCGGCCTGTGCCTGGAACCCTGTTTTGCCGCTGCGATTGGGCTTGCTTTCCTGCGCAGCAACAAAGAGGCAAGACCAGGGCACTCAGCTGTAGTCCCAACACTCAGGAAGCTGAGGCAGGAGGATTAAATGTCTGAGAGCCGAGCCATCCGTCGTACATAATGAAACCTTGTGTCAAAAACCAAAAGCAAACCAGGGCGATGGTAGTCCACGCTTTTAATCCCAACACTCGGGAGGCAGAGGCAGGAGTATCTCTGAGTTCAAGGCCAGCCTGGTCCACAGAGCGAGTTCCAGGACAGCCAGGGCTACACAGAGAAACCCTGTCTCAGGAAAAAACAAAAACAAAAAACCCAATAATAACAAAAATCAAATAAAAACAGCAGGAGGCACCAGCCGGGAGTGGCTCAGCAGGAAAGCTTTTGTCTGGCTGGTTAGGTCCCAGTGTCACAGAAACAGACAAACCCACGTGTGGTGGTGTGAGGCAGAGGCCGAAGGGCCAGCCTGGGCTACAGAGTAAGGCAATGCCCCAGAGTTGCTCACACACCCCGGGGCGGGGTATGGCAAACACTCTTCTCCCCAGCTTCATTTATTTCTTGAGACAGTGTCTGATGTAACCCAAGCTGGCCTAGAACTCACTCTGTGGCGGAGGAGGATATGAACCTCTGATCCTTCCAGAGCTTCACGCCAGGGAAACACATCCTCAGCCTCCCCGTCCCCCGGCTGCCCTGCCCCATCACGACCCCCCCCCCCCCATTACATTTAAGGTTGGCTGTCATCTTTGCTGTCTTAGCGACAGCAGACTGGAGTGACAGTACCTTGAAGGACATGTAGGCTGAAGTGGAGGCTGACACCTGCTGATCTGTCTTCCTGTGCCTTCTCCCTTGTGCAGTCCGCCTGGTCCTCACCGCTGTAGCCGGCAGCGTCGGTGGCATCCTCCTGCTGGCCTCCTGGTGGCGATTTGGGACCCTCATGTTCTGTATGCTGTGTGTTGGACTCGTGCTGGGTTTCCTCGTCTCTTCTGGGACTTTCTTCACTCCTCTGGGTAGGACATGCTGTCATGTGTGTGTGTGTGTGCATGTGCGTGTGCATGTGTATGCGTGTAGTACATGTATACCCATGTGAGTTCCAGGACTTGAACTCAGATAATCAGACTTGATGTCAAGTTACCCTACCATTGAACCATCCTGCCAGTCCCAAGTTTTTCTCCTCTCTCTCTTTTAGCTTTTGTAGCCCTGGCTGTTCTAAACCTCGCTCTTGTAGACTAGAATGGCCTCACTTGAACTCAGAGATCCACCCGCCTTTGCCTCCTGAGTACTGGGATTAAAGGTGTGTGCCACCACCTCCTGGCTTCTGTTACACGCAAGGTAGGTGATGGGACTCAGAGCAGAGCAGAGATTATATTTTTAAATTTTACTTTAAATTATGATACAAGGTCTTCCTTTGCAGCCCAGGCTGGCTTCAACTCTTGGTAATCCTTTGTTTCTGTTTCCTGACTCCTGGGATTACAGGTGTGAGCCACCACCATACAGCCGTCAGAGTCTAACTTGAGTCATAAGGAGATGCCCAGGGTGTCACGGGTGGACAGGGTGCTGCTCTGATGGGCACTGAGCTTGGAACCTGGTGCTGTGGCCAGGGTTCCCTTTACTCTCTATCCACTCTTTTCCGTCTCCATCCCCCAAGGGCCCCTCAGACAGGGCTCGGCTCACTGAGGCGGGTTCTCCAGGGTCCCTTCTAGGATGAAGGTCCATCAGCTCAGCAGCTAGTTCATAGCACTGGAAGGAAGCTCTTGCAGAGGATGCACATTTTTAAACTATTTACTACTTTTCCTTTTCCTTTGGGAACAGGATCTCACTGTGTAGTCTGACTAGCTTGGAATTCATTGTGTAGACCACACTGGCACAGTCGACCATTTCGACTTCAGAGATTTTCCAGCCTCTTCCGCCTCCCGAGCACACCGACACACCCACTTCCGCCTCCCGAGCATCTGGGAGTACTGGTTGGTGTCTGTCACCACACGCAGGGTTTAAACCTAGTGTGTGAAAGAGGGCCCCATGTCGCTCTGGGTCCCCCAAGGTGTGCTGCCCGCTGGGCTGGAGCAGCAGAAAGTATGTGAAGCGCCTTAGTGGCTCGTACTGAGTCCAGTGCTGACTGACTGCCATCTGTGTGGGTCCCATTACAGACGATGATGAAAGCTTGGAGCTGGAGGGGAGACCAGGACTCCCGCCGCACAGTCTCCCCCCTTTGTTGGGGGGGGGTAGGAATCAGAGCCATAGGGCTGAGGAATAGGAGGGCAGGACTATGGCAGCCTCTTCAAGTCATCCTCTAGATCCCTCACACCCTTAAAACGACATTATGTCAGCTGGGCGAGGCTGCACACATCTTTAATCCCCGCACTGGGGTGGCAGAAGCAGGAGGCAGAACACTGAGTTCCAGGCCAGCCTGGGCTACACAGAGAGAGAAGCCCTGTCTACAAACATACAAACACAGGTGTGTGTGGATTGTATTGTCCGTGTGCTGCTGACAGCGCATTCCCTGGCTGTCGCTTTAAGCCTTGTGTTTGTGGACACAAGAGACAGTGACATTTAACTTGTGGACATCTTGTTTCTTCTTATTTCTCTGCTTTCCCAGGAAATCTACATTTGTTTCGCGATGACGGAGTGTTCTGGGTGACGTTCTGTTGCGTAGCTCTGCTCATCCCAGTCATCTTCATGGGCTGCCTAAGAATAGTGAGTGTTGGAGTGAACTCACGCCCTGCCAGCCTTCCCTGGATCCTTCACGAGTCTCATTCACCAGCAAACCAGGGAGGGGAGGGCTCTGTGGTTGTCAGGGCTGAGGAAGTTCTGTGATTGTCACCTGTGTTTGTCCTTGTTGTTCTTCAGGGTTGTTACGGGTGTGTGTGTGTGTGTCTCAAGTCAGATTTGCTTTCTCTGCCCATTTAAGAATTAAAAGGCAGGAAAGAGGTCACACTCTTACCAAGTTTTATTGAAAGTGAAAGTGCTTGCACACACCCCATACACACAGACACCACACCAGTGCAGACACACACCCCATACACACAGACACCACACCAGTGTGGAGTAGGCACACACCCCATACACACAGACTCAACCCCTGAGGGCTGGGTCTACAAATTGTTTTTGGTGGCCTGGGGTGGGCTCCTGTCCCCTGATTTTGGACTGATCAGCTTAAACAAAGGAAAGGCTCTGATAGCTGGCATCGTCAGCTAAGCATGCTGTGGACCAGCCTGGACTGGCCAGCCAGAAGGAGCAGTTAGGGATGAAGAAATCAGGAAGTATGCCATCTTCTTCAGTCTGTGGTCCTTTCCTTACTGCTCTGTCTGTGTAGCTTGTAGTCTCTCAGAGTGTCAGACCCTCCCAGCAACCTTCCTCTACTGCAGCAACCCAAGAGCCGTTAGTTTCAGCTGCCTCTGCAGAATGGCTCCTTTGATGAGATTTTGTTGTGCAAGTTCTTTGGGGAAGATTATTTTCTGTGGTCTAGTGGTGCATTGCTTGGTGGCAGGGCTACATCCTAAGGACACTGTTAGGCAATTTTGCCGAGAATCAGACATCAAAGTGTACTACACAGGTCTGGAAGGCCAGTCTCCACATAGTGGAACCTTACAGAACGGTGTCACTGGCTGCATCATCGTACAGTGTGCCTGATGCACATAGACACCAGAAGAGGGTGACAGATGTGAGGTTCCATTGGTTGCCAGGTCCCCTGCAAGGACAGCAAGTGCTCTGAACCACTGAGCCAACCCTGTTTTGAAAGCCCAAACAGTGTGGTCAGAACCCACTCTGGGGTTTGGGAGGACCTAGGAGGAGTTAGGGGACAGGAAGGAGTATGATAAAAATGCACCGTATGGAATCTCAGAGAATAAAACCCACATGGGCATCAAATGTGGTTTCTCACGTGGGCCCCTTACGTCACACCAGGCGGTGGTGAGAGCTGGGGCTGGTCTGGCTGCGGGGTCATGCATGTCCTCTGCTCTCCCACAGTTGAACATCCTGGCGTGTGGAGTTGTAGGCTCCTACTCCATAGTGCTGGCTGTTGACAGTTATACCTTCACCAGCCTCTCCTACATCACTGTGAACATCCTCAGGAGAGCGCTCAACACAGACTTCCGAGGGGCTTTCATCGGAGTGCCTTTCCAGACTAAAGGTAAGACTCTTTGAGTCCAGAAGTCAGAGTGATGTTCAAGTAGGTGTGCCAACTCACCCCCTACCAGGAGCATGTAGGCATTGCCGGGAGCCGAAAGATGAAACACGGTATAGAAGCTGTGTGGGTGCCTGCCAATAAGCAAAGGATTCACGCTTCCTTCTAACCATCTAAGAGAACTCTGTGGGCTTACATTCCAGTCTCCGATCAGGGAGCCGCCCCCAATGAGAGGGCAGAAAAGGGATGAGAATAGAAACCTGGTTTAACTCAAAATGTATTCCTTTGTTTCCTTACTTTAATGAAGACTCTGTTTATTTTCTCTTTTCTTTCTTTTTTTAAATTTTTTGAGACAGTTTCTCTGTATTGTTTTGGAGTCTGTCCTGGAACTAGCCCTGTAGATCAGGCTGGCCTCCAGTTCAGAGAGATCTGCCTGCCTCTGCTTCCCGAATGCTGGGATTAAAGGCGTGTGCTACCAATGCCTGGCTCGGTTTATTTTCAATGGTGATCACATTTTTGCCTTAATGATTTTGTCCATTACTGATTTTCTGTCTTAATTTGTCTATGAGACAGGGTCTTACTCTGTAGCTGAGCCTAGCCTTAAACTCAGTAGTGATTCCCCTGTCTCAAGCCTCCCAGAGATGACAGGGGTGAACCCCACACACAGTGAGTGGTCTTTCAGTGAAACATTTACAGGGTTTCCAAGCTTTGTTGATTTCAGAAAAGTTCAAAGACACAAGTCAGAAAAGCATGTCTTAGAGCTGGGACTTGGCAAGTTTTTAGGGCAACTCTTTGCCTCTACTTAGTGACAACCCAGATCGTCCCTTTGGTGGAGAGGTCAGAAGTGGAGACCTTGTTTCCGGGGCCTTTTCTACCTGGGGTGGCGGTCTCTACCACAAGGTCCATCCCACCAGAGTTCCCCTGCAGAGAACCAGTGAGTTTTTTTGGCTTAATTACAGAGCTTGGGCAAGAGGTTGTCTTCAAGAATGTGGTGATCCCAAGGCAGGCACACTGGGACGTTTGCACCCAGTACAGGCGAGGGACGGCATTCCCATTGCCACGTTCCTGCTGGGCGCTCAGTGGAATCTGAGTTATCATCTCACACCCTCCAGTGTTCCCTGCGCAGTCGTGCCCCGCCCGCCCGCCCGCCCCCGGGAGTGGACTGGTGTGTGTGAAGGTAACTCGGGCAGCTGTGCCTGGGTACTGCACACACATGTAGGGCTGGAGCTTCAGGGAGCGACACAGCTGAGTTTTTACCATCAGCTTTGACTTTCTGGGTGCTGGAGTAGAAGCTCCTACTTAAAACAAGTCTGTGGTGTCTCCTCCTGGCTTATGAGTGTGGAAGTACGTTTGGACACAGGTCCAGCACTGGAAAGGGAGACACGGATTCAGCCTGTGAAGGGCAGTGCTGTTGCACATTGAATGTTGAGCAGTTCAGAGCCAGGAGTGGTGGTACACACCCGAACTCCCAGCATTCAGGAACTGAGGCAGGAGGATTGCTATGAATTTGAGGCTAGCATGGGCTCATATCCCAAATCAGGCTACAGAATTAAGACCCCATCTTAAAAAAGAAAAAGGAATAAAAGGGGTGAGGGAGGGAAACAGGGAAAGGGAACAAGGGGATAAAAACAGAAGAATTTGGGGCTGGGGAGGTGGCCCCGTGGGGCAGCTGAGCTCGGGTCCCTGGAACCCACATAAAAAGCCAAGCACAACAGTGCATGCCTAACTCCAGTGCCCAGTCAGACCAGGGTTAGCAGGAGAGGCTGTGCGCACAATAGAGAAGGACTCAGGCTTGAGCACACATAGATCCTCACATACTGCAGGGTTTCTCTTCAGCCCTGGCTGTCCTGGAACTCTCTGTAGGCCAGGCTGGCCTCAGACTCACAGAGATCCCCCTGCCTCTGCCTCCAGAGTGCTGGGATTAAAAGGTGTACGCCACCACTGCCTGGCTACAATTTTTTCCCCCCAAGTACATTAAAAAAAAAAAAAAATCTGGATTTGGTGGCTCATGTCTATAATCTTGGTATTTAGGGAGACCACCAAAGTTTAAGTATAGTCGGAGAAAAACAAAACAAGCCACAACACAAAACCCCTGAGTACAAAGATGCTTCTTTCCTTTAGACTTCCTTGTCCTGGCTGTATGGGGGATGTTGGCTGTCAGTGGCATTACACTGCAAATTCGGAGAGAAAGGGGACAGCCGCCTTTCCCACCCCATCCCTACAAGCTGTGGAAGCAAGAGAGAGAAAGAAGAGTAACGAACATTCTGGACCCCAGCCACCATGTCCCTCCCCTGAGAGAGAGGCTGCACGGCCGACTGACTCAGATCAGAGAGCTCTTTCAGAAGGAACAGCCGGCTGGAGAGCGGACACCCCTGCTTCTGTAGAAGGCTGAGGGCTTGCCCAGTGTGGCTCACCCTGGAGTTTTCCTCTAGACTGCCCAGCTGTCCCAGGCTCTGTTGATGTACAGGTGTGGAGTTAGGATCTGAGGTGACGGTGAGAAAACCCGCCAGACAGCTGGTTGTAGGCGCTTTGCGTCATTCTTCACAATCTTTGCAAGTTTCCTTTGGTTTATAAATGCGATTAATTGACGTGTTTTACAAAATACCAGATGATAAAAGTGTCGGCTCTCCTCAAAGCCCGGGCATCTCTTACATGTCCTTGGACAGTTCTGACTCAATCTGAACCTGTGGAGGGGGTTGGCTGGCAGTGGGTACTTGCTTTGTATGTGCAGGCTTAGGGATTTGATTCTTTGCCCTTGAATGTTAAGATTACGGGGGAAGTAACTCCTTTTCATTAAAAGCAGTCTGACTACTTGGCTGCATCTCACATTTTAAATCAGGAACCCTTCATTTCTTTCAATATTTAAGCGGTTTATTAAAAAAAAAAAAACTATCCTAAAATAAATTAACATAAATCCCCTGTTGTTTTGCCTCGTAGTAATTTAAATAAATTATCTCTGTAATTGAAAATAGCTCAGTTTATTAAAGACAGGAGAACTTCGATATGGGTAAGGTATAGCCCAAATGGTGACCACTTAAAGCAGTGCGTGTCGCTGCTGACCTTTCTCTTCAGTTGCATTAGACGATGAGAGGATAGGTCACTAATGACAAGAACCCTTTGTGCTGCATGCTGTGTGCGAGGCAGCTGGATCAGCACCCGCGGAGTTGTTCCCGGTGACCTGTCTGTGCTAAGCCCCTGAGCTCTGAAGCTCTGAGGAGGGAATCAACTAGAATAGACAGTGCAGTTGGTTGTGGCTGTGGCTGACGTAACCACTGCTTCCCTGATGATGCTTTTTAGTACAGCAGGCTACAGACATTTCAGGTAATGGGAGAGGTCTTCAGTTTTGAGTGTTAAAAATGTTTAAGATAAAAACAATGAAAAAATTATAAACAAACCCTTTTGTTTCAAAAAATTCTTACTGTTATTACTGTCTAGTCTCAGCAACGAACTTTTTTTCTTTTTTTTTTTTTGTTTTGTTTTGTTTTTTGAGACAGGGTTTTCTCTGTGGTTTTGGAGGCTGTCCTGGAACTAGCTCTTATAGACCAGACTGGTATTGAACTCATAGAAATCCGCCTGCCTCTGTCTCCCTGGTGCTAGGGTTAAAGGCGTGTGCCACCAACGCTCGGCATGAACTTATCTCTTGAAGAGAAAAATTACCATAGGGACTCTGGCTTCTGTCACATGCCGATATTTTAGTTGTGTGGAAACATTGGCGAGCAATTATTTTTCCTGTCAGAACACATTGCCAGTTAGAGCTGTAAAAGGCAGAATATGTTTTCTTGGAGGGAGAATACCAATTGTTTTTAAATTTTCATAGTAACTTCTAATAATTCCATTTGTATAATTTTTGTAATAAATACCTATTTTGAAAAATGCTTAAGGCTTCCTTATTGTGATGTCTCTAGAAGTTTATACTGGTCATGTTTGTGCTTTTACAAAAAAAAAAAAAAAATTACTCAATCTGGAAAATAGTTGTTTAAAAAAATCTCAGCTTAATGCTAATAGGAAGGGAAGGAAATCCGGGGTGATATGTTATAGTTTATGTACATATGTACATTGATGTTTTGCCTGCATGCATGTCTGTGTGAGGGTATTGGAGCCTGTAACTGGAGCTGTAGATAGTTGTAAGCTGTCATGTGGGTGCTCAGAATTGAACCTGGGTCTTCTAGAAGAGCAGCCAGTGCTCTTAACTGCTGAGCTATCTGTCCAGCCCCTAAAGTTATTTAATTTTTGAGAACAGGGTCTTATGTGGCCCGCTCTGGCCTTGAGGTTGCTACACAGCTGACTACACAGCTGAAGATAACGCCAAGTTGTCTGAGCGTTGCCTAAGGCAGGTTAGTCATGTGGTCAGGCTCAGTGCTCACGGCCTGACTGGTGTGGGGATTCACACTTACTCCCTTTCGTCTTGACAGTGGATGTCAACATAAACACCTAGAGCAAGCTGGCATTTAGCTTTGACCACAGATTCATTCCTGCTGGAATTTGAGTGGGAACTAGTTGACAGGAACCTCTGTGTTAAAGTTATCACAAAAGGAGGTGCTAAGTCTGACCATACTCTCGGTAGGGGCTGGGATCCCAAGCAGTGGCTTTCCTGCAGCTGTACTCAGTAGCCCTCAGTCTTCCTGCCCATGCTCGTTGAGAAGAGTGGCCAGTGATTCAGGGTTAGCAATTCTATCCTGGAAGTTGCTCAAGGCTTTGGGTGCTGCTTTATTTTGCTGAAACGGAGAAAGAGGGCAGGGGGTGAGACAGCGTGTCGTCATCCCCTCTACTGTGGCTTGGACTAGGGCTCGCAGGGATGCTCTGAATATACAGCCACCAGGGCCTGCTAACAAAGTCAATGCAAGATAAAGAGACTAGCCTAAGATGTCACCATCTCTGTACCCTGCACTGCCTTTGCAAGGATGGGGAAGATTATAGGTTTGGGGATGAAGTGTTGGCTTTGAGCAGTTTGAGTCTGAAATGTCTCTATGGCAGCAAAGTAAGGCATTCTCTCTCTTCCCCTCCCTCTAATGGTCCTCCACCCCCAACACACAAAGAACGGGCCTAAGGGCTGGGCTGAGCACACAGCTTAGTGTCAGAGCACTTGCATACACAGTACACACAAAGCATAGACACAGTGCACATAAAACGCATACACATACACAGTGCACACAGAGCACATACACAGTACACACACACAATGCACACAGTACACACAGAACATACACAGTACACACAGAGCACATACACCGTACATACACACAGTGCACACAGAACATACACAGTACACACAGAGCACCACCCACCCCTCTTGCAAAAAAAAAAAAAAAAAAAAACTTCAAAAGTAAATTGTTTTTAAGAAATGCAAGCTTTGTTTTGAGATTACCCTGAGGCAACCCAGTTTTAAACACTCATCTTTATTGATAAAATAGGGCTCTCCTCTATAGCACACACTCTGAGATGTAACCTTAAAGTTATTCTTTTGGGGGGGGGGTAGGGGTGGAAAACTTGCCAAAAACAAAGCAAATGTATTTCAATACTCAACAACCTTAAAATATATTCAAGATAAAGGATAAATAATTTTTAATAAAAAAATAATTACTTCTCAAGTAACGTTTTACAATAGAGCTGCTCAATGCACTGCCTCTGACTCAACTGTGAAGCCTTTCTTTTTAAAATTCCGGCCTGGGGTAAAACTGCATCAACAAATGTACCATTAACTTAAGGTTCCAAAAACCAATAGAAAGTCTTAAAACTAAATTCACTTATGTATAAAATGTTAAGGCCTCCGCATGAGAACTGTCTAACCTCTAGGGCACTGGCCCTCTCCTAACAGCTCTGTGACCCCACTCACCTCAAACTCAAGTCTGACAATTATTCAGGTGAAAAGTCCTTTGAATTTTGCCAATACATGAAGTTGCATGTCAAATTACAATGCAAAATAATACTTAACAAATGATATACTCATACTCAAAATTATAACTTTCTATTTATGTTAATTTTAATATGTATTCGACACAAGTATATTTTTAATAATATTTCACAATCTTTTATGTTTTTATTCTGTCACTACACAATAAACAATTTAGGCTTCAACTGGTGTTAAAGCACACTTCTGTATTTTGTGTTCTTCAAAAGCTTTTCGTAATATAAATATGATATTTTTGTTTGTTTGTTTGTTTTTTTTGAGACAGGGTTTGTCTATATCGCCACTTTGGCTGTCCTGGAACTCACTCTGTTGACCAAGCTGGCCTTCAACTCACAGAGATCCTCCTGCCTCTGCCTCCCGAGTGCCACCACTGTTTTTAAGTGCAAAGGAAAATGTCTGTGGTTCCTTCACTGCCCTTTTGTGAGTCTCGGGTTGTAGGGAAAACCTCACATATTATAAGAACCAAATGGAGCTTAGACTCAGACCCAGGCCTTTGTTTTTGGAATATACATCTACTTTTTAAGTATCTGAAGAGTAATTTCCTAAATAAAAACAAAGGAATTCCAAATATACTTAGAGAGGAACATACCCATCTTGTTACATTAAATATGTCAATTGTCCACTAACTAGTGAGCTGTCTCCTCTCCTCAAGCATCAAGTAGAGGACAGTTTCATTGTTAACCGAGAACCAAAACATTTTCTGTCAAAGTAGTTTAACCTACTAAATGTATCTATATATGGCTCTTTCTTAGAAAGTAAAGCTCTGTCTCTTTTCTTCCTGAGATGTTATGGCACACACTCAAGCAGGTCATGGGTATCCGCTAGCTAAAAGTCATGGGAACGGGGTCTACTGTAAGTAGACGTCTTTTGTCTCGGGTGAGTAACACATTCTTAGAGCCTTTAAACTCCGTCTTCCACAGAGACCGAGCAATGGGAAGCCTTGTGCTACATAAGCTTCTGATACTCAGCAGCAAGGATAAGACTTCAACCAAGTCTTCCATTCAGAAAACCACAGCAAAACTTAACATTTAAAGCTAGGATAATTTAGGGTTTCCAAATGTTTATTGGGTATTCAGGGTGACCCGTGTGTCATCCATGAAGCCAACAGCACTTCTGAACCCGCAGTGCTCGGCACTGGGGGGCACTCACCGTTCACTCAGTGGCTCAGTCTCCCTGTCTTTTGTGTTGGGATCTAGTTTATGACCATTATACACTCTTCTGTTCTGTCTCTTTGCCAGTGTACTTGTGCATACTGTAGAGGAAAACGGGCTGACTGAAGTTGGGTTTTATGTCCACTCATCCTTGGGACCACACAGAAGCCCTTTCAGCTCTTCCTCAGACTCAGGTCACTGTTGGTCACTAGTGCAGATAAAGATGTACTCTCTGACGCATCGTCCTTTCGAAGGTTGAGAAAGGACTCTCGTGTTATCTGAAGGATCTCTCTCAGGCCTTTGTTTTCTTGCTGTAAGGAGACAAGTAAAACTGAGGATGGCATACACCCTAGCAAATGGAAGGACACCACCTATGCAGGACGGAAAGCACTTGGCCATCCATAAGATTCGTACAAGCCTCCTCTAAGAAGGAACGTACGCATGAAGGCGTAGCATGAAAAGCAGGCTCTGTAATCACATAAATGGATTAAGTGTACTGTGCACGACAGGCTGTTCGCAACCTGACTCTAAACAGATTTCAAGGCTGGTGTGGTGACCCCCATGTTTACTCTCAGCAGCTGGGAGGCAGAGGCAGAGGCAGGGGGATCTCTATGAGTATGAGGCCAGCCTGGTGTACATAGTAAGTTTTAGGTCAGCCAGGGCTACACAGTGAAATTGTCTCAAAAGCAAAAACTAGATTTCAAATGCTTTTAAGGACACAGGGTCAGTATTCAACCTCCACTGAGCTGGAAGTCTAAATGTGTGCAGACGGGACAGGTACAGGCAGAAATTAGCTTGTTCTCCAAACAGACTGGAGATGAACAACACCCATATAAACTCATGCTAGTTATAAATTTATATGAATAATACCTTGACACAGATTTCATCAGTGTCATCAGTTGTAGTTACTATATTTCTCCCTCAGCAAAATAGCTGAGGCATCATTTCTAAAAAAGAAATGTAAATGATTATCTGATATTGTAAGCAATTTTGTCATCTTATAACCTGCTCTCTACAGCGGTCCGGCCTCACTTTCTAGGTCTCAGTGGCCTGGCCGGGGGTGGTTTTGTTTTCTCAACACAGTCCTGCCTGTCTGCTTTTGTTTGTGGTTGCTTTTGCATAACCACAATGACACCGAGCATCACCTGTTCAGTTTGCAAAATCAAAGGACTTAACTTTCTGGTCCTTTGCTGAAAAAGTTGACTTACCCTTATTATACAAAACCCCTATTATACAAATGGGAGCATACTGGATGCTCAGAGACAGAAATAGGTTCTATGGCCATCAAAAAAAAATTTCCCAATCATGATTTCAAGCAAAGCATTTGTTTTTTACTTTTGGGTGTTGGGTGTTCCGTGTGTACACGCGGAGGCTAACGCTAACTCCAGGAGTCTTCCTCTCTCGCACTCCACTTCATGTTGTGAGAGGTAGGGTCTTACTGAACCTGGAGCTTACTGCCTGTCTTTTACACAGGAGCTGGGGATGCAGAGTCATAACCGGTACCCGGGCCAGCTCTCTAGCCACACTTGTCTTTCTGACCTCATGTAGTCCTGGCTGGCCTAAAACTCACTGGGGGCTGAGGGTGACCTTCAATTTCTGACCCTTCTTTCTCTGCCTCCCAAGAGACAGAATTACAGGAGCACCACACCTGGCATTATTTAAACATTTTCCTACATGATCTCTAGCACAAAGAACTGAATTTTTAAAAATTATGAAATCAAGGAAATTCACACACGCGAGAATGCACACAAAAACAATACAGAATCGAAGCTAAAATTTCTTTTCAAGACAGGTTTCCCTCTGTAACCCTGGCTGTCCTGGAACTCACTGTAGACCAGGCTGGCCTCAAACTCAGAGATCTGTCTGCCTCTGCCTTCCAGGTGCTGGGATTAAAGTGTGCGCCCCCATGCCTGTTTTAAAAATAAACTTTCTCAACTACTGATGCACTCACGTGTCATGGCCCCAGACCCTCGCCTTACCACTACCCAATGGACTACTTCACACTATCTCCAGCATCCAGCCTCAGGGGTTACTCCAAGAGTGTGGGTGTGTTAGGATTGAGACTGCTCTCTGGCCCAGTGGTTGCAGGGATGCACAGACCCACCAGCGTCCCGTATCCGAAGTTTAAAACTCACTTCCAGTTGAGACATTCGCTCCTGTTCCTTGCAGCCCTGCTGCTCATCGATTTCAATGGCTTTTCTCATCACTGCCGCCATCTCGGTGATCTGGTCAACGTGTGCTTGCAGCTCCTGGAAGAAAGGGCAGGCGCGGGATGAGAGAAAGGCTTCACTGGTTTAGTTTTCAATCTCTCTTCTGATAGAGCCACACTGCCACAAAACACAAGTGTGGTGTCCTTATGTTGTCTTGTAACAGGAACCATAACAAAGCTGGGTGGACATTGGGCGTTAAGAATAGAGTTAAAGGAGCAGGAGGATCTCTTTGAGTTTGAGGCCAGCCTGGGCTATACATAGCGAGTTCCAGAACAGCTGGGACTACATTGAGAGACACCCCCCCCAAAATAAAATAAAAAATGACAGAAAATAGTTAAGGGTACAGATCGCAACATAACTCAACCCTATAGCAAAATATTTATTCATTTCACACATCATAATGATTAAGCAGATTTTCTTTTCCAAAGCTGCATGCACTATGGTCAGAGCGATGGGAAAGGTAAAGAACCAGTTGTTTTCTTCCTGGAGTCTGCACAGGTCAGTCTCCTCTATAGTATTAATGCCTATGAACCAAGAGTCCTTCTAGGCAGAATCCTCCTCCAGAACAGGAAGTGAAATAAAAATTATTGAGCAAAATGAACAAATTGTTACGGAATATTAAAACACGAATTTTTTTCTTTTGCTAATTTCCACATGCTATAGACACTCATGTTTATCAGTTTTACAAATTCTATCTCATTCCTTGATGACATGTGTCAGGCACTAAGCCTAACAGAAGCATAATTCCTCTTAAGGTACCTTCCCTGACCTTAACGAGTTCTGTTCAGTAATGGAGACAGACAAAGGGGCTTAAGAACTGACACAGGTTTAAACATAATCATCTTCTCAAAGTTTCTATTAATCATTCTTCACTGGCAACAGAACTTACTATAGTAAGACAAAAATAACATTTGAAATTCAATGAAAAAAAAAAAATCCCCAAATGAATATCAAGTCTTTCAGGTAGCTGAATAGTTGTAAAAATGATCTGACCTTAAAGAATCCACATAACTATTAAACTGGAAGAGATGGGGAAAAACAACGAACATTAGGCAATCACTCCATCACTGAGCTATACCCCAGCCCCATCTAATATTTTTAAAGAGAGATGTAGGCTGGTAAAGTTGAAATTAACACTAAGCATGTTAAAAGTTAGTGACCTGTGTCTTTCACATGCACGAGCAGTTCTTTTTAGTGCTCAAAGGTCAGCACGTCACCATGGGCTGCCTGTCCCACTAACTTTCCATGTCCAAGTCTGTCTTACTTACTTATTATCAATAATAATTAATCATGATTAGTGATGTATTAACAATAGGTAATACTTGGTTTTCCTAATTCTACTCTGCAGCGACAGCCCAGCTCTTCAATACTTAAGACACAACAAGAAAGCATCACTATGCACAGATATATTGCCTATGCAAAGGCATTCCTATCTGTGAACTCAAAGAACTACAGATAATTAAGACTCTAAATTAAAATTTTTAAGTTTGATGGACCAGCCTTTTATAATATCAGGCTAAAGTTACTATCAAGAAAATATGTTTTTCTTTTTTTAGACAGGGTCTCACTGCATAGCTCTGTTTAGCCTGGAACTCATGATGTAGACATATCTGGCTTCAGACTCATAGAGATCTTCCTGCCTCTGCCTCCTGAGTAAGAAATGCACTGTTTTATAACAACAAAAACTGCAGAGACATCTAGTAAGAGTAAACAAAAGAAAAGATGGTTTGGTAAACATCTCTAAATCTGTCACATCATCTATAATGGCTTCCATCCTGTGCATGACACACAGAGCATTAAGGACAAACTTAAGATTTTAGACACACCAGCACCGCCATGAAAAGCACACTGTTCTTTCTTGATTTCATTTATTTGCTGATCTAATCTGGAAGGGCAATTCAAAATAAAACAACTCTTTAAACGGACCCCATCTCATCCCCCCCCCCCCAAAGTTGACTGTGTGATTTAGTGTACATTCTGATTTGCTTCCAAGTGCGGCCTCTCCAGTCCATGCTGAGGTGCTTCAAGGACGTGCCGAGATGCATCAAGGAAGACTCCTTCGCAGTTGCTACGATGCACCATGTCAATCTGTAGTACAGAGCCATTATAATGTTAATACGGAAGTCTTCCGTAATTTAAACACTGAATGAGTGTTAGTTCATGCGTGTTAGCCAACTGTTGGAATGTTTGTCTTTTTAAGATTTCCAAAAAGGCATCTGTTAAAGTAACGATGTAAAAGTAAATATTTAGATGAAACTGAATTACATTTTCTAGTGATTTTCAAATATGGACTCAAAAAGCTCTAGACGAGTGCAAAATTGTGTATTACTGTGGCCTCAAGCAGGACACTGCTGCCAAGAGCAGAGCAGCTACACAGACTGCGTCCCTAGTGGGCTGCAGGGTTATTTCTGTGCTTAGGCTATCAGATCTCTGGTGCCTAACCAAGTCTAGAGCCCTGCAACTTCATAACTTTCTCATTTCTCTGTGTATGCATCCCCACTCCTGTAGTTAATTCAAGACTGGATCAAATAATCTGTCTTCTTTCAGACTTTGCTTATGGAAACTAATACTGCTCTTCCTAGTTCTATAGCAATGACTTGTTTTTAACCTCATCCTACCTTATATTATAGTTATGTTTGTTTCTGTACCTCCCATTACATTGCAAGCTTAACAGCAATGTGACATATTCCTTCATTAATCTTGTTCTTGCCCCTAGCAACTAATCCAATGTAGGATGTTAATAAATGTTTGATTTACTTAGTCAAAGCATCTCCTTTTTGGGAAAAATCAAAACCACAAACATTAATATGTATTAATTAGTTAGAATTAATAGCAAATAACTGAACAGTCACTTTATGGAAGGCAAGGATCAGCACTTGGATGAACTCAATCTACACAACGTTAACAGAAGCTATTTAGGCTATTTAGGAAGTGCTTAACTTTTCAACTGGATAGCAGTGAGGACGGTACACCCAGTGGGTTTGTTTATGGGGGGGGGCTGAGCCCAGAGCCACAGGTACACTCAGCACATGCTCTACCAGGGAGCTCTGCCTCTACCTCCTTGTGTGCTTTAGAGAACATCTGCTCTGCCATGGTCACCGCTACACTATATGAGCTAACAGAGCTCACTCACTGCTACACTATATGAGCTAACAGAGCTCACTCACTGCTACACTATATGAGCTAACAGAGCTCACTCACTGCTACACTATATGAGCTAACAGAGCTCACTCACTGCTACACTATATGAGCTAACAGAGCTCACTCACTGCTACACTATATGGGCTAACAGAGCTCACTCACTGTATGCTATATGGGCTAACAGAGCTCACTCACTGTATGCTATATGGAGCTAACAGATCTCACTGCTATCCTATATGGGGCTAACAGATCTTACTCTACGCACTTTATTTTTGGGTGGTATTCACTTTTTCAAAACTTCAAAATTTTGTTTTTCAAATTGTAAAACAAGAGGACCTTTTGGAATTTCTATTCTTATACTTAAAAAAAAAATAACCCTCTTAGTTACACATTTACTTATTTTTTGGAGAGGGACGGTAGAATTGAAACAGATTTCATGTCACCAGGCTGGCCTAGAACCTGGCTGGATCGTTTTCCTTCTATCTCACAGGTACGGGGATTAGAGAGCTACGTCACGGCACTTGGCTTGATATACACTGAAATATTCTGTAACCAAGTCTTTATTCTCTTACTGACATAAGAGGTAGCTATTATAGTCCCTAATATGTATAACTGTCACTCAAAGAATACCATTAGTTATTTAGTTCTGATGGAATAATTAAAAAATACTATAGACACCAACGTGGGAAAAATATTTTAAAGAATCCAAAATATGTGTCAATAATTGAGAAATATATGTGTCTTATAACTACCACTTTTTCTTAAACAGTGTTAGTTGCAAGTAGTTTATTTCACCATTATTCAAAGCCAGTCATCCAATGTAGTTTAATATTTTTACTTCCCACTGGCAGTTAAAATTCAGTTTAATGTAAATAGCAACAACTATTCCGCTTGTCTTGACAACTGTCCCTAATGGCCCCAATTCAAACTGACTGAAAAACACGCTAACCCTTCATCTTTGCTCCTACACGTGTCAACTGCATGCAATGTCCCCAACCCCAGCACTTTCCATGAAAATGAGTCGTCCCCATCCATACTGGGCTCTTCAGGAAAACATCTACACTCAGCAGCTCACAAGCTCTAAGTTTCCATTTTCTGTTTGTGTAACAGGTAGCATTACACAAATTTACTGGAAAAAATCTATTTAAAAGCAGAGAATCTCACAAAATAATTTTAAACTGAACGTACCTTTATTTTTATAATAGTTTATTACTGAACACACACACACACCATTTTAGAGTTACTAAGGACACCAATAGGGAGGCAGAGACAGGTGGATCTCTGTGAATTTGAGGCTAGCCTGGTCTGCACAGTGAGGCCCTGTTACTAAGGAGTAATGGGAGTTAGAAGCGTAAGCTAAGGGAAAACAGTGTATAACAAGAAATGGGGGACAGGGAGGTGACAACAAGGGAAGTGAGGTGTTTCCGGGTGTGGCGGCACATGCCATTAGTCCCAGCACTCAGGAGGCAGAGGCAGAAAGATCAAGAGCTCAAGGCCAGCCGTGGCTACACAGTGAGTTCCAGGACAGCAGCCTGGGCTACACAGGGAAACACTGTCAAAAAACAGAAAACAAAACACCCCCCCCCAAAAAGGGGGTGGGTTATATTTCATATTACATCAATTTTAGAAGATTATTTTCATTGTTTAAAAACTGAGAACACAGGTTAACCAATGGCCCCCAATTTTCATTTCAAGTCAAATTTGTAGACTGGACTGATTACCTTTGAGTGTTGCTCTTTTAACTTCATTATTATACCTGGGTCGTCTCTTTTGCTCGCCATCAGCAACCTGAACATCTGCTCTCGATACTTGCTCATTATCAGCTCCAAGGCAGACTGGTGTTCTTCCAAGGATGTGCGCAGTTCTACCAACAACAACAACGTGTGTCATTAAAGGAGCCGAGTTCATGCTCTTCCACGTAATATTTGTCAAAATACTGACAAAAGAAACCATGCAGCGAAGAAGCCCCCCACTTTTTACTGAAATAGTTGTGTGTGTGTGTGTCTGTGTGTGTATTTGTGTGTGGCGTATGGGGTGTGTGTGTGTGTGTGTGTGTACACATGCCATGGCACATGCAAAGGTCAGAGGACAATTTGCAATTGACCTTTGCCTTCTACCAGGGGTTCCCAGGATGGAATGCAGGCTGTCAGACTTGGTGGCAAGTGCCCCTGATCTGCCGAGACATCTCTCAATAGCTTTTTAAAGTGTTCATTTAAAACTTACTTTTCAAAGGCATTTCAGAGCTATGAGGCTGGACTGGGAACAGCTCCGTAAGATTCAGCACTGCAATGAACCTGAGCTCTTATGTCAACCCTGAAGGAGACTGATGCCATGGCAGGGCAAACAGTGTGGGGAGCAGGGCTGTGAGAAGAGGAAGGAGGCCAGGAACTGTCTGAAGGGCCTTGTACAAGGAAACGAACACAACATGTTCAGCAAGGGCATCATGATGCTATTTATTCTGGGGAGTTCAGAATAATGACTGTGTTGAAGGATGGAGTCAAAGTGTCTAAGTGCAGCAGAGATTATGAGTAGCCGCACTGGGACACAGGAAGGAGTGGAGTTCAGTTCCTTCACAGGGAACAGGAACAGTGCAAACCAGATGCTGAAGCAGCCAAGAAGATGGCCAGCAGGGCAGACCCCACAGAGAAGGCTGGATAAAGAGCAGTGAGTACTGCCCAGTCACACAGACCAGAAAATGAGAGTAAATATTAAAAAGGAACTTTGGTTGACTATATCCCCATTTTAAAAAGGATACTTTACTTTGTGTGTGTGTGTGTGAGTGAGTACATGCATGTGTGTCTGTACCACATATGTGCCTGGTGCTCCAGCAGAGGGTCAGACCCTGAGGAGATGGAATTACGGGCAGCAGCAGCTGCCTGATGGGTGTTGGGAAGGGAACTGTGCTCTTAACCAAAGCCACGTCCCCAGCCCCTCTCTGATTTGTGACTCATTAGCCCCAAACGGGTGCCACAAAGGAAGACTAAAGGTCTTTGTCCTGACAATGACTCTTGCCTTTGTTCTCTTGTTGCAATTCTCTGATCTGTCTGTTTTCTTGCTGGATTCCCATAACTAGTGTGGACCTTGGCCGATGTCTTGCAACTTCATTAAGTTCTTGGATTTCTTCCTGATACTAACGAAAACATTAAAAGACAATATATAGGAAGTCAACATTTGCCAATTTATACCTGCTATATGAATACGAGCAGACCCTCCAAGAGTAAAACAGAGGCATTACATGACCCAACATTCCTTCCCAAGGAAAAGAAAATGTCCATAGTACCTAACAAGAAAAGAGAAGAGTTCGAGTACCCCTCCCCTACCCACCTAGGAGAAGAGAAACAGGACATGCTGTGTCCCCTTGTAGTACAGTGTTACTGGGCAATGAATAAAAGAAAAAAAAAAAAAGTTTTAAAACATGGGAAGGCCAATCACAAAAGCCACATATCTCATGCCCTACTCACATGAAGTGTCTACAGGGCTACAGCAGGCAAATCCACTGGGAGGGAAGCCCAGTGCTTCCAGGGTTGAGAGGGTGGGAAGCTAGAAACACCCTGAAGGGTGTAGAGTTTGCTTAGCACGAGCAAGGCCCCAGGTTCCATCCCTAGCACCCCAAGGGGCGGCGGGGGCGAGTTTGAGATGAAGTCTGTCTATTATGTAGCTCTGGCTGTCCTGTACCTCATTCTGTAGACCAGGCTGGCCTCAAACTCACAAGAGATCCTCCTTCTTCTGCCTCCAAAATGCTGGGATTAAAGGCGTGCATCACAACAGCTGGATGGATTTTGAATTTTTTAAAAAGGAGGAATCTAACTTTAGAATTATTCATTTTTCTGGAGGCATTCTTACTGGATGCCTATGACTGAAGCATTAACACACACAGGGAAGGTTGTTACATGAAGTGAGCAAGGAAAGGCAAACCTGCTTCATTGCCTCCACTCGCTTGCTGAGGGCAGTGGTCTGCTCGATGAGAGACTCTGCTGCGTCGTCATGGTCCCTCAGCCTCTCCACAAGGGCTTTGGCATCAGCAAGCGCCTTCTCAATCGTGCAGCTCATTTCTAAAGGAGCAAACAAATCAAAACCAGGGCTTAGTCACCTCAGTTCCACATCTTCACAGATATCCTTCTCAAGCTTCACCTAAGACTGGTTCATTATTTAGAGAGAAAGGTGGTTAGCAATATCATGTTCTGGCTGTTGGGATACTCTGAGCTCAAACGCAAATCTGCTGGTAAAAACTCTTCCTGTCCTCCTCGCTCTATCAAAGTCTCAACCTCCTCCTGGCTGAGCTACTGCGTCTTATGTAAAGTGACATTATCATCTCAATTCTGCAGTTTCCACAGAGAACACCACTAGCCGTGGGGGTGATGAGGCAGCTGAACACGAACAGAGGCAGTAGGTTTTCGGCTGCAGCAGCACTAACAGAACAGCTGGACGTCTGCTGCGTGGTGCTCCATGACAAAGAGGGCAAGCCTGCCCGTGCAGGGTGGGGGTGAGCAAGACTCCCAGCAATGTACTGAGAGGCATAACCTGGCACCCACACCGTGTTCTCACAGTGGAGGCTGACTGACGGCTGTGCCCATCTCCAAAGCAAAACAGAAGACTGAAAAAAACAGGGTCCTTCACCATAACAGGTTCAAAAAAAAAAAAAAAAAAAAAAAAAAAAAAGGAGAGAGAAATGTAAGCAATGCTGGATATGGAATTCAGCAAAGCTGGAGGATCTCTGTGAGTTCGAGGCCGGCGTGGTCTACACAATGAGTTACAGGGCAGCCAGACTACACAGTGAGACCCTAAAAAGAGTGAAACAGAAACCTTAAAGAATTCAGTGAAATCGTTAAGATAAATTATAGCATAACATAAAATGTATGTATTAAAGTCTAAGATCTAAAATCAATCATCCAAGTCCCAACCTCGAGAAAGTAGGAGAAGAGCAGAATAAAGCCCAAGTAAATAAAAGGTAGAGAAAGTAAACACAGTAAAACTAAAAGGTGGGTTCTTTAAAGCAAAGAGGGTGTGATGTGGGGGTGGGGGTAGAGAGATACAAGAGAGACTGAACAATCAGAGAACTAATGAAGAGCTGGGGTGGCCCATAACAGCAGTCCCAGGACCCAAGAGCGAGGCAGGGGCGTCAAGGAGGGGTGTCCAACCTGGTCCCAGTCTGTGTCAGCTCCCACCCCCTTAAAGACCAAGAGGAACCACCACACAGCCATACTCCAACCTAAACAAGTGAACACAATGATGCGCCTCAGACACACGGACCAGGTAATTACAGTAAACACAGCTGGGGTAGTTTCAAAGAAAACGGCCCCCAAAGGGAGGGGTACTATTAGGAGGTGTGGCCTTGCTGGAGGAAGTGTGTTGGGGGCGGGCTTTGAGGTCTCCTGCTCAAGTTCCTCTCCGGGTGACAGTCAGTCATCTTACTGTTGCCTCTGAGTCAAAACGTAAGGACTGTCAGCTCAGCACCGCGTCTGCCTGCACGCTGCCATGCTCCCTGACAGGATGATAATGGACTGAGCTTCTGAAACTGTAAGTGAGCCACCCCAATTAAAAGTTTCCTTCGTAAGACAACATTAGTTCCTCAAAACCCACAAATGGCATAAAGTCATGCAAGAAGGAGGAATAACTAGTAATAGACCTATATACCATTATAGCCACCAGTTACATAAACACATTTCCAGAGCTATTTTCTAACAAGTTTAAATAGTAAGGAAATGGGAGTCAAAAATATCCGGCACAAAAGGCTCCACACCGAGAGAGCTTCAGTGGCAAGTCCTAAAATACAAGGGGGCTGAGGCATGTCTCAGCAGTCGGTGCTGCTCCTGGAGTGAGCACCGTGGGTGGCTCACAACCGTTCCCAACTCCAGTTCCAGGGCATGACACCCTTTTATGAACCCATGGCACTAGGCATGGCACTGGAGCAGGCCAAAATAGGCCCTATCTCAGAAAACAAAGCAAAACAGACAGGGTTATACAATCTCCTTAAGGCAATTAGATCCTTGCATGGTGAGGCATGGTGGTCCACACCTGTAATCTCAGCACTTCAGAACAGAAGCAGATGGAGCCCTATGAGCTTCAGGCCAGCCTGGTCTACAGAGAGCCCCATCTATAACAAACAAACCCATACATAATAAAAGGAAAGAGAAGAAAAAAAACTTATAGATTCATAAAGCAATTCAGCACTTATATTTCTGGTTGTGAGCCTAGCCTTTAACGGCTGAGCCATCTCTCCAGCCCCAGCATTGAAAAGATCTTAACATTATACTCTGACACCAAAACCATGTAAAAGGAATATGAGAAAAACAAAATAAACCAGAGTAAAATTTCTCATGACTATAGTATAAAGAGTAAATACTTTCCTCACTAAAGTTATAACAAGGTAAGGATGCTGAATTACTCCAGCAATAAGGACGGGGACATCAACTAGGACACACAAGAAAACTCTAGTCTGTAGTCCATGTTGCTACACTGAAAATCCCAAAGCACAGAACCAACTTCTCTCAAGGAGACAGGAGTCAAGTGAGATACACAGAGAGAACTTGGGCGGCCAGGGAGGTGGGGAAGATCTGGGAGGAGTTGGAGTGAATATAATCAAAACACATCTATGAAATTTTCAAAGGCTAAAAATATAACATGTAAAATTCCTACAACCTATGATTTTAGCATGTCCACATGATATAAGTTCAAGTACTGTTCTTTTGTTAAGATAGAAACGACAATGTGGAAACAGAATTACATATATAAAAATTATAACATATATTAAATTTGTTAATCCATAAAAAATTATATAATACATATTAAATGTATTAATTCCTCAAAACCCACCAGTGACAAAGCATCACAAGAAGAGATGAGTGTCTAATAATGGTCCTAGAACTATTTAAAATAGCTACATTTATAATTATATATATTATAATAGATAAATGAAATTCTCAGGCATAATCAAAATATATATATAGAATCTATATGCTGGGAACTACAAATGCTAACAGAAAAGAAAGCCATATCTAACAAAAGGTTTTCAGTCTACTGCAGCTAGAAATGACAAGCTGATTTTATAATTAACTCCTACAGAAAGCAAGAAAACTAGAACCACTGAAACCATCTCGCAAAGACTCGCTTTACATAGTAAAGCACAGCAACAAGACGGCTCTGATCAGGTGAGACAAAACAGAGACCCAGAAGTAGGCCCCCGGGAAGGTGACCAATTTATCTCTGGATGTGCAAAGGGGGCTGCTGAGTGTGGTGCTCAAACTCCTGCAATCCAAGCATTGAGAAGGCTGAGCCAGGAGGATCACTGCCAGTATGAACACATAGTGAGTTCAAGGCCAGCTTGGGCTACAGTCAGCAGACAAAACAGCAAGGTGCAAAGGCAAGCCAAAGAAGATGGCTGAGTGGGAACGGTGCTGGCTGCTCAGCCATGAGGACAACAGTGCAGACACGGCATCCTTGCCGTTACAAGTGTCACGAACTCCAGCATCAATCTGGGGCTCCTCTGGTTGTCAAGGGCAACCCACACATGTGTACACCTTTTTTTTTTTTTTTGAAAAGGTCAGCATTTTTTTCAACAAATGGTATTGGAAGAACTAAACACCTATAGGACAAAAAGTAATCTTAACACAATTCTCACTTGATTTTTTTATAGAAAGCTTTTCTCAAAATGGAACACAAATTTTAATATAAAATGAAAAATGGTAGTAGTATAAGGGGGAAAAAGGAGCAAAGAAAATCTCTGTAATCTGGAGACAGTTTTTAGGCAAGATACCAAAAGCATCAAACATAAAAAGCTGCTGATAAACCAGGTCTATCAGAAAGCCAAGACAGTTTGGCTAGGCTTGAGGAAGGATGTTCCAAGCTGTACTTCTGATGAAGCACTCACAGCAAGAACAAGTCTAATGTTAAAAATGGCCAAAAGCCTCTAGTACTTACCCTAAAAGATGTACGATGGGGGAAAGGAAGCACATGGAAAGATGTTTACTATCAGTAAAGAAATTTAAATAAAACGGTGATGTCCATCACAGCATACTCAAATTGCTAGGTAGCACAACTTGGAATAGGCTCTCTCCCCCTACCATATGGGCTCAGGGCTCAAACTCAGGTTGTTAGGGTGGGTGGGTTGTCAGGGTTAATTCAATATGGCAGCTCCCTGGACCTGAAGAACAGCACCGTACCTTGCCATTCAGACAACGGGACAAGTGTTAAAGAGACTCGAGGATTGCAAATGCAGGAGCTGAGTGGCAGCCAGGTAGGACCAGGACTGGACTGGGCCTCCACAGCCAAGCTGGACCGAGGGCCCAGTTTGCTTTCTGCTATGTAAAAACTGTCTCAGCACCCTGAGGTGGGAGAACAAATTACCCAACTCCATAAAATGCAGGGTCTAACTTCTCAAGTCAGCCAGGGGAATGCACATAAAGAACAATTAAAAAACAAAATTTTAGATATCTTTTCACATAACTACACAAATCTAGCAATCATTTTATTAAATTAAGCAAATATGGTGTGCTTTAAAAAAGAAATTACTTTAAAAATGTTCCCCAGGCTGCACAAAGACTAAGGAAGTGAATTACACTTTCACATTTTAGAAATTATAAAAAATTATAATTTTTATAATTATAAAAAATTATAAACACACAACACCCAATTTTATTAACATTTCAGAAAAACAGTGACACAGCTTCTGAAAATCTGTGTACTCACTTCCTGTCTGCAAAACCTCAAATTAAAACTATTTTATAATATGAATTTGCTTTGCCCTCCTGTCCTTTTTGGAAGGTACTTTCTCTCCCTTTTTGGCTAGTAAGTAACATGGGATAGTGTTTTTCATTCTGTTACAAATCTTAAAAAATAAAAAAGGAATAGTTTCAAATTTACCTGCCTATTTTCTCAGTGCTTGTCTTAACTAGTCATAATACATTTAAGTTGCTGTGTAGGGGGCGGGGGCACTCCCATTACAGGGGTATGCTTTCAGGAAACAAGGGCTGCTTCCTGTGTTAGCCACATCTTCACCCACTCCACCACTAAGACATTTGCAGTCAGAGTCTGACAGATGGTCTAGAACATCCCGATAGTGACTCAAGAGAAACCACCACCTACCGACAACAGCAATTGCCAGATATTTACTTTCAGCTTTTAGTTAAGCAAAATCTAAAGAAATTCAAGTAACTCTTGCTTCTTTTATAAACAAATCAACTGATTTGTTTATAGAGATACACAAACATGGTATGACATGAGACAGATGTTGGTTTTAAATGTTATTGCTCAGGCAGGTACCTCTTAGGTTAGTAGTTAGATATTACATTAGCTGGCACATGGATAGCAAAGTAAAAATTTGTTTCAAGTCTTTCAGAGAAATATTTTAAGAGCCAGTGTGGTGGTACACACCTTTAATCCCAGCACTAGGGAGGCAGAGGCAGGCAGATATGTGAGTTGGAGGCCATCATCATCTACAGATCGAGTTCCAGGACAAGCTCCAGGACAAGCTCCAAATCAATCAGAGAAACCGTGTGTGTGTGTGTGTGTGTGTGTGTGTGTGTGTGTGTGTGTGTGTGAGAATACTGCAGACTTATACACTGTCTGAATGGACAGATAATGTCTACCCCATGAATATGAATGTATTGGAGGTTTATGAAGACAATCCATTCCTGAAGATGGGAAAAAAAAAGTTTGAAAAGAGCACTGGCGAATCAAAACCAACTCACATGCTCCCTACAACTGTGGCTGCTGTGTGTGTGTGTGTGTTCACAATAACAACCCCCCAAACAAGCAACCTACCTAAACCATTTATTAACTGGGATCTGTGCGAATGCATACATGCTGAGCACTGACAAGAGACATTTGTATCACATAAAGCCCTACTTGTCAAATATAAAATCACCGGAATGTATGAGGTGTCATGAGGTGTGTGAGCATACACATGCATTTGCCGTTATGCACAATCTCCACCGTACATGTTAGGAATACAGGGCTGCTCATATTAGAAACAGGTTAAGGGCATTTACCTAAAATGGAAAAATCCCTTTCGGTTTTAATATCCCGATTTTTTAAGGGCCCGAGGAATTTTATAGCAGATTCTTTGGAACGGCTGCATCCTAAATACGTATATGTGTATGTATAAACAATGCCTGCTATGTGCCAACGCGGAACTAGCTTTTGTTTTAAAGGATGAATAGGACATGATTCCAGACTCAAGTTCAGGCTGGCAGGAGAGACAAGTAATTGGACAAATAATGCATCCTAATAAGCACTGCAGAGCTATTATGCCCAGGGCCCCGGGAGCTCACTGTATTGATTACCAATGTCTCTCGCGGGAGTCTGGAAAGAACCAAGTACGAAGTGAGTTTTGACAGACGGTGAAGCGGCAGGAAGAGCAAAGTATCCCGGCAGATAAGCCGGGCGCGCAGAGGCGGAAATGCGAGGCTCGTCCGGGGAGTCACCCAGCCGCCGGGCACGGGTGGATGGACGGACGGCGGCAGCGGGAAAGCATGCAGTCCCGGAGCGTCAAGGCCGGGCGGCCTGCGGGGCTCTGGAAGCCGGGGCCGCGCGCCCTGGGAGCGGGACAGCAAGCGGCGACGAGCCCCTCCCGCCACCGCCCACGGAGGAAGACGAACCCGGAAGTGGAGTCCGGTGCTCACCGCGGGAGGGCTCGGGGCTTCCCCGGGACTCCCGCACCTCGGTTCCCGGCGGGAGCTCGGGCACGGGGAGGACTCGCCCACGCGCGTGCGGCGGCTCGCTCGGCTTCAGCGCCGAGGGCCCGCGGCACCCGGGCGCCCACGCGCAGGGTCCGCGCCCTCTCAGCGACAGGACGCGCAGCGCGGCACAGACAGCGGCGCCTCGCACCGGCAGCCCGCGCGCCTCGGCCCCATCCCGGCCCGGCCCGGAACCTCCGCTACCGGCAGCCGCGGAGCGACGAGCCTCGCGAGACTGCCGCGGGGACACGCCCCTCCCGCGCAGTTGCTAGCCGCTGATTGGCCGCGGTATGGGACGGGGCGGGTCCGCTCCCTCCTCGCCCCGCCCCCGCCTCGCCTGCTCTCACTCTCGCTTTCTCTCTGCCGCCCGCCAACTCTCGCGTGGTTTGCGACGGGCTGCCGGCCGGGTGAAGGCAGACGCGGGGAGGCGCGGAGGCCGCCTTAGCCCGGGCCGCGGCTGGGGCTCTGCTCTGGGGACTTTCTCGGGTCGGGTCGCCCCGGCCACACTCCTCCCGACGGTGGCTCGGGGACAAGCGTTGAAGGCGGTTTCTTTTTTTGTCTTCTTTTTTTTTCTTCCCCTCCCCACCCTCCCCTTGATTAGCTCCGCCCTCTTCCGGTTCGGGAGGGAAGATGGCGGGGCCGCGCGAGAGCGCCGTGCGCACGCGCGGGCCCGAGTGCGCGCTGGCTGTGGTGCGTGCGCGCGCGCGCGCGCGCCGCAGCGTCTAGGAAGCCGGCGCGTCGGGAGATGAGCCGGGGCCGGTCGTCCGCAGGCGGCACCAGGCTCGGACCGTGCACCGACCCCTTCCCCTCCCGCCCACCCTCGTCTGCCTTCTCCCCCCGCCGCCCTCCGGAGTCCGTTCGCTGCAGGAGCGGGCGCGAAAGTAAGCGGGCCTCGCCGCCCGGGGCTTCCCGGGTCCACGCACGCACCTTGCACGCCGCGCACCCCACCCCCGCCCGGTTGCAGCCAGCTGTGCGCCGTGCAGGCTGCGACCTGCGGGCCGGGGCGCTGCGTTCCCCGGCGGCCGCAGGCACAGCAGCGGGGGCCGGTACGGTGCTGCCTCCCCGCGAGCACTTCTTGCCCTGCTTCCCATGTGCTTTTTAGGATGCGGATGCCTGCTTTTGTTTTTTGGTTTGGTTTTGTCCTGTGTTAAGAGTTTTGTGAGCGAAGCAGGGGAGTGCGCCGCAGTGCTCTGCGATTGTAAGGAAAAGTTTTAGACGTTGTCTCCCCGTGGGCATCTTGTCTGTTCGGAGGTACACGGTGAATGAACTGCGCCGCGTTGCAAGTTGCTTGGGGAGGATGAGGGTTTGTGCTCAACGGAAAGCACCCAGATACGCGTTCACCTTAGGCGATGTGTTGTATGTGTTTTGGGTTGTACTTTTGCTGTCGGGTCTTCTCCTGTGGATTTTCCCTGAGCCCCTAGCGAGGATCATCGTAGATGTATTTGAAGAATTGATCAAATACAAATAATGTGTACAGGTGTTTTCTTCTTCTTCTTCTATTTTAAGTAGTTTGTAAAAGAAAAAGACTTATGGACTCTTTTGTCTGTTATATTGCCTGCATAGTATGATGTAGCTCATCCCTTACCCTTGACCGAACAAAATTCTCGTAACTTAGGCTCACCTGAGGAAAACACAACTAAGTGATAAATGTTAATGTGCCAACATTTGACTAGTATGTGTATTACCCTTCTACAGATTAAAACAAAATGAAGATTTTTTCTGAATCTCATAAAACGGTGTTTGTTGTGGATCACTGCCCATACATGGCGGAGTCCTGCAGACAGCATGTGGAGTTCGATATGCTGGTGAAGAACAGAACGCAAGGAATCATCCCCTTGGCTCCCATCTCTAAGTCCCTGTGGACTTGCTCAGTAGAGTCTTCCATGGAATATTGTAGGATAATGTATGACATATTCCCTTTCAAAAAGCTGGTGAGTGTTATAAGCAAAACTATTTAATTGTGTAAATAGTTATATGGAATTGCTGTGCTTAGAGCTGTATAGTTAAAAATACAGGCAGAACTAACTGCCCCTTTGATTATTATTGTATAGGTATTTAATTATGGCCAGCAGGGTACCGAGCACTTATGAGTTCTAGATGGGTTCCAAAGTGCTTTCCGTTTATACTTATACTTTATACTTACTGGCCTATTGACAGTCCAATGAGGTAGGAACTATGCATACTGGGCCATATACAAAGTATGTAGCAAGTATGGAACAGGCACTAAACAAATGGCTATCTCAAGTGGAAACATTGTTGAGCCATTATTATTTTGTAACCCTGGCCTTTCCTAGGTAGACTGGGCTGGCCTCAGACTCAGAGATCCACCTTCTTCTGCCTCTCAAGTGCTGGGATTAAGGATATAACCCACCTTCCCAGTACAAAAAAGCTAAAAAGTTCTAAAAAGTCTCTGTGTGTGTTTTAATTAGTAAGAAGGGACATTGACATTTGACAGAAATTCCAAATATTAAAGCTACCTCTAAGTTTCAGTATTTTAAATGCTTCAGGACTAGGCTGCAAGTAGATGGCCAGTGCTCATCTTACTTGTAGCAGCCTGAGCTCGCCTTTCACCACCGGATGTGGAGTAGTGGACGAGTTTCTCATAGCGTTTGCTCTCTGAACTTTTCCTGCTCATGCATTTGCTTGGGTTCTTCCTTCCCCGCTTTACCACATTTTCCACGGAGACTTTGTCCTCGCCGTGGCCGTGACAGGCATTCCCCATACTCGGTGCCTGAATGCAGCCGCTTCCCTAGGCGTGTACACTTAGAGAAAGATGATGGGTCCAGGTAGTGGCCAGTGCTAGGAACTGGTGTTATTTACCATGTGAGAGTTGAGTACTGACTGTCTCTTTGATATCTGTTAGGTGAATTTCATTGTGAGTGACTCCGGGGCACATGTTTTAAATTCTTGGACTCAAGAAGACCAGAACTTACAGGAGGTATGCCTGGGTTTTGAAAATTACCTAAATGTGGTAAAACTTTGTAAGAAAGATTAATTTTATTTATTTATTTTTAGAATTTCTATATCTTTGCAAAATTAAAATCCCAAGTTACATGAAAAGAAAAACTGTTCTTTCTATTCCAGTCTCCCAGCCCAAGCAAATCTCAGCTTTAGCTTCTGGTTTTTATTTACATGTTAAAATTCTCTATGTAACATGTTGTACTTATTGAATTCTTAATGTAAACTTTACCCTGACTGTTAGTGATGGTTCACTAAGAAAGAGCCTTCCCCACTCGGGCCTGCCCCTCGTTTTGTTTTTCTAACCATTTTATCAGAGTTTGTTTATAATGTCCACACAATTATTTATTTGTAGAACTTAGCATTTCCTTTTCCTCCTTATATACCTATTGTTGCTCACATCTCTCGAGCGGCTCAGTATTTCTTTTACCACGAATGTACCAGCTAATTCAGCAGATCCCTGAAGCAGCCTCACTAACTGCTGGACAGGGTCCTCTTCTGCTTCCTCATCATGCTTTCCTCCGTGTGATCTTTGTCTGCTAGAGCATGGTCTCCACAGTTCATGTAACATGGTTCTTTGTATCCATATTTTGAATATAGAAGTAATACTTTCTCAAAATTGTGAGGGTCTTATCCACCATATTTGTGGTTCTCTGATGCTGCTGAAGTCCAGTGTCATTTTATTTAAAAGCTTTTATTTAAAGGCTTTAAGAATCTTTTCTTTCCCGTTTATATTCAGAATGTTTTCAGTGATGTGCCTTAGTGGGTCTTTCCTCATTTGCTAGGTTGGAAAGAGAAAATTCTGAGTTGTTTTTTATCTCGATTTTGTGTCTGTGCGCTCTGTCTTTCTAGAATATCTATTAGCGGGATATTGGACTTCCGGGGTTGAAGTGATTTTTCTTATTGAGCACCTGTGTTACTTGTCTATTTGAACCTTTCCACTCTTATTTGGGAGTTTATGACTGTATTTCACTTTCCAAGAGCTTGTTCTTATACTCTAATTATGTCCTTTTTGTCAGTCCTTTCTTGTTTTACGGCTGTGTATGTATTGTAGAACTGGAGGTTATTAGGGCTTATTTGAGGATCAGTTTTGATGTCTGTCTCCAGAGTACTTTCCATGTTGAGATTTTACTTAAGTGCCTGCTGACCTTTGGCTGTGCAGTCTTTTTATCAGCAAGACATTGACCAGTGGGTTAGGAGATCCTCAGTTGTGGGTAGTTAGTTATTCCTGACAGTTAACAGGTGTCTCTTTGGGACCCTGCAAGGTCTCCAGAGAAGGTCCTCCATTGTTTTTCCTGTGTGTAGCGAACTTCTCTGTCAGGTTCTGCCACTCAGAGGGTGGATTTAGCCTTGCTACTTTCAATCGAGAACTTTGTTATCTAAGGATATTTCCAGCTTTGTGTGGTGATGTAAAATTTAAACTATAGTTCATTTGTGGCCTTTGCCCTGTTTATGTGCTTAGTAAGCCACAGGTAGATAGTGGTCCCTGGTATGGGACGGGACAAACAGCATATGCAGCATTTGATGGAGCTCTGTTGGGCAGAGCCCAGGACCTGCCCTTGTTCTCTGCTGTGCGGGCGTGATTGTGTGTGTGCGGTGGTCTGGGAAAGGTCATTGGTTCACAGGTTAGGGTCTGAATCAGAGTGTGCTGTGCACTGAATTGAGGCTGTTTGTACGTTTCTGAGCACCTTCCTCAGCCGTGGTTTGTGTGATGCTTGGTGCCTCTTAACCCTGTACCATGAACTGAATTCCCTTGTAGACTTTTCAGACCTTGAATTTATGCCTCACCTCCATTAGCTAGTATTAGATGCCTACCCCATCAGGAGTAGTAGATTTATGCTTTTTTAAAAGTGACTTTACTGCGGTCTTAGTGGAGGGAGCACAAATAAATTTAGGCTAAATTCATTAAGTTTATCTTTTATTATTTAAGAACATTGTGTTTCTGTTAGCTTTTATGTCCTGCTATTTAGTTTGGGTAGAAGATATCAGGCTACTAAATTTACTAATGCATTTGGACAACATAAGAGAAAGTGATTACTGGAATATTTGAGTACACTATTTGAATTAATTTATTTAAAGTTTTTTTCTGTTCATGGATGTTCTTCAATGGAAATAATCCCAAGGTGAGTATATCACAGTGTTTGGTTTTAAATATTTGTGACGAGTCATTTAAACTGTAAACATCTCTAACTTATTATTTTGAGGTAAGACACTGACGAAATAGGGTTTTTATTGGCTTGGCCTTATACTTTTACCTCTCTAGAATGTTCTTAATATTCACTGTCTTTCAGAAAGTACCATGGGACACAATCTTGGAGTGTTCCTAGCATATGTGAATAAAAGTCAGACACAGCCAGGCCGTGGTGGCTCATGCCTTTAATAGTCAGGAGTTTTGAGTCTACCAGGGAGAAACCCCTCTATGAGGGCCACTCTCACGAGTCACTGGTGTTGAAGATGCTTTGGTTTGGTTTTCCTTATCACAACTGATTGTCAGGAATCCTCATAAGTAGGGAGTGAATCAGCTGGTCGCAAACATTTGAGTCATTTATCACTACCTATTTCTGGACCACTGTTTGATTTCATTCTCGGTCCCTGCTTCTCTAGTCTCGGGTTCTTGATCACACAAATAGTGTCAGATATGGGTTCTAGCTCAACAAATAGGTCTTAAGTCAGATCAGCTGCTGGTTGGTTTCTGCCGCACACCGCATTGCCCTGGCCTATCTACCCTGTAGCAGTACCATTGTAGATAAAGGGTCTGGTTGGTGTGAGAGCACCAGCTTGGCATACCCATGTTCAGAGAGTTGTTGCCAGAATAGTGGGGCCTTGATGTCAGTCTTGGCAACAGCCTGGGTTGTTCCAGGATTCCCATGGGTTCCTTTGGTAAACAACTCAATTAGGTGCAACTCAGTCTGGGTACTGGAAGCTTCATTTGGTGACAAGAGATGCCACTTGGGACTCTTGTGTTCCCCATTATTTGGAGTTTTCACTTAGATCACCTTCGTATATGTCTACATTTTAGCAAGTTTCCTTTTACTGTATTAGGTTTCCATGTTACCCTTCAAATATGGCTTAATTCTAGTCATCTCCCCCACCCATATCCCTCCCACAATCCCTTCTTCCCTCCCTACTTGATACTAAATTAACTTTCATTGTTGACAGAAATCTTCCATGGTCATGGTGTATAATTTTTGTGTGTGTGTGTTGTTAGGTTTGGCTTGCTAGTATTTTGTTAAGAGAGTTTGTGTCCATATGTATATATCTAAATGACTTACTCGTTTTTATTTTGTGTGCATTGGTGTTTTGTCCTGCATTTGTGTGAGGGTGTTGGATCCCTTGGAACTAGAGTTACAGACAGTTGTGAACTGTCGAATGAGCGCTGGAAATTGAACCCGGGTCTGTCGGGAGAGCAGGCTCTGCTCTTAACTGCTGAGCCATGTCTCCAGCCCCTTTCGAGAAGCATTGGCTTTTCGTTTTCTCTGGATTCTTTTGTGTGACGTGACATAATGTTGTCAACACGGTTGTCTCTCCCTCTGCTCAGCTCATGGCGGCACTGGCTACTGTGGGCCCCCCTAACCCTCGGGCAGACCCCGAGTGCTGTAGCATTCTGCATGGCCTTGTTGCTGCAGTGGAGACCCTGTGCAAAATTACCGAATACCAACATGAGGCTCGCACTTTACTCATGGAGAATGCAGAACGAGTGGGGAATAGAGGACGGATAATCTGCATTACAAATGCAAAAAGGTGGGCTGATAATCACAGTGGTCCTTTTCCTGGGAGAACTTTAATTACTATTACGTTTTTATTTTATGAAGTATGGACAGCCTATAAGTTTGTAAGGATATGTAAGTGGTTTTCTCTGATTTATTTTGTTATTATTTGCCTTTAATATTGATACTGGGCTTATTGAGTTCTAGATAAAAATCATCTTGGTGGAAATTGTTTAGAATATTATGTCAATTGATAAGACTTTTTCTTCACTGATTTCCTAAGCTAATAGTTTGATGATTATGAATGAGTATGCATAGACAATCTTTGCTGGGGTGGATTTTGAAGTTATCTGTACACATGTGTCTGTGTGTGGGTCTTGTGCCCATGAGTGCAGGAGCCACAGTGGCTAGAAGGGGAGTTACAGGCAGTCGTGAGCCGCAGACTTGGGCGCTGGGAGCCAGACTGAGGCTCTGTGCAAGAGTGGCCATGCTCCCTGCTCCCTCCCTCCCTCCCTCCCTCCCTCCCTCCCTTCCTCCCTCCCCGCCAACCTGCTGAAGGGGTTGTACATGGTGGCATCAGCACACGACGACTTTTTCCTTACTGTTTGTTCCTTTAAGTTTTCTCTTTTTAAATAACAGTGATAGTCATGTACGGATGCTTGAAGACTGTGTCCAGGAAACAATTCATGAGCACAACAAGCTTGCTGCAAATTCAGATCAGTGAGTATAATTCATAGAGGAAATAACTCATTAACTTCACATGATGTACGTTTCATATTTGTTTGCAGTAATTTTTAATGTACTTGGTAGCATTTCCTTGATTTTTCTTAACAAATTAACCTAAAGCTATAAGTTTGATCAGAATTTTTTATTTTCCTTACATTTTTCAATATTATGTTCTTCTCACAAGAAACGTGGTTAGAATGATAATATACAAATTTATAATGCATATTTGTTTTGATAGCTCATTATACCTTGGTAGGAACTTATAAAATATGTAGATTGTGGGTTTTATTAATCATTATTCACTAGTTCAGAATGTAAATAAGTTCACTCATTGCATTGTGTAAATTTATTTTTAAATAATAGCAGTTGAAAAACTTTTTTTATACTTGCTTTATACTCGGCAGCATCTAGGGATGGTCAAAAGTGTTGGATTTTTTCTTTCTCCTACACCAAACAGTTCTGCCACTATATGGATACCATCTGGGTGTCCTGCAGTTCAATGAAGACATCAGCTCACTGGAGTTATTAGAGCCCCAACAGATTAAGAGCTCAGTTCCTCAGAATTGTATGACCCCTACCCTTTCAGAACCGCTGTCAGTCTGACTTGCTAGCTGTCAGGGTCCCCACATCCCGCCATGTCAGACCGTTCACTGTGAACACTGAGTGTGTTACACGGGACACAGGTGAGCAGGAGAGACTCACTGAACACTGAGTGTGTTACATGGGACACAGGTGAGCAGGAGAAGCTCGCTGTGAACACTGAGTGTGTTACACGGGACACAGGTGAGCAGGAGAGGCTCGCTGTGAACACTGAGTGTGTTACACGGGACACAGGTGAGCAGGAGAGGCTCGCTGTGAACACTGAGTGTGTTACACGGGACACAGGTGAGCAGGAGAGGCTCGCTGTGAACACTGAGTGTGTTACACGGGACACAGGTGAGCAGGAGAGGCAACACAAAGCAGGGGAGGTCCCAAGTGCAGGAGCTTTTACCGTTGGAGATGAATGTGCTGTCTCACAGTGTGGATGTGTTCATGTCACAGAAGACCCTGTGGTATTTGAATGTGCGTGGGCCCCATAATCTCATGAGGTGTGGTTTTAGAGTGGGCGTGGCCTTGTTGAAGGAAGTGTGTCACTGTGGAGGCGGTCTTTGAGGTTTACTATGCTCAGGATACTGCCTAGTCATCAGTCAACTTCTGTTGCTTACAAGCCAAGATATAGCCACCATCACGCTTCCCTGCACACCACGATGTTCCCTGTCATGACGATAATGGACTGAACCTCTGAAATTGTCAGTGAACCACCCCAATTAAATGTTTTCTTTATGAGAGTTGCCATGGTCCTGGTGTCTCTTCACAGCAGTGGAAACCAAACTAAGACAATTCCTGAGCCCTTCATCTCTGGGATTTTTATGGAGATGTCACAACTGATAATTTGTTTTCTGGCCCATCTTTCCTTCCTAAAGGATGTCAGGGTAGGGCGTGAAGGTCCCATGCTTCTAATCATAACATTGTCTTTCTGGTAATATCTTCCCCAACTAGGAGCCACGTGTGTAGAATCCCAAGAGTTAGGTCATTAGGACAGAGGGACTGCCACCTAGGAAATTTCCAGAGATTTAAGAACTGACTGTCAAGAACTTAGATCCAAGATCGAATAGAGAGCAGAAGATACTGTGGGTGCCATAGGACTTAGGATTTCATAAGGGTTTCAGGAACTCTATCCCATCTGCCAGGTCAGTAGTCCAAATGTTACCTGTTACGTCACAGCCAGTAAGGGAACGTTTACAGCAGTTGTACTGGAACAGTTTAGGTTGAGCAGTTACTAATTTTCTTATGTGGAATAGGGTCATTGCTGTTAGAAGTGGAGCTATCCTTAGTAGAAGGGTTCTCAAGTGTTTAGTAATGTCCTTTGCAGCTCACATGAGAATGGCTCAGTGTCTTAGCTAGGGTTTCTGCTACTGTGAAGAGACATCGTGACCATGGTAACTCTCATAAAGGGAAGCATTTCACTGGGGTGGCTTGCAGTTCAGACACTTTGTCCTTTATTATCATGGCAGGACACGGTGGCGTGCAGGCAGACATGGTGCTGGAGAAGGAGCTGAGAGCCCTCAGTCAGGATCCACAGGCAGCAGAAGTGAACTGAAATAGGCATAGCTTAAGCATAGGAGACCTCAGAGCACACCCCACAGTGACACACTCCCTCCAGAGAGGTCATACCTGCTTCAGCAAGGCCACGCCTCCAAATAATACCACTCAGAGCTTATGGGGGGGCATTTACATTCAAACCAGCACACTTAGTAAGTTCATCTATTCAGAGTCAGAAAGAACAGAAATGTAGCTAGTGAATGTACAGTGTAGGATATATGGAGTCTCATTCACTAGAATACAAGGCTAGGGAAGGCTGGTGAGATGGTTCCGAGCCTGGCAACGTGAGTTCAGGGCCTCTGGTGGAAGGAGAGACTGAGTTCAGGGACTCTGTGGAAGGAGAGACTGAGTTCAGGGACTCTGTGGAAGGAGAGACTGAGTTCAGGGACTCTGTGGAAGGAGAGACTGAGTTCAGGGACTCTGGTGAAGGAGAGACTGAGTTCAGGGCCTCTGTGGAAGGAGAGACTGAGTTCAGGGACTCTGGTGAAGGAGAGACTGAGTTCAGGGACTCTGTGGAAGGAGAGACTGAGTTCAGGGACTCTGTGGAAGGAGAGACTGAGTTCAGGGACTCTGGAGGAAGGAGAGACTGAGTTCAGGGCCCTGGAGGAAGGAGAGACTGAGTTCAGGGCTCTGGTGAAGGAGAGACTGAGTTCAGGGACTCTGTGGAAGGAGAGACTGAGTTCAGGGCTCTGGTGAAGGAGAGACTGAGTTCAGGGCCTCTGTGGAAGGAGAGACTGAGTTCAGGGACTCTGGTGAAGGAGAGACTGAGTTCAGGGACTCTGGTGAAGGAGAGACTGAGTTCAGGGACTCTGTGGAAGGAGAGACTGAGTTCAGGACTCTGGAGGAAGGAGAGACTGAGTTCAGGGACTCTGTGGAAGGAGAGACTGAGTTCAGGGCTCTGGTGAAGGAGAGACTGAGTTCAGGGACTGGTGAAGGAGAGACTGAGTTCAGGGCTCTGGTGAAGGAGAGACTGAGTTCAGGGACTCTGGAGGAAGGAGAGACTGAGTTCAGGGACTCTGGAGGAAGGAGAGACTGAGTTCAGGGCCTCTGTGGAAGGAGAGACTGAGTTCAGGGACTCTGTGGAAGGAGAGACTGAGTTCAGGGCTCTGGTGAAGGAGAGACTGAGTTCAGGGCTCTGGTGAAGGAGAGACTGAGTTCAGGGACTCTGGAGGAAGGAGAGACTGAGTTCAGGGCCCTGGAGGAAGGAGAGACTGAGTTCAGGGCCCTGGAGGAAGGAGAGACTGAGTTCAGGGACTCTGTGGAAGGAGAGACTGAGTTCAGGGCTCTGGTGAAGGAGAGACTGAGTTCAGGGACTCTGTGGAAGGAGGGACTGAGTTCAGGGACTCTGGAGGAAGGAGAGACTGAGTTCAGGGACTCTGGTGAAGGAGAGACTGAGTTCAGGGACTCTGGTGAAGGAGAGACTGAGTTCAGGGACTCTGGAGGAAGGAGAGACTGAGTTCAGGGCCCTGGAGGAAGGAGGGACTGAGTTCAGGACTCTGGAGGAAGGAGAGACTGAGTTCAGGGACTCTGGAGGAAGGAGAGACTGAGTTCAGGGCCTCTGTGGAAGGAGAGACTGAGTTCAGGGACTCTGTGGAAGGAGAGACTGAGTTCAGGGCTCTGGTGAAGGAGAGACTGAGTTCAGGGCTCTGGTGAAGGAGAGACTGAGTTCAGGGACTCTGGAGGAAGGAGAGACTGAGTTCAGGGCCCTGGAGGAAGGAGAGACTGAGTTCAGGGACTCTGTGGAAGGAGAGACTGAGTTCAGGGCTCTGGTGAAGGAGAGACTGAGTTCAGGGACTCTGTGGAAGGAGGGACTGAGTTCAGGGACTCTGGAGGAAGGAGAGACTGAGTTCAGGGACTCTGGTGAAGGAGAGACTGAGTTCAGGGACTCTGGTGAAGGAGAGACTGAGTTCAGGGACTCTGGAGGAAGGAGAGACTGAGTTCAGGGCCCTGGAGGAAGGAGGGACTGAGTTCAGGACTCTGGAGGAAGGAGAGACTGAGTTCAGGGACTCTGGAGGAAGGAGAGACTGAGTTCAGGGACTCTGGTGAAGGAGAGACTGAGTTCAGGGCTCTGGAGGAAGGAGAGACTGAGTTCAGGGCTCTGGAGGAAGGAGAGACTCCCACAAGTGAATCTCACCTCCACGTGTGCACCGTAATCTTCCTCCCATAAATAAGGAAAACACAGTTTTAAAACATTGAGAAAAATTTAGTCTCATATTTTTAGAAGTAATCATTTATAGGTAGTGATTAGTATTGCCTGATTTTTGTCCTTTAAAAAAAGTAAAGAAGAAATTCAATATACAGGTACTCATTTTCTTTGTGCTAATTACAGAAAATTATACGCCCTTTCTCTTTATTGTTAGTTTTTAACTTGAAACTGGCTTTGACTATGCAAAGCCTGTCAGGTAATTGGCCACTCCACTCTCCGCTTTGTACAGTTTTTTCTCCACAGAGAGCCTTTTCTGACCTCTCACTGGTGATGGCAGCAACAGCAGAAATTACCTCAGTGACTTCAGTTGAAAGCAGGGCCCTGGAATATGACCCTGGCACCTACCATCAGGGTTAGGGCTACTTAGATTCACAGAAAAGTTTTGCATTTCATTTAAATGTGTGTAATTACTCATTAACTATTTATACAAATACAGCAGTTGTGTACTGTGTAACTGCTTAGCTCAGAGTGTTGGCAGCTGCACCAGATCAAGGTCATACACTATCTGTTAGGGTCAGACATTGTTTGAGTGTAGTCACGTTCTGTTACTATGGTAAGGATGAAGTAGTTTGCTTGCTGGATTCTTTACTATATCTAACATTGTAAGTAATAGTTTTTTTTTTTTCTCTTAAGTCTCATGCAGATTCAAAAATGTGAGTTGGTGTTGATTCATACCTACCCAGTTGGTGAAGATAGCCTTGTGTCTGATCGTCCTAAAAAAGAAGTAAGTGTAGACACAGTCGCTGCAAGAAGACATGGTTGTCTTTGTGAGCGAGAGTTAAGCAGGGCTGAGGGCGGCAGCACTGGCCTGAGTGTGTTGCTGCTTTTTTCTGCCAAAGCGGTCAGAATAGACCGTCGTAATTACAAACTTTCCATGTTTCCTGTTGTGTTTCATCATTGACTTGTATTTTAATAAAATGTGTTGCAAGTCTATAAACTTTATTCTAGTCTGTGAGGTTAGTTACTTCAGTAACTTTAATTTTTACACATTTTGAGAAAACTACATTCTAATAAAATAGCCTCTTGATAACAAAGAAACCAACTTACACATTCAGGGAAAACCTACTTTCCAACTTTTACTTTAAAAAAGAAATAAAGATATTTTAAATGAAAAGGTAGTTTTATTGGTTAGTAAGTATATTCACATCACATCTTCATTGGTAGTCTGTATTTAGAAATGCAAATGTATAATAATAGCATGTCCTGATGTTTTATTTTGTATTTTTAATTTAACCATGTCTGATATTACTTTAGTCTATGAATTATTTAAGTGATACTTTCAAGTTGTTGTCTCTACCATATCCTAGGTGTTTTCCTGGTTATTTTATGCCTCTTTTAGTGACACGTTAGTTTTCTTTTCTGGTAAATAAAAGTTAATTTATGTTGTTATTGCTCTGAGGTGAATGAAGTTTTGTGAGTTTACTGTGCTTTTCTGTGTTTTTGAGGCGGGTTTCCCTCTGGTCCATCTGTCTGTCTCTGCCTATTGGGTATGGGGACTAAAGGACTGCGCCACCACACCCAGCTTCGCTTCACTACGTCTGTGCCGCCTTACCGCACACCGCTAGTGAAGCCACACGTTTGTGGTTTCCATGTTCCTTCTGTAGGGTGAATTATTTTTCTTACAGTATCTCTTTGTGATTAAAAGTCTGTTTCATATCAGTAAGTTAGAAAATATAAATAGATATTTAGTGAATGCTATTTAGTCTAGGTTTTAAGGGGACAGTGACTGTACTGTGGCTGTACTAATAGCTCATATAGGTCCTGGCTTATAGGATAGTAAACATTGTATATGTTACAAATAAAACTTCATTGATGAAATAATTATCCTGGCTAGCTTTTACACACACACACACACACACCACACACACACACACACACACACACACACACAACACACACACACTGTGAAAAGCCACTCGAGATTCAATGGTCTGTAGTGAAGTACTCAGCGTGGGCTGCTGTGGGGGTAATGAGTGCTCTGTGGTTTCTTTCCTGGGTGCTCCGGCAGCTGTCCCCAGTTTTGACCAGTGAAGTCCACAGTGTCCGAGCTGGGCGGCATCTGGCTACCAAGTTGAATGTTCTGGTACAACAGCATTTTGACTTGGCTTCAACGACTATCACCAACATTCCCATGAAGGTAGGCGGCCCAACGGCTTTTCTGTGCTTTTCATGATTTGCTTGACATTTCCTCATTGGCTTTAATTGAAACTTTACCTTTTCTCCTTGTATTGTATTTTGTTTTGCTAGCCCACATTCAGTGTCTTTGAACAGGTCAGTAAATACTGAGACTCAAAAAGAAAGGATCACAGAACAAATGTTGTATTGTCACTGTTTCTAATAAGAACATGTTGTAAGATTTTTAAGAACTATGTTCTTACTATTTTTATCAAAATCTATATTTTAAATTATTTCTCTGTGATTCTTTTCCTGAGAGCTGTGTTATTAGATTTTACTTTGTATATTTGAGTGCATTTTTTATTTTCTGTACTTCCTTACCCGTCCAAATGTGAAGATGTGGGTAAGTAATAGGTCTGACTGGTGAAAAATTCCTCATGGCTTCCATTGATTTAATACTCCTCAGGTAAAGAGCCATGGATGTGAATATGTAGTTTCTGCAGTAGATTTTCTGGGAATCTGTCACGATCTATTCATATTATCACTTAAGTTGTCAGGACCAGCAAAATGCCTAGCCCATAGTTAGCTTTAAATGAGTCAGTCATTGCTAAAATTGAGTCCGTGCAGTAACTCTCTTACCAAAAACTCACGGTGACTTTCTTGGAGTCCAGTTTCAATTTTTTTTCTTCTTTTTTGCTTCTTATTTTTGAGACAGGGCTTCACTTTGTGGTCTGTACTGGCTTGAAACGAGTGGTCTTCCTGCCTCAGCCTCCCTAGCGCTGGGTCAGGGATGGAATCACAGGGCCAAGCCTTCTCAGTTCTTGCCGTTGTCGCATGGAGACTGAATGGCGTGAGAAATCTTAGCTTTTCTCTCTTCACGCCCTCCCACCTTCATCGGCTGGCCCTGTAGCAGGAGTTCTAGGAGACCTTTAGGCTGGCTTTGATGAGAGGCGGTGAGCAAGGGCAGTCGTGGAACAAGCCCTAGCTTACATCTGAGTGGAAAGAGACACGCTGGGACCTGACACTTGCCTCTGTGCTGTGCTCTCTGTTAGTAGCTAATGCAAAAACAAGCTACTGAGCTTGCTTGTTAGTGTTTGCTCCTTTAAAGAATTGCTGTTCATTACCTCACTGCAAGTATTTAAAGATGCTGTTGCCTGCTTTTAAAAACTATTTTAAGTTTGACTTACATATATTTCAATGATATTATGTTTGGGTTCGTTATACTGTTGGAAAGTATTGCATCTTTAAATAAATGACTGGGCAAACCATCCTCTTACTTAGCTAACTATGGCAGAATGTATTTGACCTCACTTTAAGCAAAACACAAAGTGAGTAATTTATGTCACTATTTTGAAAGCAAACCCAGTTTATTAAAATGTCCTACACTTTGCTTCAAGGAAGAGCAGCACGCCAACACATCGGCCAACTATGACGTGGAGCTGCTTCACCACAAAGACGCACACGCGGATTTCCTCAGAAGCGGTGAGAGCCCAGCACACACACTGAGCTCGGCCTTGTCCCAACTCCTCTGCAGTGCCGACATCATGCTTTGTCAACTTGACACACACTAGATCCAGCTGGGAAGAGGGACGCTCAGTTGGAAAATTGCTTAATCAGATTGGTCTGTGAGCATGTGTCTTAGTGAAGGTTTCTGCTACTGTGAAGAGACATCATGGCCGTGGTAACTCTCATAAAGGGAAGCATTTCACTGGGGTGGCTTGCGGTTCAGATACTTTGTCCTGTATTATGGCAGGACACGGTGGCGTGCAGGCAGACATGGTGCTGGAGAAGGAGCTGAGAGCCCTCAGTCAGGATCCACAGGCAGCAGAAGTGAACTGAAATAGGCATAGCTTAAGCATAGGAGACCTCAGAGCACACCCCACAGTGACACACTCCCTCCAGAGAGGTCATACCTGCTTCAGCAAGGCCACGCCTCCAAATAATACCACTCAGAGCTTATGGGGCCGTTTACATCCAAACTACCACAGCATGTCTGTGGGGCATTTTCTTACCTGCTAATTGATACAGGAGGGCCCGGCCCACTCTGGGCACCTGTGTAGGTGGGTCTGGGCATCTGAGGAAGGTAGCTGAGCAGACCAGAGAAAACAGTTTCCCTTGGTCTCTTCTGAGTTCCCCCCTTCAGATTCTTGATGAGCTCCTGTTTGGCTTCCCGTGATGATGGACCCTGACATACAACCCTGAAATGAGACCCTCCCCCCCCCCCCCCCCCCAGGCTGCTATTGGTCACAGAGTTTATCACAGCGACAGAGAGCCAGCCAGGACAGCGTCCATGAACTAATGTTCTGTAAATGAAAGGTGAACGTTAACTTCATCTCTAAGCTGCGGTTTCCATCGCTATACCCACATGCTCTAGGATGGGAGGGAGGAGCTTCAGCAAACTTGTCACCACAGCAGCTCTGTTTAAATGCTTCACTTTCTTTGTTTAAAAATTGCAGATGCTGTAGCAGCATGAGTCGTAATATTCCTCTCACTCATTTTAAGGTGTGAAGACATTTAAATTCCTGAGGTTCTTCCTTGTAGATTGATGCCAATAGAATTCTGTGATTGGTGTTGAACATGTTGTGTGCATTCATTCTGAAACATAGTGTGAGCTGGCTGGGGTGGTGGTCGAGTGTCATAAGGAATCTTCAGATTCATTGACTGAACTGCATACTAGCCAGGGAGAAACCGCTATGATAAACCTACCTACTGATGTTTAGTCAGGGAATGCAGAGAGCTTGTTTTTGAATATATAACTCAAGGAGATTGCTAGGAAGCCATGAGATGATGTCAGCTTTTAAGGTTTTTACTTTAACTCTGAAGATTGTATGGTTTGCCTTGGCTATGAAAGTAGTTCTTGTCTGTGGGGATGGCTTGGGTGAGGGCTCTTGCTGTGGAAGCAGAAGGACCCAGCTCAATCCCCAGCACCTGTGGGAAGTCTTTAAAGCCACAGCAGGGAGCAGAGACGGGTGGGGCCCGTGAGCATGAGTAAACACAGACTTCGCTCCTGTAGCTCGGAGGCTGCGTGTGGCTATCTCCCGGAAGCTGGGTGAGCCTCACTGAGGAGGGCTGCTCCATGCCTGTACACTGTGCAGCGTCATGTCAGCACCCACACCAGGTGGGGAGCTCCCTGACTGGCTCTTAGCACTCTCTGTGGATGCACAGTCCGGTTGTTTTTGCATTTCCATTAGACAGAACCTCAGGGTCATCTTTGAGTCGCTTTCTGACCATCTCGTTTGTTTATTACAGCCCCACAGCAGTTTCCCTCCCCCCCTTCTCTCTTCCTTCCCTGCCTCCCCTTAGCCCCCCACCCCCTTCTCTGTTCCTGTTCAGAAAAGGGCAGGCCTCCCATGGGTATGGGCAAAACATGGCATGTCAGATTGTAGTCAGACTAAGCACCTCCCCTTGTGCTAAGGCTGGACAAGACAACTTAGTGTGAGGAATAGGATCCCAAAGGCCAGCAAAAGAGTCAGAGACAGCCCCTGTCCCCACTGTTAGGAGTCCCACAAGAGGACCAAGCTACACAGCTGTCACACACAGGCAGAGGGCCCAGGTGGGTCCCAGGCAGGCTCCCTGGCTGTCAGTGCAGTCTCTGCGAGCCCAGGTGAGTTGGTTGTGTGGGTTTTCTCTTAATGCATTGACCCCTCTGGCTCCTACAACCCTTCCTCCCCTCTTCTGCAGGATCCCCGCCTGTTTCCGCCTGTGGCTGGGTGAAGTCTCTCTGATGACTGTTGGGCTAGCCATCGGTCTATGAGTATAGTAGAGTGTCATTAGGCATCGTTTTATTGACATTTTGTTTTTACTCCAGTCCTGTTTTGTTCTATCCTGCGTCTGTGGGCCATCCAGCCTCTGGGTCTGAGTTCCAGGCAGTGTCAAGAGTGACCCACTCGTGTGGGTGGGATGGTCTCAGGCTAGACCATCCAGTCCTTAGTCGTCCACTCCCACAGTTTCTATGTCTGTGACTTTTTTTTCCATCTTGTGTCTCAAATACAACCATATCTGTATCTTGGCTACCGTTAACCACTTCTGAACGCAGCCTATCATTTCCTCAGCTAGCACCCCAAGGAAGAAGGTGAACCAAGAGTAATCCGCCATGTTCTCGTGGCTCTGGTATCTAACAGACCACATGGCTTGATCTTCTCTGTGGCATGGCTGCCATCTGGTCTTGACCTCTGCTGTTCTCTACCTGAATGAGCTTCTCCCCATACACTGTCCTCTGAGAACGTCAGCCCGGCTCGTGCTAAAGGAGGCTTTCCCACAGCTCTCCCTGGAGACCCTGATGGCATTGTGTAGTGTCTTCTTTAACACATTGTGACCTCAGACGTGCCCACTGTTTGACAAGTCTGCTCCCGCACTGCAGGCTCCATGAAGGCACAGGTGCCCTCTGCCTCCTTACGAATTCACCCCCACAGCCGAGTGTGTCTCCTGAGAAGCACACGGGTTTGCTTGTGATGTTACACTTTTAAACCTGCTAAGTATTGGCTATACTTACCATTTATTGGCATGGGCAGGGAGAGGCAGTTGCGATGTGTGAGGTCTGTAAAGCTTTTATTATTTGCCGTAAAGCAACAACCTAAATTAATTGAATTAGTGAATGAAAAATTTGAAGGGAAATTATTGATGTTAATCATAGTTTATATCTATCTTCTACGTGGTCTTTTTTTGTAAAAAGAATGTTCTCACAGAGCTCCTCTGTCTTCCAGAGCCTACTTTGAAAACTAAAATAACCATAACTTTGGCATAGGTGACCTCTTTAGTAAAGTCAGTGTTTCTGTGAACTCTCTGAAGGTGACACCCACTCAGGCGGCAGCAGTAGAGAAGGCCCATTTAAAGAGACAGTGACCCTGAAGTGGTGTACACCCAGGACCAACAGCATCGGTAAGTAGGCAGGGCCGGAGACCCGGCGAGAGCTCAGAGCAAGAGCGCGCCAGCCTCCTAAGTGTGCTGCGGGACCCCAGGCTTCTTCAATTTTTGTTTTCCATTGCCTTAGGGATTCAGTAAGTAAGCAAGTTCTATTTCGTCCTTCCTTCCTTCCTCCCTCCCTCCCTCCTTCCCTCCCTCTCTCTCTTTCTGTTTTTAATGTGGGGAGTTTTATTGGGGACAGGGAAGGGAGAGAGGCAAGAAAAACAGAGCAAAGCTTCCTTTTTGAACTGTAGGGTATTTCATTACATTCCTTCAAATTAGTGTTTTCTTCTGTTTCAGAGTTACACTATTGCACTGGAGCGTATCGAATTTCACCAGTAGATGTAAATAGCAGACCTTCTTCCTGCCTCACTAATTTTCTCCTCAATGGTAATTTTCAGTATTTAATGTGTTAATTTCAGTTAGTATTAAGTGGAGTCATACTGTATGTGGATTGAGTTTTCTTTGAATGCTTCACCTTTATTGTATCTGAATATTATATTTTCAGAATCTCACCATATGATTCTTACCCGGACCTAAAATTTAAGGTTCATTTTATTTATTTTACATCTCAATTATAAACTTCCATCCTCTAAATTTAAATTTTCATAGCTCTTCTGATAGCAGGATAATCTTACGTTTTGGAACTATTGAGTTTTAAAAATCTGTCTTTTTGTTCTTTTCATTGTTATATTAAGTATAGTTTGATTATCAGAATATATGAAGTCCAAATTCTATAACATTTGCCGTGTGAAATAGAAACGTAACTGTGCTAACAGGGTGCTGTGGAGGGACTGAGTTGTGCCTTTTCCTCAGACACTTGTAGCGTCAATAACCTGAGCATTTCTTGCTGTATTTTATGTGAACTTGGAATTGGGAAAGCATACAAACATGCCATTATAATAGTTTTTGGGAAACGAGAGAAGCTAAGTGTTAGGAACGGGTAGATGTGCTAGCTTAGCTGTGCTGGTTAAAGTATGAGCTGTTTGAATTTTGTTACTGACATCTTGATCTTGCCTCCGTCAGGTCGCTCTGTGTTGTTGGAACAGCCGAGAAAGTCAGGTTCCAAAGTCATCAGTCACATGCTTAGCAGCCATGGAGGAGAGATCTTTTTGCATGTCCTTAGCAGTTCTCGATCCATTCTAGAAGATCCACCTTCCATCAGTGAAGGCTGTGGAGGAAGAGTTACAGACTACCGGATTACAGTGAGATTGAAAAAATGTTTATTTTATGTGTGTGTTTTGCCTGTGTGTATGTTTGTACGCTGTGTGCATGCCTGGTACCTTTGAGGGCCAGAAGAGGGTGTTAGACACTCTGGAGCTGGAGTTAAAGACAGTTGTGAGTCACTGCGTGGGAGCTGAGAGTGTAGCCCGGGCCTCTGCCAGGGCTGCCAGTGCTTGTAAGCGCTGAGCATCTCCAGCCCTGGCATACAGCTTTCTTATCTGTAGACTTTGTTTTGAGTCAGTTAGCGTATGTTAATGTTATGGGGATAAGCGGTCTCAAAGAAGCAGGTTATTGTTTCCAGAACCAATGTCACTGTGTGTCATCTCTGCCATGTGACATATTCAGTGCCTGGGAAGTGTCTGAGGTCCGAAACACTGGCGTTGCAGAGAAGAGGGAAGGTTAAACTAGTGCGTTCCTGTGTATATAGTGACGTTTCTGGGCTGTTTGTGGGGATGGTTGTGGAACTGAAATGTTGATTTATGTATGTATGTAACTGCACATGACAAACTACCAGTATTATATAATTTAATTATTAGGCTTTTTGGGGTAATTATTTTTAAGGGGCTAAAAGCCAAGTTTATGGAAAACTGAGAACATATAAACATCTAAAAACCAAACAAAAAGCCCTAATTTACCTATATTTATATTATTCAAAGATTAACACTCATCATTTCGATGTTCTGTCAAAGCAGCTTTTTCATAAGCAAGCTGTTGTTGCAATGTGATTGACTCACACACGTCCTAGGAATGACTGGGGACAGGCTTCATTTCCATTGTGTAACTGGTGACAGGGTTCTACCTGGAAGGGGCGGGGCCACAGTTAGAGAAAGGGCTGTGCCGACTCTGACAGGACAGAGGCCATGAGGGAAATGATGTCACATGTAACCCATGCTGCAACACTAGACTAGTTTCTAATTGTGTCTTATCTGGTTATCATTAGGATTTTGGTGAATTTATGAGGGAAAACAGGTTAACTCCTTTTCTAGACCCCAGATATAAAATGGATGCGAGTCTAGAGATCCCGCTGGAGCGTGCAAAGGATCAGTTAGAAAAGCACACGCGCTACTGGCCCATGATTATTTCACAAACCACCATTTTCAACATGCAAGCGGTGAGTCTGGTTTTACTTCTGTCTGGATTAGTGTGTATTTATGAATACATTCGTAGAAAATTTTAGATGTTTGTAGTTGGTGCCATTTCTCCGGCAAGAAAGGAAGGGTGAGTTTGTTGTGGCTGAAGGGTAGGGACTGAGGACAGAAGCGCGGCCGTGGGCCCCTCCCTGTGGCCATCGTGCAGTCAGCAGATGTCCTTGCTCTGAGGCTTGATTTCAAAACAGACTTTCTTTTTCTTTCTTTCTTTTGTTTTTTTACCTAACAGGTAGTTCCATTAGCCAGTGTTATTGTGAAAGAGTCTTTGACAGAAGAAGACGTGTTAAATTGTCAAAAAACAATATATAACTTGGTTGATATGGAAAGGAAAAATGACCCTCTTCCTATTTCTACAGTTGGTACCAGAGGAAAGGGCCCTAAAAGGTAGTGACTTTTCTTCACGCGTCATGTTTACTTAATGGATGCTATTTTGTAAGATGATTCTCCGTGTGCAGATCATCTGAGGGGATGGTTGAGTATGTACATGTGTTGAAATAATGGAGACATAGGATAACAGGCACTGCTACCATGTAACTTGGAGCTCTGCCATTAACTATGGAGTAAGAGGAAATAAACATATCTCTACTTCTGTTCACTTTACCATAGCGAGCAGGGTCAGAAGCACTTAGCGTTTAGATGGTTTAAATGTGTAAACATAAGGGGCATTTCTGAGAATGCATTTGACCTTTCCTCCAGAGATGAACAGTACCGAATCATGTGGAATGAGTTAGAGACACTTGTCAGAGCCCATGTCAGCAACTCAGAGAAGCATCAGAGAGTCCTGGAGTGTCTGATGGCGTGTCGGAGCAAGCCCCCGGAAGAAGAAGAGCGGAAGAAACGAGGGAGGAAGAGGGAGGACAGGGAGGACAAGTCAGAGCAGGCGGTGAAGGAGCACGGGCCAGAGAAGCCCCGGCCAGACTCAGACAGGTGACTGGTTCTGCTCGTGGTGCCTGTACTTTGCCCAGAGCACACTCAGGCCATCCAATACGAGCTTGTTCATTCTATACCTGCACTTTTAGTTACAACATCTTTGTCTTAGAAAGGTACACGCTGTTACTTTAAGGTAAAACGTGTTAATTTTTCCTAACTAGTTTCTGGTTATTATTAGGACTTTTGTTGCTAGTATACACTTTGAATATTGTAAAATTCAAAAACATAATTTTATGTTGTGAGTGATTTGCTAGCTCGGCATTTGTCAGAAGACCCCATCCTAAAAGAATGTTCTGCCTTATGTTAGAGACAGGCCACACTTGCGAGATCACAGCGGAGTGCGGAAGGCACTGTCTCACAGGGATTAGGTGCAGGCTGCCCTTTGGAGCACACGGCTGCCCTTAGGGACATCAAGGTCAAAGTTACAAAACCCCAGAGAGTCATAAAAGGGTACGGTGAGGCCGCAGAGGGCTCACGCAGTGAGAGTGCTGGAGGCTGATTGGACCCTGGGGACAATATGGTGAAGGTGAAAACTGACCTGCGGTGTCCTCTGACCTCTGACTTCTGACCTGTGCAAGTCACCCCCACCCCCACTTAAAATGTTTTAAAGGTTAACAAATATCATAATTGTAGCACTTCCCTCCTTGCTAGGAATCAGGCAAGATAACTAGGTGAGTGTTGTAGTGGCATTATAGGAAATTCTGAGCACACACAACTGTGTAACAAATGGCCTCCGCCGTCCCAGTTACTAATTCATGGCAGATCTCTGCTCACACAGTTCCCACAAGCACTGCCTTCACCGCTTCTCTGTGGAAGCGCACTCAGGGTAGCTCTGAGACCCTGTTCATTCCCAGCTAGGCAGCACACTTCCCTTGCCAGCAGTTTCAAAAGAGCGCTGCTTCCTGCCACTGTGGCAGAGGAAAGGCTGCTGCATCCCCAGCTGGCCTTCAGCGCATGAACTTGTGCATATACAAGAGGCATTCCTCTTACTGAAGAAGCCTAACAGCAGCTTAGAGTAACCTTTGGTCCATCGCTTGTGAAGAAGCGGCAGGTGGAGCTCTGTGAGTTTGAAGTCATCCTGGTCTATGTCATGAGTTCCGGGCAGCCAGGGCTATATAGTGAGACCTTGTCTCAAGAAAGTGAGGCTCCCAAGTAATGAAGCCTAAATACATTCCCCATTACATAGGCCATACCACATATCATCTTATTTGTAATTTGGATAGTTTTTTTTTCCTTTGATTTTAAAATGTGGAACGTCTTTGGGGTAATTCATTGTTTTTAACTTTTCAATGGTGACTTCCCCTCTGGTGTAGTTTTCCTTTTTATCTGAGTAAACCCTGAAGTATGACTGCCATAAAGGGAAGTATAGTTGTTTTGAACTCACTAAATTCTTAAGGTGATGTATACAGAAAGTGTGCTTACTGGGCAATTTATAGACTTGAAATTAAACTCGTCTTCATAATCTGTTTTCCTGCAAGGTTGAAAGGCATTCTAGAACGAGGGAAAGAAGAGCTGGCTGAGGCAGAGGTTATAAAGGACTCCCCTGACTCCCCAGAGCCTCCAAACAAAAAGCCCCTTGTTGAAATGGAGGAGACGCCACACATGGAAAAGTCTAAAGGTGAGGACAGCCCTGGGAGCCAGGGCTGTGCAACTTCACACTGTGTGTGTGTGTGTTTGTGTGTGTGAGAGAGAGGGAGAGAGAGAGAGAGATGTTCACACACCACACAGGAGACTCCGTTCACAGTCTTGAAAGGAAAGACTTTTGACATTAAAAAGGAAGGAGGAGGAAAAGAAGATTGGTAGCAGTGTTCTCTATAATGAAGGCTTTGAAACCAGTGCTTTATGTGAAGTCTGCACAAAAGAAACAGTAAACTGGAAAGAAGCTGGAATCTCTGAGTGCCTCAAGTGCCAGGTGCTGCTTACGGAGCCAGACTGTCTAAGCCCTCTATCCTGCATTTCCTCAGTCCGTGGGCAGAGTCCGTGGTTTGATTGTGACACTTCCACAACTGTACATCCTGGTGTGTGCCCATCATTCCCCTCCATATGCAGCCCTGTCCCTGCTCTCCCCTCCACACTGCGTGTGAGAAAAAGGTGTGTGCCGACCCCCCTCCCCTGAGCTTGTACCCAGGAGGAATGTAGTGATGCTCATTTAGTGGTGAACTAAGAAGTGACCTGGCCAAGCTTAGGTGAAGGTATGGTTATAAACCATAGTTTTGCCATAAAACCCTTAATCCTATTTATAGGCTGAGAAGCTTAATTTCTTCTTGAAGTAATTCTGGGTCTAAAAGGATGGGGCTTGGACTCAAGTTCCCAGTGTCATTGTGGGCCTTAGTGTCCTCGTAGGTCACCCGGGTACATGGGAAATCATCAGACTGGCTGGTACCTTAGGCGTCTGTGTCTCCTGGACGAGAGCAGGGTGGCCTGGCTTGCTGTTGGCAGGGTTTGCTAGGAGCAGGCAGGCTGGTTTGCTTCATAGAGCTCTGTCAGTGCATTGGGGCGCGCTGATGCAGTGGGGGATCCGAGGTCACCCTGAGGGTTCTTCTGGTGTCTGCTGCTGTGGAGCTGCCCTTTTGTACACCGTGAAGGTGTGTTATCCTCACTCTCTCACTGCTTCAGGAAAGAACTGGCTGGCCAATACCTAGGCAGGAAGGAGTTTAGGCAGGAGAGCCAGTCTGAGAGAGCTGGGAGGAAGGGCGGGGTCTGCAGCCAGATGCAGAGGAAGCAGGACATGTCGAAGATGAGGTGATGAGCCATGAGGCAGCACGCAAATTAAGAAATATGGGCTAATTTAAAATGTAAGAATTACCTAGTAACAAGCCTGAGCTATTGGCTGAACATTTATAATTAATAAGTGTCTGAGAGCTGGTAAAGAAAAGTCCACCTACATATGGTACCAGCAACATTCAGTGTGTTTCTTATAACTTTATAGGCATGTGTGTGTGTATATGTATGTACGTATATTGAGGCTGCTGTTAACAAAATTTAGACTAGAATAAGTTTTGATACATAAGGAGAAGAAACAAACCACGGAAAACAGAGGAGATGCAGAGTTCCATACTATAGAGCCATCCTTGCTTTGTGCTGGAATCATCACAGGAACCACTCCCATTGGACTTAGATTAGTCTCAGAGGTCACGAGGAGACGGGGAGAGGAGGAGATGAACTTGCAGTACTGAGAAAAAGTACCGAGCTACATGGCAGAGTGTAGACAAGAAATGTGGGTTAATTTAAAATGATAAGAATTAGCTAGTAATAAGCCTGAGCTATTGGCAGAGCATTTGTAGTTAATAATAAGCTTCTGTGTGGTTATTTGGGAACTGGCTGGTGGGAGAGAAAATTCTGCCTACATCTGCCCCTCAGGCTGTTGCCAGAGTTAAAAATATTAGGATTTAAGTCAGTGTCCACTGATAAATTATAGGCCTCACATGATGATAGACCACTGGACTAGAATGAGAAACTTTTTTATTGTTTGCAATTTCACACATGTATGAAGTGTGTCTGATGGGAGGTGCCATGTAAGGAGTACGGTGTGTCTGAATCATACCCCCAGTTCCTGCTTCTCTGTCCCCCATGTCCCCTCCCAGCTTCGTGTCCTTGTATCTGCTGTGATCGCAGTGGCCCTTACACCCGTGTGGTGTGCTCTGGGGAAGACTTGTCCCCTCCACCCTCCCAAGCCAGCTGTGTGCCTGGTGGATACACAGCCCTGCGTCCCTGGCGTGGTGCAGTGCCTGAGTAGTGTGAACCTAGCAACTCAAGTGAGGGTTAAGTGTTACATTTGATTTTTCTCTGCTTTCTGCTTTAACACCAGGGCCAATGTCCTTATTGTCCTTGTGGAGTAACAGAATCAACACTGCCAATTCCAGAAAGCACCAGGAGTTTGCTGGACGCCTGAACTCTGTCAATAACAGAGCTGAGTTATACCAACACCTTAAGGAGGAAAATGGGTTTGTGTAATTTCCTGTGCAAACTGCTTTGTGGATTGTTAGTCCCGGAATGGAAACTGCTTGCTGTGGTCAGCGTTTTTCTGTAGTCTGCTATTATGAGCTAACCTCTTTCTCCTTAACCCGGGAGGCCCCGTTTATTGATGATAATTATGAAACTGTCTGCTACTTACAGCACTGTTTTCAGGGGGGGTCACACACTGGACCTATTCATGTCAAAGTGCTCAAATAGAATAAGTTCCAAACGCTGTTGTTTTTTAAGGAGAAATCCCCCCGCAGCATATTGTTACAGGAATCTCTTTTGTAGACTCTTAGACTAAATGGAGGAGAAGGGAGGGTGCAGGGAGGGACCTTCGGGAGGCTCCCTCGTCTTCACAGGCTCTGCTTTCTCTCATGTGTACAGTGAGGAGGTTGGACTGACTGGAGGAGCCCGAACTTCAATCCCTTTCTTAAAGTGCTCACACTCTGCTGTTGTGACTAGGTTAGACTTTAGTTCCAATGGGTAAAGTAGGTGCAGATGTGGATCTCTAGTAAACGTTTTAACTTACCTTCACATTTTCCCTTCTAAACTTTGCAGGGTGGAGACAACAGAAAGTGGAAAAGCCAGCCGTCAGTGAAGAGCGACTGGAGAAACTAAGTTTAGTATATTGCAAAAATATTTTGGGCAGAATTTGATACAAGTACTTTTACAGCAAGATTGTATAGCTATGTTGCCTGGACTTGTTTTTACATTTTTAAAGAATTTCAACAAATTATCTTTTTTGTACTAATTCTAAGATTGGCAGAGTCAAAATATATACATTTGAGATTTGTTTGTCCTCCCAAATCACAGCTTATTTTATGGTAAAAGGTGTTCCCTCTGGAAATGTTTTTTAAGAAAATTCTTAGGCTCCTCTTTGCCAAATAAAACTATTAAAATGTATGAAATGCAAAGAATTGGAGTGTTGCTTTAGAAAAAAGATATTACTCTCAGTTCTAACAAGAATTTATAAATCTTGATCAGAATTCAGGTGAGATCTGTCGTATTTAATTTTGGGTCTTATCTGTGTGCGTGATGTGTAGTGAGCACTGAGCACTTTTCCAAGGCAGACTGCTGGCTTGGTCTCCTTTAGTGCTTTGCCGTTGTGTGCATGAGTTTGTCTGCTATTCATTTAAGCCAGAATTTTCACGTTGTCAGTGTGGCTTCACACGTATCAGTTTGATATCCCAATACATTTTTTGCTGTTAATGTTTTGGTTTTTGAGACTGGGTTACCCAAGTGACAGATCTCGATTTCAGCAGCAGGGAGGCACAATCCAAAATCACATTTTAGTTGAAACAATTTGTATTTGTTGACAAAGTGTACCTTGCCTAAGTCATATCTCTGAAAATTCCGCAATGCATCCAGATATAACACTCAGTTTAGATGTTTATTGCAGACAGACCCTCCTCCCCAAATTCAAAATGAGTGTCAGTTTCCATTCAGGTTGTCTTCAGTTTGGAAGTAGTTCTGGGGAATTGCCACAGAAAGAGCCACATGCCAGGTGTTGTGCAAGCTACATATTTCATTTTGTCTTTACAATCAATGCATTCAGATAATCTATAAAGGGCAAGGTAATAGAGCTAGGTTTTAAGCCCCAGGCTTTCACTATGACTATGATAGTGAATTTTTTAAAAAGAGGATCTAATTTTAGCGTATACACACATGAGGCTAACGCTCATGTATGTATGTGTGCTGTGTGCATGCTTGGTGCCACTAGAGGCCAGAAGGGACATCAGGTGCCCTGGAACTAGAATTACCCATGGACTTAGGCAGCTCCAGGGACCAGACCCGAGTCCTCTGCAAGAGCAGCCGATGCTCTTCGCTTTGTTTTCTAAAGACTAAGTAGTATCAGCTCACTCATGTGCAGTGTCTTTTGATCATATGTTTTTCCTTCCCCTTTCTAACTTCATACTCTCCCCCACTGGTCTTTTTCCTTGTAACCGGTTGAGTCCAGTTAGTGTTCCCTGCAGGAAGGAACATAGGGTGTTCAGTCGGAGGTGGGGACCTAAAGAAAAGCGACTCCTCCCCCAGCAGATGTCAAGCAGGAGTACCACCTCAAGCCCCATCTCATCCATGCTGGGATGTTCCCTGGCCTGTGTCCCCCCCCCCCCCCCCCCCCGTGTGTGTGTGTGTGTGTGTGTGTGTGTGTGTGTGTGTGTGTGTGTGTAGGCAGGGGTGGTGCCATGGCTGCTGGGAGCTGTTGAGTGTAGTTAACAGAAGACGTGTTTCACCACACTCCTGCCCTGTAGCTCTACACCCCTCTCTGATGATGTCCGAGTATTGGCGGTGGTTGATGCAGCCGCCCACTTAGGGCTGCGCACCCCGCAGCCACTTATTACGTACTCTGACGGTTGTGAGTCTCTGCACTGACTGCTGCCCATGTAGAAGCTCCACCCTGGGAGACCCGGGCACGGGTGAATGAAGCAGTGCGAACGCCATGAGAATGAACACGGAACCTGAGTGGCTGCAGGTTGTCAGGCCCTCCCCGCTGCTTACTTGATGGCCTTGCAGGGCTGAAGTGACTTCACTGCTGAGGAGGCATGACTGGGCGTTGGCAGTGCTCTTTTGGCGTCTGGCAAGCTGTTGGGGTGAGTAAGGAAAACAAAGGTTTGACTGCTTTGTGCTCATTTTGCTTGGCCCTTGGCTCCCTTGGGGCATCTTTGAGAATTTTGAAGTGGTCTCCAGCAGCTTTCCATCTCACATCCCATAATTCAGGTGAGATATACACAGGCAGCTTGCTGCTGCAAGTCTTGCAGTAGTGCAGAAACATTATTGCCAAGGCAGCGGGAAGGACAGGCACTCAGCCTCACTAAAGAAAGATCCAGGTGGAAGTGGCCCGCCAGCCTTTGCACCAAAGACACTGAAACCCCAGGAGCCTTGGCAACTGCTCTGAGGGTTCAGGTCGTCTTCAAACTCCAGTCCTAACCTGAAGACACCACCAGCAGAACCGGGTGCGGGGTGACGCCTTTAATCCCAGCGCCTGGACGCAGAGACCGGTGGATCTCTGAGTTCGAGACCAGCCTGGTCTACAGAGTGAGTTCCAGGACAGCCAGGGCTGCATAGTAAGACCCTGTCTACAAAAACAACCACCAGAATAAACTAGCACACGGGCTTCTGCTCGATCAGCAACCGTTTATCTGAGGTCCTGCACATGCGCTGTGTTCCAGGCTTTTTGCACCCCGGAAGAGAGAGGGAGAATACCAGTGTCCGTAGTTTGTAGTGGGGTCTGAGGTTCAGACTAGGTGACCAAGATACCCAGACACAAAAGAGCACTTGGTTAAATCCAGGTGTTTATGACGTCAAACGGAAGGGTGGGACACTACGCTGGGAAAGTGGCAGATTTTGCAGTAAAAGATACAAAACCAATCTGCTAGACTGGTTAAATTTTACATTAACTATGACAGCCTCGGTTTCTTCAAATATTAAATGATGCACTCATGAGTTTCTTGGCAAGAGATCATTCACTCCCCCAAGCTTTTCTGTCCCTCTCTGCCCTCTTCCTTCCCTGCTTGCTCCCTCATCCTCTTTCACATCTTCTCTTCACCTACCGGTGGCATTGCTTGTATCCGTCTTTACATGATTGTAGGCCCTCCCTTCCGCTCCTTCCTTTACTTGTCCTTTAGTGACCATCTCACACCAGACCCTCACGTGGAAACTGCTCAGGGCCCACAGTGACTTCCTGCGCTTTGGCAGTGTCCTGGTCCGTGCTTGGACCGTGCGTGTCTCAGCTAGAGTCACTGGAGAAACAGCTAGAATGCCAGGGCCTTAGTTACTGTGGAGATGCGCTCTAATGCCAAGCCTCAAACCCCAGGGAAGATAAAAAAAAAAACTGTCCTAGGGTTTCCTACTAAAGGAAAGCAGTGAAAGCCACATTCAGTTTTTATGAGTTCCTCCAGGATTGCTATTCAGCCACATTCAGTTTTTATGAGTTCTCCCAGGATTGCTATCCCCTTTTTTCCCCCTCAAGACAGGGTCTCTATAGTGTAGTCTCACCTCAAATTCATGGCAGCCTGAGCGTGGGGATTTCACTTGCAAGATTTTCAAGTCTAGTCATTTTGAAAAATACTATGAGGATTCTTAAAACCCAGATCCGCTCACCTCTCCAACCGTTTCCTGTCTCCTCAACGGACCCTGTGCGTCAGCAGTAGGAGGCTATCCCCAGCCCTGCTTGTCCCACCTTTAGGCTTAGTGGTTTCATGCTTGTAGAACAATCCAGCATTGACATCAACCCAGCTTTGGCCTACATCTTCCCAAATAGTGTTCAAGTTGAATTTGGCCCCCAGAGCATTCGAGTGTCCCCTCTGAGTCCATTGCACTGTGTCACACCTTTTACTTTGTATTTCTGTGTACCCTGCTGGTGAGCTAACTGTGAACCCTGTCAGAGGCTCCTTCATACTAACTCCCAGACCAGGAACCTGGTAAGCCGAGGACACGTTCTCATGACAGACACTAGCGAGAAATTCTGCAGTGCAAACACCATAAACCCTGGTTGCTGTGTGGGGCAACAGGCTGGCTCTGCAGTTTCACAAATACATTGACGTTGTTAGAGAAGTTAAAGGCAGTGTTCTGGATTTTAGGTTGAGAAAAAAAGCAAATGACAGTTATCTGTGTTTTAAAGTCACTTGAAGAGGGGCAGGGCAAATGGCCGCAGTGTCACGAGAGCCTGGGTATAAGCCCAGCACCCACATAAAAGCTGGGTGTGCAGTGAGTACCTGCAGCCCCCACACAGGAGGCAGACATGAGAGGCACTCAAGGACTGGCTGGCCAGCCCATCCAGTGACCTCCAGCTTCAGTAAGAAATGTCTCAAAAAATAACACGGGAGCCAGGCATGGAGGCGCCTGTCTTAAATCCTGGCACTGGGCAGGTACAAGGGCAGCCAAAACAACATAGAGAACACTGTCTCAGAAACTTGGAAATATAAAGAGGGGCATGCTGGAAGACAGCAGTCAACTTCAGTCACGGTAGAAGACGGCAGTCAACTGGCTGCCTGTTAACATACATGCAGCTGAGCACACATGAAAGTAGGAAGGACTTGTGGAGAGGAAGCAGTTCAGTGGGAGGAGAGGATTGGGAGGGATTATGGTCATAGCACGCTACATATGCATGAAATAGTGAACAAATAATTTGAAAACTGCAAAACACAAGGCTGTAAAAGAAGAAAAATCCGTATGACCGTGGCTCGTGCAAACAACTCTTAGAATGTAAGAGTTGCATAATGACTGGAATGGTTACTTCCAGCTGGCATTATCGAGTGCTGGCAGGAAAATTGGGACTTCCATGCACAGTTAATGAGGTTGCCAAATGCCTCAGCTACTATGAAAAAGAGGAGAGAGTCAAATTCATCATCAATGGAATGGAGCGTTGATTGGATTTCTCCTGAATTTCTGGTGGTCCTGTCATTGTCCACGGTTGTTGGGAGCACTTTGTATGCACTATAAAAATTGCTCAAGCACAGTAACCGTCCTGTTTCTATAGTCAGGGTGGACAGAGAAGCAGGAACAAAGCAACCTTAGCAATACAGGGAGCCAGGAATGTGGGACAGGCTTGTAACCTAGCATTTGGGAGTCTAAGGTAGGAAGATGGTGAGTTGGAAGCCAGCCTGGACTAAAGTATTGAGCAAGTTGCTTCTGCTTTCCCTATTTTGAGAGTAATGTTTTAATTTTTGAAGTATCCACTTTAACATTTGCTGTTTTTTTTTTTTTTTTCATTTAAGTTGTGGTGCTGGAAAGAAAGCCTAGGACCTCCTGTTTGGTAAGCAGGCCCTCCCTCTGTGGTTACTCACCCCCTCCCCCCAATCTGTTTCCTTTGTTGTTTGGTTTGGTTTGGTTTTTGGTTTTCAAGACACAGTTTCTCCGTAGGTTTGGAGAATGTTCTGGAACTCTCTTCGAAGACCAGACTGGCCTA